GGGGAGACTAGCTCTATGAGCCGATTGGGTCTCGAACAATACCGGCGGCTCAGTGGGTGTCTACAAGTTCTGTCTTTTCACCTTAGATGGAATTCAATGTGCGCGCTACGGCTCTGTGGACACTGTAAGTTGAGCTCGGATAAGTTGAAGTTGTTGAGCTTAGCTGGATACAGAGCACACCCATCTCGTCTACTCGCCGTACCAGTATGAGTCACACGAATGCCATGTTTCAATACGAGTGTATAAGAGAGATGTGGAGGCCTGTGGTTGAAGTGGTGCCCGTCTAGCGCGACACACTGTGATCGAGTGATCTTTCAATAAAGCTGTTTTCGGCTCTCTTAAGGCTTTGAAAATGAATGAGAATTGAGTGGAAGACCAAGGGCGCGGAATCACAATAAATCACAATGGTTTTTAGCAGCTTTTTGATGCTAGGGGGGTGATGCACCCGGACCCGTGCTGGCCCACAAAGTGGGCTGGCATGGGTTTGGAGTGCATCACTTCATGCTGTGCTAGAACATCACTTCGTGATAATCGAAGAGGTTGTTGTGTGGCTTTTTTTGGTCTTTTGGTCAGTCTCCTTTCTTCTTGACCAGGTTTGTGCGACAACTTTCCTCCATCAAGTTGTTGTTGTTGTTGTGTGGAACGTGCTTGAACAACTGTTGTCTTTCTTTTTCCTGGAAGGTGAAGCGAATGACTCGTGGATAAAAGGCGAAGAACTGTCGCTATTCGAGAAAGCGAAGTCAAATCACAAGATCGCGCTCTTCGTTCCAACCCGTTTTTTTTTTTCCCTCGATGAACGCACCGCCATTGTGTGTGTGTGTGTGTGTGTGTGTGTGTGTGTGTGTGTCGGAGTGAACATTGGATGAACAAAGCAAAGATCGCGAACAAAGATCGCAAAAGTTGGTGTTTTATTTCTCACGCCTCGTTTGTTGCTCATAGGATGGAGTTCATGTCACAAATGTTTCGCCCTCCTGTGGAGCGCATTGACGTTATCTCGTCTGCGTTCGGCAAAATTGAGGATGTGTCACCATATGACATGATCCAAGCACTTGCCGTTCTGTCCAACACCATTACAAATTCATCAACGAAGATCACAGCGTATCTCCGCAAGTTTATCTCTCTGTACCGGGAGAAGATTTCGACCGCGAGGCCGGAATTTGCCGAGATGTATGCAGCGGTTGAGGCTGACGAGGAAGCCAGCGAACTTTGGGGCTCTTTCCAGTTGGCGATCAACTACCAGCAGATTGCTGATGCACTCCGGAAGCTGACTGGACTGCCGGTATGTTGTTTTCTCCTTCTTTCGTGACTTTTTATGTCTTTTTTTTTCTTGTCTTTTCTTTGACTGACCGCTCGCTTGTCATTAGAACTCGGAGCCCCAAGAGTGGCGTGAATTGCGAAAGGCGATTCTTGCCGCCGCGTCCTCGCCCAATGCTCCCTCTCCGCCGCCAGCCGAAACGGGCGCTCGCGTCAAGGCTCCTCTTCGCACCAAAATGCTTCGGCATGTTGAAGCCGTTCTCAAGGAGATCATCATTGAGCTGAACGACTTTGACGGCTGGTCAAAAGAAGCTGCTCGCCTTGAGCGGTTTGTGATCGCTCAAAAAGCAATGCGCACAGCGATCTCCGTGATGAACTTCATGGCTGAGACCAACCACGATATCAGGCCGCTCCTAGCCGGCGTGTATGGTGTGCAAGACACTGCTGGTAGTCTCGCCCAGCTCGAGTCGGCTGTGCCCGCGATTGTTGATGCTGCAGAGTGATTGATTGTTTAATGTCGGTCGGCAGAGGATTTGCAACATCCTAAAGCAGTGCTTCAAGCAAATACAGCTATCTTTGTTTTGTTCCAAAAAAAAGGGGGGGGGGAAGAAAAGTGATGTCGATTTGAAAAGTACGGAAAGTCCATCAAACAAACAGAAACGCAATTGACAACGCCACTACTGCTGCTTTCTGAGCGACCGCCGTCCAAAAGTGCCAAACTTCCCTTTTTCTTTTTTTTGGGCCACCTCCTCGGTTGACTCACGAATATCCGCCCCAACCACAGCTGGCTCTACTTCCCTAACTGACTGGTGTTTGTGTGCAGCATTCAGATAGCCAATAATCGTACCACCTAGCCCGAGCACACATTGCTCGCTCTCTTCGTCTGCAAAGCGCACATTATTACTGCTCATCCATTCCTTTAGCATCTCTCTGCAAACAGCATTGCGCAAGCCGAGGTCACTTCCGCACTCTTCAATCATTACCGGGTCACTATTCACAAAATCCGCAATATGCACGCATGCCTGAAACAAGCTCGACTTGTTACGTTCTTTCACTGGAATCTTCGCGTTAATGTTGGTTAGGAAACGAGCCTGGCAAGCAGCCTCACGCTGTTGCTTCAGCTGTTCCTGCTCCTTTGCTTTCTTTTCCGCTTCCAGCTCCTGCTGTTTCTGTTTGAGTTGATGAACGTACTGCATCTGAGATGGTTTGAATCGCTAGCTCAATCGCAGTGTGTGGAGTATCAGTGGTTTCAGGTTGATCAATGGTTGTGTCGGTTTGCTCCGGAGCTGTCGACTTTGCGCTATATAGAGCCCGCTTAATTTTTTTCATCAGCACCAAAATCAGCTGCAACACACCCGTGCTCTTAATCACTGTAGTGCTGCCCAAGTACTCTGACAACGCGAACAAAAAGCCAATAACCGCTACTGCAACTTGAAGCGCCAATTCACGCTCTTCCGCAGTCCAAGTCATCTCCGCGGTATATTGACACAAAATAAAAAAGAGAAACCAAGAAATCAACCCTTACACAGTGTACCACGCCACCACACGGTAGGGTCGCCCATTTGCTGTTGAAGATGCAGCACCATTTCCGATCGTAAGATTTGCGCCCGATAGATACGGGATCACATACTCTCCACCGTTTGCTGACAGAGTAGGAACTACAGCACCTGTGCTGAGTGTGATAGTGCCGGTCAACATGACAACCTTGGTAATGTCGGGCAAACCATGCGCAACAACCACTGAACCAGCAGTAGTGCCCGCAGTGGTACCAGTGAAGATCTTGCACTTCATTCCGGTTTGACCACTCAAAGCCAGTGTAGCTGCACTCAGCGTATCAGTAACCGCTAGGTCGCTAGCGAAAGTAGCATCACCAGAATCCAAAGTCAAACAATTCAAGCCATTACTGCACAACCTCATAGTCGCTGACGTCTGATAGATACCCGACACAGTACCAGCACCATCATCAAACAGCAATGCAGGAGCAGTTGCTGAGCCACCAGTCGGCACTCTAAGTGTGTTGTAGACCTGGGTGACCGAATTACTCACCCGCAACCGCTGTGCACCGCCCGTGCTCACAGAAATCTCGTCCGTTGCGCTATGATAGAGACCAATGTCATTCTCTGAAGTGAAAGTGATAGACGGTGCAGCGGCTGAACCATCTGCAGCCTCAAACGCTGTTGATGCTCTCACCTGGTTTCCGCCCACTGTACCAGTCGCTGTGACACCTGGAGCGGTCAAACCAGAATTGTTGAAGCGCGCATATTCCGCTCCATCTCCACACACAGCCAGGTTACCGGTTGTCCACCTGTACAAACCCAAACCAGTCTCGCTCGTAAAAGCCACAGAAGGAGCACTCACAGAGCCATTGGCAACCAGCACCTTACCAGTCACGTTCACATTTGCACCACAAGTCATGTCAGCACTAGTTGATGCGCTTACCGTGGAGATTGAAGAGCTTCCAGTGATGGTGCCGGTTACAGCAAGTCCAGTTCCGCTCACCTCAGCGCGCTTGGTACCACCGCTTGAAATGCTCACAAGCCCAGCGCCACCACTGTAAATGCCAGTGTTAGTGGTAGTGCTGAATGTGTAGGATGGAGAGCCAGCTGATCCAGCTGGGAGAGAGATTGTACCGTTTGTCACGGTATGACCGTTCAAATCCAACCCGGTTGAAGTAACATGTAGGCTGTCCACGCTGTTAACCTTCAGTCCCATCAAAGTAGCACTGCCATAGATGCCAGTCGATGCACCACTGAGTTTCAATGCCGGATTAGCGACAGAAGTGGAAGGAACAGTGAGCGGCATGTAACTCTCAACTCCCGCATTGCCAACAGCGATAGCTTGAACACCGTCAACAGCGATAGCCAGCTGACCGCCATCCAGGAACAACCCAGTGTCTGTAGCACCGTCAAACGTAACGGAAGGACCAGCCACCGAGCCAGCATCAACCGTCAGCTTGTGTAACTTTGCCTCCGCACTATTCTTCCAGTAACCACCGTCATAGACAAGCACCTGGTCCTGAGCGGGCGCTACCACATTAACATCACTCAAGCTAGCTTGGATACGCTTCCAGCTACCGGTTGAATCATACAATACACGGTCACCAGCCACCCAAACATCATTACCATCAAGCTCGGTTGATCCGCTCACACCGACCATGTACATGTCACCCAGATCCGCAGTAACTGCGCTCAAATCGGGGGTATTCGTATTGGCATTCCAAGTACCCTTCAGCTGCATTACATCGGCAGGCAGGAACCCAGCAGCAATCTTAGCGTTTCCGTCTAGCGGGCAGTAACCGTTTGCTGCACCTTTGTTCGCCAGCTTTTCATTCTTCACATTTAGTGTTGCAACCTCACTACTCAAACTGCTGACAATGTTTGTGTTCAGCTGAGATTGACGAGCTGCTGCTTTTTGATTGACCAGCGACATTCTTTCGATTGTATACATTTGGTGCTGAAAAAAAAGTACAATCAGCCGTTAGAGCCGAACCAATATCGTGCAAAGTTGACAACAGGTTGTGTGACAGTCTCCAATAGTGTTTGCATGGTGCTTTTGACTGCAAGGTACGTCACTCTGTAAATGACCGCTTTAATCAGCTGCGCGAAACTGACGAGCCGCAACTTCATCAGGACTGTCCAAGCTGTTCACAAAATGTGTACCAATTAGCACTGCAGCTTGTACTGGATCTGGCAAATCAGCGAAACTGTTGAAGTACGGGCCGATGATCTCTTTCAGCCGGATGTCGTCCTTGAGATTCTGCTCAAACTTTGTGGGGTTTAGTGGCTCGTACATCTGGTTGGCAAACTTGGCAACACCCTTGTATGACATGTCAACGAGTGTGCTGGAAAATGTGAGAGCTCGCGAGCGCTTGATGAACTCATACTGCGAAAGAACTTCCTCTGGTGACAGCTTGTTGATTTTCGCAACGGTCAGTGTGAGCTCCTTTGGATGCTGAATCTTGAAATCCTTAAGCTCCTTTCGCCTTTTCTCGATGAACATGTTGAAGTTGGACTCGTCAATGTCTTCAGTTTGACCGGATTCATGCACCAATTCCTCATACTCGAGCTCATCAGCAACTTCGGATGGAGCTGCAACCCTTTCAGCCCTTTCTTCAGTGAGGAATTCTGGCTGTTGATAGCCAACAAAGGGCTCAACAACGAGTTTCTTTACTTTGACTGATTGCTCTTCAGCCTGTGCGGTGACCTTCTTCTGGCGTGGCATCGTTTGTATATAGGTGCAACTATTTTTATTTCTCGAGGTAATGTATAATCATGAGTGAACCTCAACAAACACCGCTACAACCGATTCCTATTGAGCGTCCCAAGCGAACGCTGACTGAAGAGCAAAAGAAGAATCTTGCAGCTGCTCGTGAGATTGCTCGCAAGAAGCGGGAAGCAGAGTTTGCTCCTATTGATGTGGATTCTGAGGATGATGTTGAGCCACCGCCGGTTCGGCATCGGACACCTCGTCAAAAGCCACAGAAGCCATCACTGTATGACAGCGTATCTGAAAGTGCGAGCGATGCAGCTACTAGTGCAGCCAGCTTCCTCACCAAAGCCGGTATGCTTCTCTTCGCTGGTTTTGTGCTGAAGAAGGTTCTGGGAGCTGTTGCTCAGAGTCCAAGTGCACTGGCTCCAGTCAAAGAAGTTGTCAATGTGACACCGCTTGTAGTTGATCATACTACAGAGACTGTCAAGTCAGCGGTGGGCCCTGTCATGTTTACGAACGTAAAGTCTCAAGAAATCAAGGCGAAAGCACCACTGGCTTACAAACCTGATGCGAACATCGATGCTATGCGTTTTAACTGCTTGAAGTAGTGAACGGTGACTTTGTGGGGTTTTTTTTCGCGAAAAAAGACATAACACCACATTGGGTCTACAAGTACTCAGGTAATTCCTTCAGGTGGCGCACGGCGTACCTGATGAGGTTTTCAATGTACCCAGTGTATCGCCTGCACTGTCTGCAGGAGTTGTACGAGCATTTGCACTTGAAAAACACTTTCACATAGTCAGTCACATCATACACAGGTCGACAAGGGCCGTTCAATGGAGTGACTGAGATGATCAATCCTTTGTCTTCATCGATATGCGGACACAGAAGTAGTTTACCTTTCCTGCCTGCTTTTAGTGAGATGTGATAGTGCATCTTCAAGATGTGGGTTAGTTCTGAGTAATTCTGTTCATAATTGCCATTGAAAACCACTGGGGTGACCTCAAACCTGATCCCGTTTGCGTCTGTTTTGTGATTGATCATACACTGACCATGGAGCAAGGCTTCAAAAGGTTTATCAAGCCTAGGCTTGCGATTATGGAACGGAAACATTGTCTATATGATTAGTTGAAATAACAGTTTAATTTGTAAATTATTGACCGTTTTTATTTCGAGGTAGTCTATATAACGCTGAAATGGAGCGCTCAGAAATCAAGGAGTACCTGGAAAAGCACCCAGAACGACTGATCAGGCTTGGTAACCCGGCTGACAGTGTGAAAATGAAGATGACAATGTATGTTGATCCGAATGAGCTTACACTTTCAGGACTGCAGCAGGACTATCTGGTGCAGATTGAAGAATGGGTCACTCGCAGATCTATGCTTGATGTTGTGGTGGAAAGGAATGGGATGAAGCTGATATTTGAGTTTGCTGAATGCCAGCTCGATCTTGATTCGCTAGTGGAGTTGATGAGAGCTGGGAGTGAGCTTATCTACAACCGGCTGAAGATGAACATTGACCGGTTGAAGTAAGATTATTTGTTTTGATTTGTTTTTTTTTTATTTATGTTTAGTATAAAGCGCGAACGAGATCGGAAGGGAATGAGTGACCTAAAACTTAGCTTCCAAAATCAGTGTCGAGCTCTTGTCTTTGAACTTCATTCAGTGATTCAGCATGGAGAATATACCTCCCACATTTGTTCAAACCTTGATCCAGAAATCAAATCAGAGGACAAAATCAAAGTAGCGGATGAGGTAAGCAATCTTCTTGAGGCTTATGAGAAAGAGGAGGCTGAAATGTTCGAGGACCACATCAAAGATCTCACAAAATTCAAAGAAAGTGAGCCGAAGGATGTGGTCAACGGGTGTCACGAGCGTCGGATGAAATATATCCAAGAGTCGAAGCTTAGGAAGGAACGCTACGAAGAGAAGCTCGCTTACATACAGAAATTCATACAGTCGAAGCAGACTAGGAAGACCTACATAGAAGAGGCAAAGGAAGCAAAAATTAAGTTCCAGCGCTCAATGTCAAAGTACGGCTGGGTTAAACGAGGATCTATCTGAAATCTTGAAAGTATATTTTTTTATTTACAGTTTTATTTATTTTTGTTTTAATAATATAGGCGAAGACATAATTTCCCCCACAACCAATATACGACGTAAAATGACTGAATCTTTCAAGATCCGCAAGACCGGCTGCACTAATAAGGCTGAACTCCTCACTCTGGCTGCAGAGAAGAACCACTCGTTCATCTTCAAGATCGGCAACAGCTGGTTTGAAAGTCGCAAGGACCACGCTGCTTTTACCGAGTATTATGAGAAGCTTAAGCCCAACCAGAAGTGTCACATGGAGGTGGTGCTCGCTGGCAAGCCAGTGAAACCGTACTTTGACATTGAGCTGAAAGGTATTGATGAGATTGAGGATTTTGATGCCGATGAAGCCGGCATAAATGTTATCAAGTGGATTAAAGGCTCGTTCAAGAAGCACTTTGGAATCACTATCAAGAATGCTGATCTCGCGGTCTGCGATGCTAGTAACGAAGAGAAGTGGTCTATGCGTATTATTGTGAATAAAGAAGACGTGTTCTTCGCTGACAACTCTATCCAGAAGGTGTTTATGGATATTGCGCTCTCTGAAGCCTCAGACTTTGTAAAGAGCTGTGTTGATTCTGCAGTGTATGACAAGGATCGTGCTATGCGCATCTGCGAGAGCTATAAGGACGTGAATGGGTTATTTGTGCGGCCTTTTAAGACGATTAGCAACCATGAGATTGAAAGCTTCCTCATTACAAACCCAGTTGGCACGAATCCGCTGCAGTGCGATGCTATCGATGAAGCGCTTGAAGAACAGGAGCGCTCTAATAAGGCCGCGGAAGAAAGAAGGAAGCTGCAGTTGGCAACTCCAGTGAATGAGCACACAGTGAGGGAGATCCGCGAGATTCTAATGGAGCACCTGGGTCCTGAGCACTATGGACAGCGTAAACATTGGTTCGGTATCGTAGCTGCAGTGAAGTGTGTCTTGGGTGAAGCTGGATATGACCTAGCAAGGGAGTTCTCCGCCAGAGCTGGCGATCCACAATATGACAATGATTTCCCAAAGAATTGGGAATCTATCTCGCCCGACCACAACTGGTCTATGGAATCTCTGTACAAGTATGTGAAGGGTGGTAGCAGTGCGCTGCGTTGTAACCAGGATTTTAGGATTGACAGTGATGAAGAAGAAGAGAATGAGAAGCCAATGCAGTTTAGTGAAGATGAACCAGAGTTTGGCAACGAAGATGCTGATGCACTCATTCTGAAAGATCTGTTTGCTGGGAATGTAATTTCTGTGAGCTCAAAGAGTGACGACAACTTCTACATCTACAACCCGAGGAAAGTGCTTTGGGAGACTGCAACAAACGCTGACATGAATGATCTGGTTGGAGTGGAGCTTAAGAAGTACCTGGCTAAACGCATCGAAAAGATGGAACAGCAGATCCAGTCATCAGTCTCTCAAAAGAAGAAGGAGCTGTCTCCTAAGCTGAAAAAGTCAGCAGTGAAAGCATTTGGCGTTGATCGCAACCTGAACTCCACCCGAACCCAGCTGAAGAGTGCTTATAAACAGGCTGGAGGGTCGCGACATGCCAACGGAATTATTGTGAAGCTGAAGAGCAAGCTTCTTGATGCCAGCTTTAAGGCAAAGCTTGACAAAGATCCGTATTCACTGGCCATTGCAGGAAACAAGATGCTCAACCTTCTCACTGGCGTAACAAGGCAACGCGTGAGAGAAGACTACTGTACCTTTGCTCTGGATGTTGACTACACTCCTGGCAGTGACCTGTCAATCGCTCAGTCATTCTTCAGCGATGTGATGTGCGGAGATGCGGAAATGATTGAGTATTTCCAGCGAGTTATGGGTTACTGCCTGCTAGGTAACAATGCTGCTCACCTGATGTTCTTCTTCCTGGGTAGAGGTTCAAACGGCAAGTCATTGATTCTGCAGATCTTGGAAGCTATTCTGAAAGGGTACTCGCTCCAACTCCACTCAAGTGTCATTCAGGGAATCCAGTCTAATGGTGCCTCACCCAATCCGTATGTAGCGATGATGGAAGGTAAGCGTCTGGGTACTCTGTCTGAAGCAGTTAGGAATGAAGAAATGAATACAAAGCTGTTCAAGCAGCTCTCGGGCGAAGACACAATCACAGCTCGCATGCTCAATTGCAACCCTATCACGTTCAAAGCCCAGCTAAAGATCATTGTGGCGACGAATGAAATGCCAAAGGCATCTGCTGATGACGATGCACTGTGGAGACGCCTGATCGTTGTGCCGTTCAATGCCAAGTTCACAAACAACCCGGTGGGAAATGAGAGAAAGAAAGACTTGCACTACTTTGACGAGGTTGTGGTGCCAAATCTCAGTCAGTTCTTCACATGGATGGTCCAGGGAATTATGAAAGCTGGAAAGAAGTTTGAGCATCAAATGCCAAAGCTGGTTGCTGAAGTGACCACGGCAATGCGTTACGCTGATGACCCGGTTCACCAGTGGATTGCTGCCCAGGTTGTGAAGAAAGCTGGTGGTAAATCTAAAATGATGAGGCAATCTTCTGTGTTTGATGCTTATAAGCAATACTGTGAGAGGTCGAATCAATTCAAGCGAGACATCGGCACAAACCAGGCGTTTTACAAGCGCTTGGCCCAGCTAGGATTGAAGTTCAGGCGTGTGAATGGCAATGACGTTAACGGAGCAGACTGGTATGTGGACGAGGAAAAGCACCAGGGTGTTATTGATGAGATTGACAGTGATTATGATGAAGATGAAGATGGTGACATGTTTGGCAAGCTGGTCTGAGTGAGATTGATGAGTTTGTAAGTGCTAGGTGGCAGTTTTTTTTGTTTGGTGGCAGTTTTTTAAAAAAACTGCCACCTAAATTTTGGCGGTATTAGTGTGAGATTGAGTACTCTAGGTGGCAAAAGTAGTAGTTTTTTTTCCGAATCCAAGCTCTACAAGAGGAACCAAATTCAAGCTCTGGAGGAGGAACCAAATTTTTTCGTTTTGTATAAGGCTTGACTTTAGAAAAAACTACTACTTTTACCACCTAGAGTACTCAATCTCACACTGATACCGCCAAAATTTAGGTGGTAGTTTTTTTAAAAAACTACCACCTGGCAAAAAAAACTGCCACCAAAAAATGAAGAGCCACACAAATGCCGCCAACATTTAGGTGGCAGTTTTTTTTTTTGGGCATCCTCTCGCCACACAAAGTCCAGTCAACGCCTATTTCTGCCTCTAGGATTGTCAAGCTTATCCGGTTAATATTTTTATTTGCAATTATTTTCATTTCCATCCATATAATGGAGCTCCAATACATCTACCCGCCTCGGGATACACATCAGTCCCTGTACAAGGGCTACATAAAGCCTTGCAGAGCTGGTAAATGGCGTATCAACATCACTGTGTCAAACATTCGTGAGCGTTTCACTGGAACTGAACAGCAGGCAATGAACCGGCTATTCGAGCTGAATGAAATCAACAAGACTTGCCGGCATTACATTGTCAAGGAGGGTGACAATTACAAATTCCGAGTGTCCGATCAACGCTTCAGCCAGATCTCAGAGGAATCAATCCCAACAATCTGGGAAAATGCACCGTACGTGATGAGAAATGGTTATGTTTATTCAACCCTCGCACACAAATACCTGCATGTGATTCTTCAACCTATTGAGAATCGTGCAATTCATTCAGTCGATCATAAGAACCGCGATAGGATGGACAACCGGCTGACCAACCTACGGCCAGCAACCAGGCAAGTGCAGTTAATCAACCGGAATGTAGATCGGATGAGAAACATCCACGAAACTAACGTAGAAGTAGCGTACCCGGTTATGCTGGCTGATGGTTCAATCAAGTACAGGCACATGCGTTTCAGCTTGAAGAAGAACGGTGAAGAGTTTATGACTGCAGCTTATGCGTTCTTGATTGCCAAGCTAAGAGAGATACCGGTATACCGAGAAGCATTGTCACTCTAAACGCACTGTAAAAGGCAGATTCCTTCTTTTTTACACCATTTTCCCACAGAAATAATGACAAACACCTAATATTAGGTGCATCTCTCAAATTACCAATAGGTATTGCCTTTCTGACTGTATTCTAAGTGGACTGTACCACTCTTCTGGAAAACGCGGGAAAATCCCTTACTACCCATCAGGAAAAATCAGAAAGGATCCTCCCTCTACACAAACCCCACACAAAAGAGAGACCCCCAGGCAAAGCTTTTACTCTTCACAACCCTACACAATCACCACAGAAACCAGGTACCAGCTCCTAAAGAATGACGATTTGGATGGTTGGTCAAACGATCCCGATTATTGTTTATTTTTTATTTCAAATGATTTTATTTCCAATAGATATAATCCCCGACGCCAGCTAACGATAAGAATGACATCTACCATTCAAACTCCCGATATTCCATGCCCTGCCTACGAAGAAGCGGTGGCTGGAGACAAATGCCCAGAATACAGTGAACGAGCACCCAGGCGTGTCATCATCAATCGCCAGTTCGTGGAAGGAAAGTATGAGATTATACAGCTTGTGCTGGCTGCCACATGCTTGTTTGCTTTCTTCTTGACAGTTTGGATCGTTGGCAAGCAAGAGAAAACAGCTGAAGGCCGAGTTGTAGCTCTGGAAGCAGTCCTTGCCATGATTTTCTGGATAAGTCTGGCCAAAATGGTAAGGGGTCTTCTTCCGCGAGTGAAAAGGCCGCTAACTGTGGTTCTAGACCATGATGTGGAACTCTCAAACGAATAAGCGAAAATCCCTGACTACCCATCAGGAAAAAATAAAAAAAGAACACCTCGTACACCAATCCCACACAAAAGTAATACCCCAGCCAGCTCATAGAGCTAGTCTCCCCACTTTCTCCGGACGAGTTTTGTTTTCCCCTCCCCCTACCCCTCCCCAGCCCTCTGGCGCCTTCCCCTGACCTCCCCTCCCACTCCCCTTGTTCCAGTAGCCATAAATAAAACTTACAATCACCCAGGAAGAGTCTCGGCTCAGTCAAAAATTTCATCCATCCAGCCGAGTCCGCCATCGTTGGCGCCAAATCTCCAACCAAGCGATCAAGCTCCAGCACCTCCTGCTGCTGAATCCAATCCCCCGCCGGACGCCCCCGCTGAACGAATCATCAACGTGATCATTCTCGGACATGAAGAGGTCAAGAACGATGCTGCCGTTGTCCCAAGCGAGGCGCAAGTCCGATTTTCCCGCCACTGATCCTCTCACTTTTGGCGCGCTCGTCGAGCGGATCCTGGAATTGCCGCCGGTGAAGCCCGTTATCAACAAGTACATGAGCGCGCAAAGGCACAAACCGCTCGAGAGTCAGAAGAAGCCCACGTATTCGTTCAAGGGAGCTCAATCTGCTGGAGAATCTGCTGCTGCGGAATCTGGAAAATGGGATGACGATCTCACCACGGTACTGGAATCCAACTCAGTCGAGGTGCAGGTGAGGCTGACCTGCTCAAGCAGCCATCATATCGTCAGCTACACGCGTTTCACGTCAGGCATGACTTGCAGGGTCTGCTTGGTGCGCGCGAGGATCAAAGCCGAGAGACGCAAAGCGCAAGAAGCCTCGAGGCGAGCGACTTCTGGCTCGACCAACGCTTCTTCTCTTCCAAGCCACCTGCAAGACATGATTCCTACGCTATCATCTCAAGCCTCAGAGTCCACTCCAGGTGATCTTATCATCTTTACCGCTCAAGCTGCCTGGAAAGATTTTATGGAGCGAGAGCAAGCTAAAATTGATATGCCCCGGCATGCCACCACCGCCCAATCCTTCACGAAGGAGAACAAGACAGGTCTACTGTACACGCGAAAACCTGATGGCCCAACTCCCAAGGCGCTTACTCTCACTGACGCCCAGCGGACGGCTCTGAATATTCAAGCGGGCGAGCCGGTCTTTGCAGCATCCAAGAAGGCCTACCGCTGCTCCAACCGCCAAGACCAGCAACAGCAACGTGTTGCTGCTACTCGAGCGTCTGGCACTGCTGCGTCGGCTGCTGACTCCATGTCTCAGAGTGAAAACGCAATTGCTCAACACGGCAATTCCAGACTTCCAGTGCACGAACGTGTCATTGATTCCATTGCACATCCACACGATTACGACCAGAATTTTGAGGCCGTGCCTCGGTTGAAGCTTGGATGCTGTCGCTACTCGCTCACACGATATGTTCTGGTGGTACAGCGAGATGAGGGGTACCAGCGAGTGGGTGTTGCTTTTCGCCGTACTGGCAAACATGAGCCTGCTTGTTGTGACGGCTCGCTGACGACAACGCAGCACATGCACAAGAAACTCGAAGCCTGGATGATTGACCGCTTGGACATTCGTTCCTGGGAAGAAGTGCTTTTGGAGTTTGTTCGCCATGTCTCGACCGCACCTCGACCTAAGCCATCCTGGGAAGTCCGCATAGAAAGCACTCGGTGGTTTCCGAGCGACGCTGCGGTGAAAACCTTCTTGGTGCGCCAACTCAATGGCGGTGCTTCGCCTGATGCTGTTCGCCTGCGCGAGTTGCAGAAATCGTGCGAACAAGACCCCACCACGCAAGGATTCGAGAAGGCCGTGCAGGATCTACGCCCAAGTCGAGGACAAGTCATGGCAGCTCAAGCTGCTCTTGTAGCAGAAGCAGCAGTTCCCCGCGCAGCGCGGCAGCTCTTTGAAAGCCTTGCGCCTGAGCGAGCTGAAATCAGCCAGCGGATGCGCCCGTCCACCCGTGCAGCCTCGCAATCGCAGCAACCTCGTCGATATGCCGGCTTGGATGCTGATGAGGCCGGAGCCGACGACGACGACGACGAGGACGCCGAAGAGAATGATGGCGAGCTGGATTGGGGAGACGGTGCTTTGGCTAGCAACGCAAGAGTTGCTGCAAGCGTGAAGCGGCGGGCTGCACCCAATCGCACCGCAAAGTGGTGCAAGCGTCCTCGAACCACCCGGAGGAAGCGCAGCGGTCGTGCACTCAACGATGATGCCCATGACGAGACGAGCGACTTGGACGAGGCGGCATCCCAACCGTCAATCTTCTCCCAGGGTGAAACGGCGAGCACAATAGCTGACGAGGATGCGTCGTGAACTTGGTACTAGTGTGTTGAATAAACGTATACATGCAGAGCGAGAGCGACGGAGCACCTAAGGCACAAATTGCAAAGCAGAGTGAAATTTGAGATGCAAAAATTTGCCAAGTCCAAAAATTCGGTACTTTGACCACGCCGCCAAGCAATCCAGTTGCACCGAATGTCCCGTCGCTCGAGCTACAAGCTTTGACGTGATATATTCACCATATGCGAGTGCAAGGGGCGGGGTGTCTGACTGCCAATGCATCATTCTCGCTCAACCCACCGCAATCCTAATGGCTGGCCAAAGGGTCGGCCATGGATGAAATTTTTGACTGAGCTGAGACTCTTCCTGGGTGATTGTAAGTTTTATTCGTGGCTACTGGAACAAGGGGAGGGGGAGGGGAGGTCAGGGGAAGGCGCCAGAGGGCTTGGGAGGGGTAGGGGGAAGGGGGAAAAAAACTCGTCCGGAGAAAGTGGGGAGACTAGCTCTATGAGCTTCGGAGATGAGTTGCAGGATTGTTTGTTACTCACTTTGTGAATCAATGGTACAGAAACTGCCTGGCCAAGACTTTCAAGTAGGTAGTTGTTTTTGGCGTTGACAACGCTGAGCGTGATTTTAACCGACGTGATTTTGATAGGTTGTGCAAGCTGGCGACGCAAAGTTATACGACGTCCAGCCATTCGGCAAAACCCACCAGGCAGTGCTGGTAAATAATTCAGCCGAAGCGCTGAAAGAGACTGGTCTTTTTGATCCAACAATCGAAACAAAGCCATCCGGCAAGCTGAAGAAGAAGAACAAGCAGAAAACCACTGGTCTTGCTTCGTCAAACGCCAAGACTTCTGACGCAGACCAGGCAGAAGTTGCGGAAACGGCCTCTGCAGCCCTTGCGTCAGTACCCTCTGTCAATTTGACGAACGTTCGACTCGCTTTGGGTGTTTTTGCGGATGGGTGTGCTCGTTCGGCACCCTCCGACGACGATCATGTGTTTTTCGTCGACCAAAGCAACTACCGCAAGTATTTCCCTCCTCTGCTGTGGCCCATTTATGGTGAGTTTCGAGCAGGTCGGAAGTTGGCCTTGATGCTGCCTTTCTCACTAGCACTTCGTAGATGGACTGAGCACGATACGACAGTCCCAGCCCCAAGAGCAGAAATCCAAGTCCAAGTCCAATTCCAAGAAGAAGCAAATGGAGCAGGCAGACACAGCAATGCAGCTTGATGTCTCCGAGCTCGTGAAAACGGGTGGCAGCCAGAAGCAGCCGACTCGCAGCAAGCGGACGAACAAGTAGTTGCAAAAGCGGCAACATGAATGAATTCTCGTTTCTTTTGTACTCTCATGGCTGTTGAACGTAGCAGAGCAATGATGAGGAATACAATTTGACTCTGTGCAATGTCTCCCAAACGGATCACGAGTCCAATCTCAAGAAGGAAGCTGAACTCACCAAAGCTCAGTTTTATCGAGTTGAAGCCGATCGCAAATCGCTTTGCAATCCCAACCCCGCCGTAGTTTATCTTCATCCGGGGGTCTCAAGAAGGGGAATGCTCTTTGATGCAACTGCTCTTCCCTGCTCCATTCCAATACGCACCCAGCTTCGAGATTGAGCGAGGTTGTACGACGAACGAAGGTTTCCTCCGAATTTTCTCCCGCCGCTTTTGTCAGATGCCTGTTCGTAGATGAGAACAAACGAGAAAGTGGCGTATGTGGTTGAGACACCATCTGTTGGGACCTTGTGTTTATCGTTGGTCCTCTGAGCAATCAAGTTCCCCGTTGGATGACATTGAATGGAAATCCCATCGATGTTGCTGCTTTTTCCACTCTGCACTCTTTTTTTTTTTTCCATTCTTGTTGTTGTTTCATTCTTCAACTTCTCTGACAAGATGGAAGTCGAGGACGACTTGGATCCTGAGAGTGAGTGTGGTCTTCCATTGAGAGCCATAGCCTCGCTCTCTCTCGCTCCCAATGCTCTCTTTCTCTCTTACTCTCACTCGTACGCGCTCCCAGCCCGCCGCTGCTTCCAGTTGGAGATCCACACGCCACTCGATCCTTCTTGTCCCCATCCCCAGCTCGGAACAGGGGGAGGAAGAGAAGCGATTCAAACCAGCAATGCTGCGATCTCACTCTCGCGGTTGTCCTCTTCACCCACTTCCGCGGATGCTATTGCCTTGCCGCTTGTCCCTGCTGAATACTGACGCAATGCTTCACCTTTTTGTGTTTTGGGTCGGCTTTTGGTGTTTGGCAGCTTACAACAACAGCTTTGACCCGTTCGATGGGCTTGGAAGCGACCTGGGGCATCAGCACCCAAGCGACGCGAGCGCGACTCCAATGACCACTGCAGATGAGGTTGCTGGCACTGCCATGGAGGTCGATGCGGCGGAGAGCAGCGCCAAGCAGCAGCAGGACGAGCCCAAGCAACACACTCAGTCTGAGGCAGCTCAGCGCCGCAACAACCGTGGGCAGCGATCGCCACAGAGGCCATCGCAGAATGGCGGAGGTCGGAATGAGCAGCGTGGTGGTGATGGTGGTAGTGGTAGTAACAACAGTCGCAACGCTGGCGGACGAGGCGGTGGCAACCAGCAAGATCGACGAGGCAACGATGGTCGCGGCAACGAGCGATCACCAGCCGCCGGAAATGCTCGGAACACTGGTCAGGGCGCTGCTAGTGTTGGTGGTGCTGATACCAACGATCGTGCTGGGCTGACCGAGCGCGAGCGAGAGCGCGACAGGCTGGAGCGTGATCGACGAGACAGGGACCGACCAAACACCTCGTCTCAGGGCTCCAATTTCGCACAGCGCGCACAGTCTCCTGATTCGCGAGACCGTGATCGTGATCGTGAGCAGCGCGAGCGAGAGCGAGAGAGGGAGCGCGAGCGAGAACGGGAGAGGGAGCGCGACCGTCGTCCATCGAGCGGCCCTGGTGCTGCTGCTGCTGCTGCTGCTGCTGCTTCTGCTGCTTCTGCTCCACCACGAGCACAATCGCCAGACCGTATACGAGAACGTGAGCGTGAGCGTGAACGTGAGCGAGACCGCTTCCCTCCCCGCGATGCTCCGCGGTCGCGATCGAGGTCTCCGCCTTCAGCTCGTCGTGGCAACTTCCCTCCGCCTCCATCGAACGCCGTTGAATTGGACGCGTCGACAAGCCGGGCGTCCTCTGCCGCCACGAACGCGCGCACATCGGTGGACAGACCGCGCGATGACAGACCACGCGATGACAGACCACGCGAGACCAATCCTCGAGACTCGCGAGATTCTCGAGACCGGGATGCTCGCGAGGTGCGGGAGCGTGATCAGCGCGACCAGGAACGTGACCGAGAGCAGCGTCGAGAACATGAAACACGCGGGGGCGATCGCGATCGTGGGCGTGACCAGGACAGTGCTCGCGACCGCGATTCCCGTGAGGCCGATCGCCGACGGGCACGATCTCGCTCGGCTTCGCCGCGCCGCGGAGACGCAGCCGCACAACCGAGCGCCTTCCCACCGCCGCCCGCAATGCTTCCTGCTAGCTTCTCACTCCCTGCCCCAGGTTCATCTGCTGACGGCTCTCAGTTTCCACTGCCCCCGTTCCCGTTTGCCCCCGGCATGCCACCATTCTTGTTCCCTCCAACGGTGCCTTCGGCTGGCGGCAATCCAATGCTAATGTTCCCGCCTCTCCCCTTCCCATTCCCATTGCCGGGTATGCCAGCAGGCTCGGCTCCAGGCTCGGCTCCAGCACCAGTCCCCGCATCAGCCCCTTCTGCATCTGCTGCTCGCCGCCCCAACGGAGATCGGGAACGTGAGCGTAGCGATACCAGTCGTGATGCCCCAAAGGATCAGCAGCATGACCAGCACCCTCGAGATCAACGAAGTGCACCCCGCGATGAGCGCGATCGGCCGCGGGATCAACCGCAGCGCGATCAAGCACAACGCGATCAGCCACAGCGTGACCAGCGTGACCAGCGTGACCAACGTGACCAACGCGATCAACGCGATCAGCCAAACCGCGACCAGCGCGATCAGCGCGACCAGCAACAACGCAGTCAACCACAGCGTGACCAGCGCGATCAACGAGATCAGTCACAGCGCGACCAAACACAGCGCGATCAACAACGAAACCAACCCCGCGATCCGCCGCAACGAGATCAGCGCGACCAGCGAGATCAGCGCGACCAGCGAGATCAGCGAGACCAGCGAGATCAGCAGCAACGCGACCAACGCGATCAGCGCGATCAACAACAACGAGATCCGCCACAACGCGACCAACGCGATCAGCGCGATCAACAACGAAACCAACCCCGCGATCCGCCGCAACGAGATCAGCGCGACCAGCGAGATCAGCGAGATCAGCGAGACCAGCGGGACCAGATTGATCAACGAGAACAGCGGTCGCGAGCGTCTGATGATCGCTCTCGTGATCAAAGTCAATCGAGGCCGACTCAGCGCGAGAGTGAGCCGCGCGACAGCCGTGAGCGTGACGCTCCGAAGGCTTCGGCGACCCCGGCAGTCGTGACACCAACCCCGGAAATGACCGCTCGTGCTTTCGCCGAGGCATCCGCTGTTGTGCAGCGTGCTACCGCGGAAGGTCGCGCTCCCGCCGATATGATGGGCTTTTTGAATGAACAAATTGCGGTGGCCATGAAGCGCGAGATGGAGCGGGCATCGGCCTCGTCAAGCAGCGCGTCCAAAGATCGGCCTTCGTCTAGATTGACTTCTTCTGTTGCCGCGTCGCACGCACCAGAAAGCCGTTCTAAGCAATCGTTAAACTCCGTCTTGGATCGGGTGCGAGAACCGAGCGTACTTGATCGAGTGAGTGGGCGATCGGCAAGCGAGAGCGCTTCCTTGTCCACCCCAATGGATACTTCCTCATCAGGCACCTCTGTGAGCAAGCGTGTCATTCCTCCAATCACCTTTGACAAGGATGAGATGGAGCGTGCTCGTCCATTGGCAGGTTAGCACATCTTCGAATTGGCCTAGTGACTGTATTTTATTGTTGGTCTGCGATCGCTCATCGTGCCTTGCTTTCCTTGCCGAATGCTTTTGTGCGTTTGTATGTCGCAGTTTCGTCAGCAGTCTCGGTACCAGCATCAGCTACTCCTGGACTGTTGCCACATCCAGTCGCCCCAAACTCTGTGAAACGAGACAATTCTGGTACTCCTGTACGTGACAACGCTGAAGGAAACGCTCGGGGCAGACAACGAAACAATCAGAATCAGAATCGCCAACAACAACAGCAACAACAGCAGCAGCAACAGCAACAGCAACCGCAACAACAAAACCAACGGTACGAGATTTTCTGCGAACATGGCATGTGCGTTCATTGCATTGAGTACTAATTGGTGACTCGCTTCTTTGTCTCATTCGGTGGTGGACAGTGGTCGCACGAACAGCTTTAGCAATGCTGATGGCGATGTTCAGCAGGCTAAACGAGCACGCACTCAATCCCCCGAACGCACGTCGGCTGCAGATCGAACTGGCCGCTCCACAGCTGTCTCGCCTGGCGTCAACTCCAGCCCTGCTGTAAGCGAAGTTTGCTTTGTTTTCTTTGGGATTGTCTGCAGGGGTGCTTTTGCACTGACTATGCCGAATGTTGATGCAACTAGAACGGAGGACAACAATCCAACAGCAATAGCCACAACAGCAGCAACAGCAGCAACAACAACAACAACAACAACAGCAATAACCACAACAACAACAATCGGAGAAATCGCGGCAAGAAACAGCGCTAATCCTCGTCACAGTCTGTTTTTGAAATGCCTCCACTCGACGGTTTTGCTTGAATACACCACAAAATCCAATCCAATGTTCAATCTCGAGCATCAGTGTGCATGCCATCAATCTGTGCTTATTTGTCATACGATGGCAGTTTCGCACAAACCAAAGAGCAAAAGAACGAAGGAAGTAATCGAAAACACAAAGAAGAGACAATCAACAAGAAAAGCAAAACACACACACAACAAAAAAAACCGTCCAAATCAAATCAAGCCAGTCTAGTTGGAGAGGGCGGTCATGATAACGCCGCCAAAGGCAAATGCGAACGCAAATGCAAGGAAGATAAAGTTGCGCTTGCCGGAAATTTCGTGGAAGATGACAATGCCAATGACACTCGAGACCACGCCTGGGCCAGTGGAGATGATGGGGAAGCTGATGGTTTGCGAGAGATTCTGATTGGCAACAAACCACATGCTCTGGCTGATGGCCCACATGATGCCGGAGATCATCGAAGGCAACACGAGCTTCGGGTAAATCATGGGCTGGTTCTTCTTGGCAATGCAGTAGAGCACAAAGTAACAAGTGGAAGTGGCGTAAATGCCAGTGAAATGGGCAAACACGTAATCGAGTCCAGACTGACTAGCACCTTCATAATTGTCTCTAGAGCAACATCGAAGCAAAGGAAAGAACAGTTGATCAAGCAAGTGAGACGCCGAACAACCAAACAAAACAAAAAGAAGAGCCTGCGCTTCTTTTGGGTTGGGTACTCGAAGAGGAGAAGTGGGGGGTTCACTCACTGCACGTAAGCAACAGGTGTAAAGTTGAGGCCATAGCAGCATCCAGCGAAAAGGGCAAGTGAGCGGCCGACCCAAGTGCGTTGTGCTGGTGCCAGCTTGTCTACCCATGAGCCCGTTGCGCCAGATAGGCTGCGATGTTGCTTGCTCGAAAACGCACGTCGAACCTTGAGCACTCCAGTCGCAGGTTCGTCGTCATCAACCATTTCGGTCTTGATCAAGAGCGTTTCCTCATCGCTGTTGATGTTGTGGCGGCTACTGGCCATTGACGGTGATGGTGACTGGGACGAGGTCGTTGGCTTTGAAGCATCGGGCTGAACGGTGTAGAGATTATCTTTGATCTCGACCAAATAGTCGGGCAGGTAGCCGGCGCTGTTCTGACTCTTTGCGTTATCCAGTGTCGGACGAACGAAAAGATAAAACACAAGACTGATACAGCACAACGCCACACCGGCCGAGCTCAGAGCGGCGTCATTTGGTGGCGCGGGAGTGACACCAAACCAGCCATACCGACCGCTGAAATAGCCCATCAGCAAGTTGGAACTGCTCCAGAGCAGCATGCCTTGTGCGAGACCCAGCAGCTGGACAATTGGCACGACCGTAATGTTTCCTTTTTGTTGAGCGGAGGTTGGGTTGGTGGAGGGACATTTTCAAGTGTTTGTACAGAGTCAGCATTCCATGATCCGGGTCGGACTGCTACTTTGCTTCTGTGTGTGCTCAGAACTTACCGGTAGTCCAGAGGAGACCGCCAATCATGGCGAAGGGGTGGAATTCGGGACTGCCCTGGATCAGGTTCACCACGATGCCCGTCATGAAGATGAATGAGCACAGCACCCACTGGAAGAACAGACCTGCATAGAGAGAAAGATAGAGAGAGAGAGAGAGAGAGAGAGAGAGAGAGAGAGAACGTGTGAATGAGTTTCGAGTTAGAATTCGAGGTCAACCTGTGCAAACATCAACTGAAACGTTACCGTCGCCCGACTCAAACCGCTTGAGTGGAACAAAGTTGGAACCCCACAAGAAGACGGAAGCGGTCACCGCGCCAAATCCGATCGCAGCATTTTTATCGGACGTAGAGTTGGATGCAGCGTCGGCAACAGTTGGCTCGGCAGAGGTGACTTGCGCAGCGCCATTCAAGACGAGCGCCAACAAGAGACCTGTTTTCAAGAAGTCATCAAAAATCCCAGCACAACACAGCAAAAAAAGTGAGTGACACCGCAGACGATCTATGGCTCAGGCTGAGCAGCAATGTTGGGCGCAATAGGACGTGTAACGGAGTTGTGGAACAGAACAACAAAAAAAACCAGTTTGTTGTAATGGAGTGCGATTGTGGCTGTCTGTGTCACGAGCGCTGCAGTCTCGTGGACGTATGCATTCCGCGGTTCAATGATAGTGACGCCGACCTGCTCGTCGTCACACAAGCTGCCAGGCGCGGATTGGAGCTCTGAACGTGCGAATCGTTGGCTCGGTCTTTGCAGCGATCCTCCTGCGCCCTTTCCCTTCCCCCTTCCCTCCACACACCTTGCAAAACACAAGTCAGACCAGATCGTCGTAACAGACTCTCTAGCCCGAACTCCACCCCACGCCCCGCCACCTGGAACGCGACCCTGAAGGAAGGAGATTGCCGTCGGGACAATAACAGTCGACGAACAACTGCCAACCCCCACCCCCCCGCGCCCTTCCTCCTGCGCCGACTCAGCGCGACAATGACAGATACTGCGGTACGTCGACGTGGTGTCGGATGCAGAGGCGAAACAGCGCAGTGGTTGAAGCGAGCAATTTTGGCCAATCCAAGCCGACGATGCCCATGTGAGGCGGTGCCACCCACCCACCAGCTCACCCTCTCTTTGCTGCTGGCGCACCAGAGTGCAACCAGAGTGCTGCTGAGACGACAGCGAAATCTTGCTGGCTGTGCTGGTGGTGGTGCTGGCGGTGTGTGGTCTGTGGCGAACTCCAGCGTCGACCATTTCGCTCGCTCTACAACAACAAATCTGCAGGACGTATTGTATGGAAAATAACACCGACCTGTGCAAACAAGCCAGCGACCGAGCATTCAAAAGAGAAGCGTGTGAATGAAAGAGTGAGGACAGCAACTGTGATACAGCACTGTGGCATTAACAACGACATAGCCACTGTTGATGGATTTTTGAAAGTTGCTCAGAATTGTTGACGCTGAGGAGGAGAAATTCAACATCAGTCGTCCTTTTTGTGCTTCACCACAAAGACAAAAACCCCCTTGTTTTCCCCTTCCCCTTGCAAGATGCATACTACCGAAAACAGACTCTTCATAGCGGGCTTGGCCTTCATCTTTATCGCGTCGTGCGTTCTCTTCAATGTCGGCTTCACTCGCGGCGATTGGGTCTCGAACAATACCGGCGGCTCAGTGGGTGTCTACAAGTTCTGTCTTTTCACCTTAGATGGAATTCAATGTGCGCGCTACGGCTCTGTGGACACTGTAAGTTGAGCTCGGATAAGTTGAAGTTGTTGAGCTTAGCTGGATACAGAGCACACCCATCTCGTCTACTCGCCGTACCAGTATGAGTCACACGAATGCCATGTTTCAATACGAGTGTATAAGAGAGATGTGGAGGCCTGTGGTTGAAGTGGTGCCCGTGAGGTCTTGTGCGTTTTTGGAGCGGATTTTCGCTTCTTCTCCATTACTGGTGCTGGGATGTGCCGGAGCCTTTTTTGTTTTCTTTGACCCTGGACTCGGTCTTTGTCTGCTGTACTTTAAGTGCTGTTGTGCAGGTGTGAGAATGAGGTGTCTGTGGGCTCGTGAACAGCCAGCGGGCGAGCGGCAAGGGATGGGGGCGGTGTACGGCGTTCTTTATCTGGAAATGGTGTCCACTTGTTTATCGCGCACCACGGCGACAGTAGAGCATTTCATTAAATACTATTGGTTCGACATCAACCACTGTGACAACGTTGCCAACATTCTAGAGGTCCTTTTTTGGGGAAAGTTGCTTGATTCAGCCAAATCCAAAACGTGAATTGCATCTCGCTTTCTCTTGCATTGACTTTGATCTCATTTTCTTTGTCCCGTGTCGCTTCGCCTACGTTTTGTATACATGTCTAGTTTAACGACCTGACGAACGGATGGACTGTCTCGGCTGCTTTCATTCTGGGCACAGCCTGCGCCGTGTCCGGACTCTGCGCCCTGTTTTGCATTTTTGCCATGTGTGAACCGGCCATGATGATTGGTGTCTACATCACCGCGGTTATCACAGCCTTCTTTGGCGTGTTTGGTCTCGTCGTCCTATATCCCGTCGGCTTTGGGAGCAATCCGGTACTGAATCAAATCTGTCCCGGCGCGTCCACGTACCACATTGGCCCGTTCTGCAAAATGGACACTGGTTACATCTTGGCTTCGATTGCTACAGGTCTTTCCCTTCTTGGACTCGGATTTGTGCCCTTCGTTGACCGCTATCATGCTCGTCGCGTCACGCGGCAAACCCAGCACCACGAACTTCCTCCCATGACCCAAGTCAACCCGCAGTACCCGCAATACCCTGCCGAATATCCGCCTCAGTACTAGACACTGTCGGGACCCAAGAGTCGAGTCTGCCCCGCCGGCGAAGGTAGCCGGTGGTTGATCATGAGGCTTGAGTGTTTGCTGCATATTTTGTCACAATCAACTGACGTTACCTGGCCAATACCTGTCGATATTTGAACCCGTGGGGTCCAGAGTCTAATAGACGTCCGAGTGTATGTTGATGTGTTGCAGTTTGGCCGTTTTTGGAGGTGTGGTGTTCGTCCTACTGATGTGAAATGACAAAATTAAAAACCAGCAACTGAAAAAAGTAAGCAACCCGGCCAAATTCTTGCGCTGCACAACGCGCCTAGTACAAGCATCTCCTTCTTCACAAAACGATCCCACACGTGGCCCACTTTACGTTTTGTATGGAGGCGCATCTGCTCAATGGGTGTGGCGAGACTGACCAGGTGTTCGGAACGTCAAACCAGGCGGTCAGGAGAATGGCTGCGTTGCACTCGTCCAACCCGTCCGCCATCACATACAATGAATACACAATGATATTTTCGATATATTTAGCAAGATGGCGGCTTTGATGAATGGACTTGAGTGGTCTGATTTTGGCTTGGCGTTTTGAGTACTAAAACTTGTTTTTTATTCAGTACCAACTTTTTTTTTTTTTTTTTTGATTCTTCAGTATCAATTTTTTTTTCTCGCGATCGCGAAACCCTTGCACTTCAACACAGCTGATTTCTCTGTGACCCCATCTCTCTCTCTCTCTATCTCTCTTACCACGATTCCCACCATTTGAAAAAAGCGGCGAAAAAAAAACAAAAAAAAAAACGCGACATCAATCCAATCCGCTTTTGGTCGGACGGCTCACTCCCGAATTCGCAGCCAACTTTCGTTTTTTGTATGTCCGCCCCATCACTCTGCTCGCCGAGCTGTGTGCTCCAACAACCTTCGCCACGATCATCTCAATTTCAACTACCTTTGACCTTGCCATTTGGCCCCGCTCCCGGCCTGCGTCTGGGTTGCTATTTGTGCCTTTTTGTCTCCGCGTCTTGGCGGTCTCGGCAGCCGCGCGCCAAAAAAAAAAAAAAAAAACCATTACGACGTTTCGTTTTCTTCTTTCCCATTCATTTTCTCCCCCGTTTTCCTCGTTCGCTTCAGCGGCTTGCTCGATTCGCTTCGGCATACAAGCCAACGCAACACACACACACATGCGAGCCGAGAGAGCCGGGACGAGAGCGAGCGAGTGAGTGAGGTGACGGCGTCCACATTAGCAGTTCTCTCGTGGCTCTTCCTACTCTTTCCTCCATTCTCTGCCCGTCCGCAGCCCAGAGCAACGCCGCGCCGCCGTCTGCATGGCAAGGCCTCCATTGTTGACCATTCGAGTGCCCGTGTCAGGGTGGCTGCAGCGTGGTCGCACACCGCTCGTCGTCGTTGGACCCCGTGTTCCAGAGCAGTGCCATGTGTCTTGGCGATTTTATCCGTCCTCTGCGCCAGCGATCCGATGGACTGTGGCCTCCGAATGCGCATTTCACTCCTCACTCAGCTGGCATTGCCAGACAATCACGCAATCAACGCATCGAGCGACGCCACACACACTCGCGCGCACGCACAGAGCCACGGCGATCGGGGGACGGGAGAACCAGGGCGGGGAGTCAGCGGACGATTGTGTCCATGCGGTTTGAGCGTTTGATCACCAACTCTGTCATCCATCCTCAACACTCCTTGCATTCGTTGGATTGCGTGTGCCCGAAGAGATTGCTTCCATCTTGGGCGTGGTGAGGAACGGCGCGCGGCAATTCTGGCAGAGAGGAGACGCGAGTTTCCAGCTCGATTCGGACAAGGCTGCCCACACACACCACCATGATCGTCGTGCCATTATTGCTTGTGATGTCAAACAGTCTTGCATTTACTCACCAATGACATATGATGGACATGCTTCTTCCTCTTCTTGTCTGGTTCTGAGCAGCGAACACCCACCCCAAATTTAACGCCTCGCTTGGAAATCTTCCGCTCTAGCTTCTTCGTCACCTAGTTCCGAGTTACAAACAAAGCTCTTCTCAAACACCAAGAGCAGCACCACACAAGGAAAACAAAACCCTCTCAAAAACCCCCCACTTCGTCCAAGTCCCGCGTCTGAATGTCTGGACCTGTCACGAATGCTGCCGCGACCAATATCGCCAAGAAAAATCCGCTCATGACGGCCCTGTCGTCGTTCCTGACCCGTCACAAGGTCGTCACAGACACAGTCATCTGCTCGTCGCTGTACTCGACGGGTGACATTATTCAGCAGCGCATCGAGGGCGTCGAGGGCTGGGACTGGCGTCGCACGGCTCGCATGGGCAGCGTCGGCATGTTCCTGGGCCCGTGCAACCACTACTGGTACCGTATGATTGACAGCAAGTTCCCCACTGCGGTCAACTTCAAGCAGGTCACCGTCAAGGTGCTCTGCGACCAGTTTGTCTTTTCGCCCTTCTGTCTGTTCAGTTTCTACACGGGCATGGCCCTCATGCACGGCAACTCGATGGCAGAATACAAGAAGGAGCTGGTTGACAAGTATCCCCACACCTTCATGGTCGACTGTATGGTCTGGCCTGGTCTCCAGTACGTCAACTTTTTCTTTGTTAAGGGCCCCTTCCGCGTCGCCTACGTCGCGTCCTGCTCGCTCTTCTGGAACATTTTCCTCTCGCACATGAAGCACGCCTACAACAGTGATGAGTCACACGCGCCTTCCAGCGCTGCCACCCTCGCCACTCCACAAACAACGGAGAGCCTTGATGTGGCAGCTGCCAACCGCATTTCCGGGACAGCCTCTGCACTTGTGGTGGCAGCTACTGCCGCTGCGGCCGGTCCGCAGCCTCTGACCATCACTTCATCGCCATTCGAGCAACAGATGCGCCTTCGTGATGCTCTTCGAGACACGCTTCGCACACACACCAGCTCACTCCAGTTTGCCGACGCCGCCATCAAGAACGTAGGCACTGCCCTGCCATCGCGGCTATTGCTAAACCGTCTTGCGCCTTGGACTGAATTCCAGTCATGAGCTGCTGCGGTGCTTGCCATTCTCGTCGAAAATGTCGATAATTGCGAATTCGGATCTTGACGCTCGAGAGCTGAATTTGATGTTAACTTCTCTTCTTCTATTGTTGTTGCTCAATTAATAAACACGCTACCATATCTCTCTCGCCTGTCTACATCCGTTGCCAAACCCCGTGACAGCGTCAAGGTCGCCTCCAATTCCGATGGGAAATCATTCGTTTTTTTTTTTGTTTTCTAATTTTCAATGAGTTCGGCTGTTGGACATCACGAGGCTCTCCTCCGACCCTTGCTGAGAAGCGTCGCCACGCTCACTGCAACAACGAACGCGGCGATGGTGGCTGCGAAGGGGTCGAGTCTGGCTCCGTCTTCGGCCTTGTCGGCATCATTCTCGACTTGCGCCGCGTCGTCCGGCGTCGTCTCGAGTGCGCCCGCTGCGTCGTCGTCGTCGTCATCATCAGCTTCATCTTCATCGTCATCATCTTCATCGAAGCCCAACAAACCCAGCTCGATCGTGCGTGCAGCGGTCTGCAGCGAACTCAAGGCGCCGTTGACGCTGAGCGCAGATTACTCACCAGCAGGCCATCCGCTGGTTGCCAAGATTTCGCCCGAGAAGCGAGTGCGCATCGGGATTCGTGCATGCGGTGTCAATTTCGCAGACACGCTGATGGTCGAAGGCTTGTACCAGGTTGCTACCACTGCTTTGTGATTTGAAAATTGGTCTCCAAATTGGTTGCTCACTCGTCGTGTCCGTCACTGCTCCTTCTGTTGGTCGACCCCAAACTTCCCCACCAACACAACTCTAGGTCAAACCGCCGTTGCCGTTTGTTCCGGGAGCTGAAATTGCCGGCATAGTCTTGGAGACGGGTTCTGCGGTCAAATCGGTGAAGATTGGTAAGCCCAAAATTTGTCAGACGGGGCAACAACAACCAGCTGATGGATCGAGCATTTGTGCAAATGTCGACAGTTGATAACGTCAGGTTGCGTTTTGCTCCCACAGGCGACCATGTCATTGCCTTGTTGGACGGAGGAGGCTTTGCCACCGAGTGTATCGCCCACGAAGCCCAGGTTTACGCGTTGCCCAAAACGATCGCGTTTGGCCAGGCAGCCGCGTTGCCAGTCTCGTACGGAACTGCCATCACCGCGCTGAGCTACCGCGCTCAGACCAAGCCTGGGTAAGTCGTTGAATGTGTCTTTTGCGTATTGCTAGAGCTGCCCCGTAAACCAACATTTATTGGCTGCTTCGTCAACCCGCTTTCAGCGAGACAGTCCTCATCACTGCGGCAGCTGGAGGTGTGGGATTGGCCTCCATTGAGCTTGCCAAGCGAGTCCTTGGCGCGAAGGTGATTGCATGCGCTGGTGGCGCGGAAAAGCTGGCAGTCTGCCAGGCAAAGGGAGCCGATCACGTCATTGATTACAACAAGGAGAGCATCAAGGACCGCGTCAAAGAAATCACCAACGGAAAGGTAGCGTGCACCGAAAGGCGAGCGTGCGCACTCGACTCTTGGATGGCTGACTGTTTGTTTGATTCAATCAAACTACTCGTCTGCTTCATGACATGTTGCAGGGTGTGAATGTCGTGATTGAAGTTGTCGGCGGAGACACGTTCGACCAGTGCCTGCGTTCGTTGGCCCCTGAAGGTCGTCTGGTTGTCATTGGCTTTGCGTCTGGGTCGATTCCGTCCATTCCGGCTAATTTGACTCTTGTGAAGAACATTGCCGTGCTGGGCTTGTACTGGGGCGGATATCAGGCCTTCAATCCGTCCGTTCTGCGCAACAGCATCAAGGATGTCATCAAGCACTGCGAGGCGGGTCATATTAGCCCAGTTGTGTCCGCAACCTATCCTCTCGATCAAGTCAACGACGCGTTTGCCCTGCTGCGCACGCGCAAATCGACTGGCAAGGTTGTCGTGACGATGAACGAATGAAAAAAAAAACCCACTAAAAAACTCCCAATTCGCCAAGCGGCTCGTTGAGACTACTTCAGACCGTCTGTACTGTGCACAATGTTCATTTCAATGTTTCAAACCATCAATGTTACCAACAAAACACAAATCTCATCACCACAACGCCCAATCTAGTCCACTTGATGCGTTTTGACTGCACACACACACACACACACACACACACACACAACTACAACGCTCGAACACTCCTGCTTAGTGCAACAGCGATTCAACGGATGCGCACACTCGAGTGAGGTAGTCACGACCTTGTTGGCATCGTCCAACGGCTGCCAGAACCTGCTGTTCACTGTGATTGCCAAAGTAGTTCAAGAGCAAACCCGGGTCAATACACAAAGTTTCCCCACCAATTGATTCCCCGTCAGATTTTGCGGCCCCACTGATTCACTTACGAAATGCTTCCAAAGGCCACCGATACAACAGCATTCGGCTGCGTATTTGCGATCGGGTTGGCCGTGGGGCACAGGCCGAGTGCCACGTTGAACTTTGCGTGCTTCTTCAAGCTGAAAAACTCAAAGACCACGTTGACAAACTCAGAGCTTGCATCCATCGAGCGGATTGTCACGGTGTGGTACACGCCAATCTTTTTGAGCTCGGCAAGCAGTGCACGCAGACGTCCGACAAAGAGGGCCACCAAAGAGACAATCTACACGGTTACAAGGTGAGTCGCAGGCTTTTAGCACCAACCAAGTCAAAGTCTGGGCCAGTGCTTGCACATACCTGCGATGCAGCCTTTCCTTGCTTGACAGTCTTGCCGAGCAACCCAGCCCAATCACATGCGTCATTCAAAGTCTTGACTTGTGCGCATGCAAGGGCGGTTGGCACAAGGCGAGCCTCCACAGGTTTGCCTGTGAAACGACGGTACATTTTTCAGTCAGTCAGCCTCTTCTGCCACCCACAGTTCTGAGTCAGACTGGAGGAGCTTTTTCAAACGTACCATTCGCGTCCAACCGAAGTCGCAATTCGAGTTGTTTGTCGAGGAACTCGAGCACCACTTCTTGCTTTGTCAACTCACTCACAGAGAACGAGACCAATCGTACAATGCTGGTGTATCGTTCCTTTGCCAATTGCACATGCTTTGGCGTGACTTGGTTGAGTTGCTCGTTCAGCTTGGTTGCCTGTGCCTTGCTTGCTTCGACTGCCGCAGCTTCCTCACTGCCAAAACGACCCACCGCCAAAAAAAAAAAAAAAAAAAAACAAAAAAAAAAACCAAAACAAAAAAACCCGCTTAGATGAGTGACTGACATGACAGCCCACCACGCACTCGTTCACAGTCATTGCAGAAAACAACGCCCCCCCACCCAATCATCGCGCCCTTACCGAAAACGGGCCACATTCGAGTTGCCAAGCTGCAACATTGCCGTAAGGTTTTGCTGCTCGCTCGGGTTCACCGCAGTCGCTTTGAGCGACGCAACTCGGGCAGCCATCTGCTCTTTGCTCTTCTTGGCGGCCTCAATCAGGGCCGAGACGCGCGAGCTGGTCTTGCGAATTTGGTTCAAGTCCTCTCGAACCAGCGGAAGCTCCTCGTTCATGTCGCGAAGAATGCCATCTTCCATTTTCGCGCGCCACTCGTACCAACGAAAGTGCGAGATGCTGCTATGGTAGGCCTTTGTGGCGGCCAGGTTGCGGCGCAGCAGCTGGATCTCTGCCATGTCTTGGGCTTGGGTCAAGATGGACAACGTCTCAAACAGTGGGGGATTGCTCTTGCTCATGTCGTACTCCATGGAGCCAATCACGCGACGCAGCTCCTGCGTAATTTCCTCGTAGGTCTGGCAGCCCTCGACGAGGTAGGCCTTGTCGATGGAAAAGGAGATCGAATGGCGGATGCTGTCATCGACGCGGCCAAAGTCCAACAGCGGCGCGGTGGCAGCGCCCGTTGCCGTGCCGGCGGCAGGGATGTTTGTCGGCAAGGCAATGGTGGTTCGTCGGCGATAGGAAATTTGGTCGAGGAAGCGAACTTGCGCCATAATCAAGAACTGGGCAAGCGACAGCTGCTCTGCCGGGGAGGCAAAGCTCGCGTCTAGCTCAGATTGGTCGAGCATGCTGGGTCCTTCGCTCATGAACGAGGGCTGGTCGTTGAGCTGGGACACGTCGCCAGGAGCAGGGGACGGGGATCTTGTGTCTGCGACGAGCTGGGGTTGCGCGGACGAAGGTTGCACAGCAGCAGCAGCAGCAGCAGCAGCAGATGGCTGAGTCTGGAGAGCTTTGCCAACCTCGGCTTGAGCCAAAACTGGGCGGCGAATAGCCTCTGCGCCATACGACGAAGAAGACAATTGAATGGGAAGCATGATACCAGGAGCGATGGAGTTGGTCACGGTATTGGTGATATCAAGGTCTTGCATGGAAAGGGGTGCCGGTTGCGCGCACTCTGGCTCAATGGCAGATAGGTCGTCGACCATGGAGACGTCCTGCAGCTTGAAATCCGATTCCAAGGTGGGTGCGTTCGCAATCGCTGCGGCCTCTGCGGCAAGGTGGGTGGTCTCGCTTTCAGCCTCATCGCCTTCGTCCTCTGATTCGTCCATGCGGGCTTTTTTGGATCGCTGAAGGACTGCGCCGCTGATGCTGGGGCGGCCGACAACACTCTTTCGCCGCAGATTGGCAAAGCGGTTGTTGAACGTGTCCTCGTCAAACGTGTCGTTCAAGTCACACATCTCGACTGGGTAGTTGGCATTGTTCTCCAAAAGTTCGGATTGAGGCACATGGATGTTGGCATCGTCCTCAGCCGGACGCTTGGCAGGCGAAATCGTAGCAGGGGACCATGCGGGCTCGACAGTCGGGCCTGCATTCTGCAGAATGCCACCGACACATTCGGTCTCGTCCATGGCGCACATGTCACGAATGGACTTGCGGCGAGCTGATGCCGGCTCTGGTGCCTCGAGCTCAGGCTCCTCCAGCGCAGGCATCTCGGGCTCCGGAGCCACTGCGACAAGTCCTCCAACACACTCTGTTTCATCCATCGCACACGCGTCACGAATGGACTTGCGGCGAGAAGAGGCGGGGAGGGGAGAGGTGATTTCCAGCTCACCCTCAGCTGCAACTGCAGGAACGCTGGCAGTCGGCTCCAGCTCCAGCTCTGAGCCAGCAGCAGCAGGAGCAACATTCACTTCTGCAGAAAGGATTTCTCCTACGCACTCTGTCAGGTCCATCGCCTCGTTATCGCGGATGCTCATGCGGCGCGATGCCATTTCGTCAGCAGCAGCAGCAGCAGCAGCAGCGGGCTCGGGCAAATCCTCCTGCTCCATGGAAAAGTCGAGCGCAGGAATGTTCTTGGGAAGGATGCTCAGACCAGTCTGCGTTGACTCACTTGGGGTTGAGCTCAAGGCTGCTTTGGTCGAGGGCAGGGTGGAATCATCCGTCTCGGACGAGTTGCTCACGTCCGTGTTGGAGATGGTGAGCCCACACGCAGAGATTCGACGCATCAGCACTGACACGTTGGTGGTGGCATCGTTGTCGTCATCTGCCATGAACGAGTCCATCGTCTGCGCATCAAGAAGGAGGTCTTGGTTGTTGGTGGTGTTGGTGTTGGCAACGCGTTCGGCTTCAGCGGCAAAGTCCATTTGCACTTCCGCAACCAACATGCGTCCCCGATCCAACGACGACCGCAGTGTTCCATTGGACGTGGATTGCGCGGCCGACGGCAGCGTTCCTCGCTGGAAGGCCAGAATGCTCGAGTTCAAGTCCGCGGGCGGGTTGGTGTTGCTGGCTGCGGCAACCGGTCGCGACGGAGGTGCAGCGACTGGGGACGGTGTTCGCCACTCGAGCGGATTCTTGTCATACGTATTGACATATGCATGCTGGGCAAAGGACACCCTGCGACGGTCAATGGCGCTCTTGCGCGAGGCAGCGGGCTTGAGCGAGGACTGCCTTCGCTTCCCTGCTGCACCAGCACCAGCACCACCAGCACCACCCGCACCAGCACCAAAGCGCAAGTTCATAGTGGCTGTGGTCTCTGTGAGATCGCCGACGCTGTCCAGCTCGGCCGCGCTGCTCGGGTAGAGTGCAGTGAATGACAGGTCGTTGAGCGCGCTGCCAAAGCCGTTGGTCAAATTTGAAACCGTTTCATCCCGCTCGCCGCCGCCTGTCAAAGCGGACAGGTCCAGCTGCTCGTCGTGACGCCCTCCTGCTCCTGCTCCTGCGCCCGGTGCTGCTCCTGGTGCAAGCGAGAACAGGTTGCGGCCATTGTGACTGGGAGTGTGTGGCGCAGGCGTAACGGCGGGCTCGGGCTGCTGCTGCTGCTTTGAGATTGGCGTTGCTGCTGCTCCGGAAGCAGCGCCGTTGGTCAGGTTGCGCAGTACGCCGGTCGACGATGCGCCGTGAACGACTTTCGGCGTTGATGAATTCTCACTCGCAAGCATCGGTTTGACTGTTTGTTTGTTGCTTGACGGAGGCGAGTCAAAAGTCGATTTTGAATTGGAATCAAAAGAAAAAAAAAAAAAAAAAAAGAAATGAAACACAAAAACTCAAAAAATTTGGCGCCAAAAAAACCAATCAAAAAATCACGCAATGCAAAATGCTTTGAAAACAAAGAAGCTAAGCTTTGTTACAATGGTTGAACAACAAACTTCATTGACATCACAATCGACTCAACTACGCAAAAAAAAAAAATAATCGAGGAAAATCGACTCTTGCCTGGTCGTCTTGCGACTTCTGCACACACAAGTTGAAACAGTTCCAACCGTCAAACTTGCAGCACTTTGACCCTGATCTCAACGAGTTGAGCTATGAGCCGGTTCAAATGCCACAGTTGGGTCACACTGTACAGTACAACGTTACTCAATGCCGACTCTTGCATTTTGCTCTGAACCTTCAAAAAAGCCTCTCAGATTATTTAGTCCATCTTTTGCGTTTTTCTTTTCTTTTCACATTTATTCAAGCCCATTCCCCCCCCCTTCTCCTCTTCCCCACTTTCGGTTGTGGTCGTCATTATTATGCAGCGTGGCGATCGTGGTGGCTCCGGACGAGGCGACCGAGATCGTCGAGGCGGAGGAGGGCGCGACCGAGACCGAGACCGAGACCAGGATGACAAACCACGCGGCGGTCCAGTGCTCAAAGGCAACGAGTGGAAATGCGATTCGTAAGCGTGAACTTGCTTGGGGGCGGGGGGAGCAAAGCGGGGGTGGGGGCGGGGGTGGGGTGCAGCTGGAGTGTGACGGAGCGACTGAGCTCGGGATTCAATGGAAAGCTCACCCTGGGACCCCGAATCGCTCATCTCATCAGGTGCACCAACATCAACTGGGCATGGCGCAAGGAGTGCAACCAGTGCGGGATGAAGCGACGGTCGATCGTCGAGGAGCGAACCGGTGCTGGCGGCGGATACAACGAGCGCGAGAACGTCGAGTACCGCGACCGCCAAGAGGACGACGAGTACGATGACTTTGGTCGCAAGAAGCGCAAGCCCCTCTCGGGAGCAGCGGTGGCGGGCGCAGCGACGACGGCGGGGACGGGACATGCTGGCGGGCTCAATGTGCAGTCAAACAACAGCAAGGACGACGATCGCAGTAATACCGAGTCAACCGAGGACCTGTTTGCGGATATCAATGGCGAACGCGAGGGCGGTGATGATGATGATGATGATGATGACGATGATGACGAAGACGTCGATCTGTCAAAGTACGACTTTGACGCTGTTGCTCCTGATTCAAGCGAAACCAGCAAACCCGCTCCAACGCGCGACTCTGGTGATCGAGAGGACCGATCGAGTGAGCGTTCAAGCAGTAGAAGCAGTCGAGACAGAGACTACGACCGAGACCGAGACCGCGACCGCGACCGCGACCGTGATTACAGTCGAGACAGAGACCGAGACCGTGATTACGACCGAGACCGCAGCCGTGGGTCTGGCAGTGATCGTGAGCGAGATAGAGACCGAGATCGATACCGAGACAGCCGTAGCGATCGAGATTCGCGCAGCGATCGTTCGAGACGCGCGTCACGAAGCCGAAGCCGAAGCCGCAGTCGCAGCCGCAGCCGCAGCCGCAGTCGTAGTCGCAGCCCATCATCTCGACACTCTCGCTCTCGGTGATTTGTTCCCCCGAACGCTCAGGTGTAATACAGCGTGTTGAAGTTGCTTTTGTTTTTTCCAACAGTTCTTTTTTGCAATTCATCTTCACAAGCAACCAAGCATGGGCCCACCCCACATATCCAAACCCGTTCCATCCAGTTTGCCCCGACTCACGCCGTTGGGCTTCAGTCTTGATTCAATACACAATGTCTGCCGGCAATTGGTGTCTGATTGAAAGCGATCCCGGTGCGTCCATTCACTGACCATTCCATCAACAGCACTTTGTCGCATTGATACTCTCTTTTTGTGTGTGATTTGCACTTGACGACCGAGTGTGCATGGCTGACTGTGACTGTTCCTTCGTATGCAGGTGTCTTTACTGAGCTGATCCGTTCGATCGGTAAGCAGTCGAGTCCACTCAGTTTCATCAGCATCCCACCATTGCCCATCATGAGGCGGCGTTCTCTCTGCATTCTGACGTTCGTGTCATGTCAGCAACCCCCGAGTGGGCTGGCTGCAACGCTCTTGCACAAGTGAACGCGAGAGAGGGGGGCTGGGGGTTTCGAGATCTCGACCTTTTTCCGGTGTCCCTGCGTTCTCGATAGCTGACCTTTGGGGGAACGTTGGGTGCTTGGATCTGGGAACAATTGCGTATGCGTGCAGGCGTCCAAGGCGTCCAAGTCGAAGAGCTCTACTCGCTCGATGAAGGCAGTCTGAGTGTGCTTCAGTAAGGATTACTCAATCTCATCATGTCTCTCTCTCTCTCGGTCAATCTAACTCACTCAAACCCATGTCGTACACCATTGTCATGATCAACTAGACCGGTTCATGGCCTGATCTTCTTGTTCAAGTGGCAAAAGGACCTCCAGGAGCGCAAAACGGCAGAGAACGCCTCGTCTGTCTTCTTTGCCAATCAGGTTTGTGGAGCGCGTTCTCGTTCATTTGACAAGTCATAGCGGTCGATTGATCGCTCACTGGCACCCCGTCGTAATTGGTTGTCTAGGTGATCAACAATGCTTGCGCAACCCAGGCGATTCTCAGTATTCTGCTCAACACACCCGAGCTTAATCTGGGTGAGGAGCTGACCAATTTCAAGGCATTCACCCAAGATTTTACTCCCGAAGTGAGCTACATTGCAAGCGAGGGCTGTTTGTGGGGGGGGTGCTGTTTGTGGGGCTGTTTGTGTTGAAGTGGAGAGAACTCTACTGCAGTGCGATCCTGGAGAGGTGCTGACAACTCGTTTCTGTTTATTGGTTTAGTTGCGTGGCCTCGCCATCAGCAACAGTGAGAAGATTCGCACTGTTCACAACAGTTTTGCGCGGTATGGTGCTGATGTAGTGTGCATGCGTGCTTATTTTCGCTGCGCTTTGAGTGGCTCACCGTTCAACTCTCTCCTACCTTCTTGGCAGTCCCGAAACCTTTTCGATCGAAGAAAAGAACGCAACAGACGACGACGATGTCTTCCACTTTGTTGCGTACATTCACAAAGACGGTCGTCTCTGGGAGTTGGATGGCCTCCAAGAGGGTCCAATTAATTTGGGTAAAACGATGAACGCTGTTTTCCGAAACGCATGTTTCCGGGTTTGCTCACTCGCCGAATCCACTTTGCCAGGCGAGGCCTCTGCTGACGACTGGCTCTTTAGGGCTGCTCCCATCATCCAAGCCCGCATTGAGCGGTGAGTCTTAGTTTGCGTGAACATTTTTTTTTTTTTTTTTTTGGGTTTTGTTTGTCATTGTTTTTTGTCACCACTCACTTTGCAACTCTGCCGCAGATACTCGAGCACTGAGATTCGGTTCAATCTGATGGCTGTGGTCGCCGACAAGACCGTCCAGTACACTCAAGAGCTTGCAGCTGTCGACGAACAACGTGCCATGCTCATGTCGCAGGTACGTACCACCAGGCTTCATCGCAGTTACGGATGTCCTGAAACGACTTTTTGATGCCAACGCGCTCGCTCTCTCTTTTCTTCTCACAGATGCAGTCAGATCAAGTGTCAGGGGATTTGGCCGCTCTGGATGCCCGCTCGTCCGAGCTGCAAATGTTGCTGGCGACCGAGCAAGAAAAGAATGAGCGTTATCGAGTCAGTACTTTTTGTTTGTTTTGTGTGTTGTTCGTGTTTGGCGTGCCACCGCCCCTTCCAACTCTAACCAACCGCCTTCTCTACGTCATGTGGCGTCCCCTCTACCCCATTTGTCGATTGCCACTACGAACAGACGGAAAACATTCGCCGCCGACACAATTTCGTGCCCTTCATTGTCAAGCTGCTTCGCTTGCTTGCCGAAAAGCATCAACTGCAGCCGCTGATTGCCAAGGCCAAGGAAACGGTAGCTGCAAAGAACAAGGCCAACGCTGAGAGTCGCAAATGAGTGTTTTGTACAAACACAGTACATATCTTTTGAGAAAGCAACCTTCTTCTCCTGCATTCATCCTATTCTCTCACAAGTAGTGACTCCGCCACCACCCCCAAAACCCCACAGCTGCCATCAGAAGGGATCGAAAAAAAAAAAAAAGGAATCAAAAGTACCAATGGTTTTCTTGGGACAAAACGCTGTTACAAGCTCAAGGACAAGAACACCAGCAACAGCGCTGCTTCAACAAAATCAAGCTAAATTTACTTGAGGGGGATGAAGCGGGACGAGTTGGTGGAGCCAATACCAGCACGGCCGTGACGGACGGGCTTGTAAGAGATGGAGAACTCGGCGAGGTAGTGGCCAGTCATCTCGGGCTTGATTTCGACCTGGTTGTAGACCTTGCCGTTGTAGATGCCGACGACCGAGCCGATCATCTCGGGGACGATGATCATGTCACGGAGGTGGGTCTTGATGGTAGCGGGCTTCTCAAGAGCGGGGCACTCCTTCTTGGCCTTTCGCAGGCGCTTGAGGAGAGCCATCGGCTTGCGCTTAAGACCGCGGTGGAAGCGACGGCGGGCACGGGCGTGGACGAGGTCGATCAGCTTCTCGGAGCTAAGCTCGAGGAGCTGGTCGAGGTCGACACCACGGTACGAGTACTTGCGGAAGGTGCGCTTAGAGCCCTTGGAGGTTTGTTCGGCGTCAGCCTAATGATTGCGGTGAATATAGCAGCAGCGACGATGAGTGACCGGAAACAACAAGCATGGAGGAGGGAGGTTGGCGAGGGAAGCTAGAGACAGAAAAAAAGAAAAAGAAAAAAAGATTGTGAATCGCAGCGTGGCTGTTGACGCTCACGCACACCTTTGGGCAAAGGCAATAACAGCTCCTCGAGTGAGCATGCTTAACACCCCATCGCCAGCGACGACCCTCGGCAGCTCTTGGTGGAAAAAGCAGGCGAGGGGGAAAAAGGCGATTGAGAACGCCCTTTCTCGTCTCTCCCCAAGCTTCCTCCCTCCCCCTGAAGCCTGCCGAGGCGCTTTGACACACCGAGACTCTGAGCCGACTCAAAGGACACAGCCGAGCAGCTGGGGACAGCGCCAGGCGTCCAACAAGACAGCCTAGGTGGCCAGAAAGCAATTTCGCGATGGACGGCCGAAAGTTGAGCTGCAATCCCAAACCGTCCCTTCGCTGCCCCAGCGCCTAGCGCGCGCTGGGCCCTTCATCTTTCGCCCTGTGAGGTCCAATCCGATAAAGCATGTCGTATTCCATCGGATTCGGGATGGTTGGAGCGGGTTGGGCGACATGATACGAACCATTGTGTAGGGAAAAGAGAGCGAGCAAAGGATGTTTGCCAAAACCGTTTTGATTTTTGATTTCATTTTCTTGTTGGAAAAAGTCTTTTGCGCTTTTCCAAGTCTTTCACTTTCGGCACCCGATGCAGGCCCAAAAAAAGATGCTGGTTGCACAATCACTTGGACTTTATGGTACAAACTCGAATATTGTCAAGCGAGTTGGAAAGGTGACCAAGTCAAGTCGCTGAGCACTGCTTGATGATCGAGTCTGTTTGACATCATTGCCAGATCCTGCGCACCTCAGCTACTTGATGCTGCATTTTTCCTTGTTCAATTACATGTAAGATATTCCACGCAATTGTTGGTCTCCATGGTCTCGGGTGAATCTCGGTGTTTTGCTCATCTCATTCTTTGAGCAGCAAGAGCGATGACGACGAGCGACTTGTCCCCTTCCGATCCGCACCAAAATTACCACATCGACTATGTAATTTTTGTTCTTTCCAATGATATCGGTGGCAGGGGGAGGAAATGACGGGAAGGGAATTTCGAGTCTCGAGATGGGAAGGCGCTTCTTTCACACCCACCCAAGCATTGCTCACATTGTAGATCTACTATGCTCCTTTTCATCTTGAGATTCATCATCCTCAAATCCAACCAGTCAACAATAATTCACCAAAAACACAGCAACACCACCTCAATCCGTTCGAGCGCAGTCTTTGTTCCTTCCTCAGAAAGAAAAACAAACATGGCACTCGTCAACGTCGTCAACATTGTCGTCTTGGACAACCCAACACAGTTCCTCAACCCATTCCAGTTTGAGATTTCGTTCGAGTGCATCTCCGCCTTGAAAGAGGGTACGTCGCAGCAGCTTGCGTTGAAGTGGCTGTGTGTGTGTGTGGGCTTGTGGTTGTTGGAGAAAAGCTTTTCCCGCCAAAAAATTCTACTTTTTCCCGCGCTCCATTCCCGCGTCCCTGCTTCATCCCACCGGGCCACATGAGCAAATTTTCTTCCAAAGGATGCAAATTGTAGCCTTTCCTGCACCATCTACACTTGTGTCTGCTTTCTCGCACCTCGATCGCGAGCGGTGAGCTCGGTTCTGAGCGGTTGGCGCGAAAAAAACTTCCCGCCCTTTCGATTTTTTTTTTTTTTTTTTTGGACGCGACATGTCGGCCGTTCTTCCCTCGCCTCTTCTCAAGCCTTCTTCCCTGGCTTCCTCGTACTCTCATGCACACACGCCTGCTCCTTAGCACCCACTCTCGTTACCCGCCGCTTCATTCTGGCATCGTGCTGGATTTTGCGCTTCTTTTTTGTTCTCCTCTTGTTTTGTCTTGTGCTCACCTTGCCATCTGGTTCGTGCTCCAGACCTTGAATGGAAGATCATCTACGTCGGCTCCGCAGAGAGTGAAGATTACGACCAAGTTCTCGACTCTATTCTGGTGGGCCCTGTGCCCATCGGCCTCAACCGCTTCGTCTTCCAGGTGAGAGACCGTTGGCCAAGTGATGACGGACGTTGTTCCTTCGTTTCCCTGTCGAGTCTTTTTGACTCTCTGTGCCGGTCTGGCGTGTGACTGATCTCTCACAATGCTATTTTCTTTTCCCCATCTTGTGCTGTTGTTGGATGCAGGCCGACCCGCCAAACACGGAGCGCATTCCCGATGGCGATGCTGTCGGCGTTACTGTCGTCCTGATCACCTGCTCGTACCGCGGCCAGGAGTTTATCCGCGTCGGCTACTATGTCAATAACGATTACGTCGATACCGAGCTGCGGGAAAACCCACCGAGCCGACCCGACTATACGCTCATGTACCGCAACATTCTCGCCTCCAAGCCGCGTGTGACGCGCATCCCCATCGAGTGGGACCCAGTCGAGACGCTCGAGTCGGGTCTTGACGGCGTCGAGCTCAGCTCCGAGGCACTCATGATGGCTGCCACCCCAAGCAGCAGTGGCATTGAGGAGACTGAGGGCTTTCCACAAGCAAGCATGATGGTTGGTGCGGAAGGTGTATATTGATGCATTTATGCGTGTCGTTCGTTTGTGTTTTTAATTATTTCCTGTATAAATCATGCCTTTGAGCAACCTCTGCAAGTGAGTGGACGAGCATTTGGGTGGTGGTGGTGGTGGTGGTGGTGGTGGTGGTGGTGGTGGTGTGTTTGTGCTCCTGAGATTTCGCGGCGATGGTGAATTGATTTTTAGACTCAACGACAAATTTGAACTATAAGACATGTCCATTCACTCTTCTTCTTTCAAGAAACAAACAACAGCAGTCATCATGGGTCGCAAGGTTTACGTGGTTGGTGTCGGCATGACCAAGGTAACGCTACGTTCTTTTGCCATCAAAATTGAGCCTTTCGACTCCTACTTTCTGCAGGGGAGCGCGTCCGACTTTGCTGCGTACGCTCTGGTTCAACCCTCACTTCCACGCGGGCTTCCAAGCAACGCGGCGGGACAGAATCGAGAGACGGAGCGTGAGGTGGAGCGAGTGACTCTGCGCAATGGGACTCTGATTCCGCTTCCGACGGCTCAATCTCCAGTCTCTGCTTGCACACTCCCCTCCCTCCCTCCCTCCCCACTGAAATCAACCTCAACCACTCACGTCTGTTGCCGATTTGACTTTTGCACTTTGGTTGCGCCTCGTTTCTGTTTGTTGTTAGTTTGAAAAGCCTGGTCGCCGCGAGGATTTCGATTACCCGCAGATGGCGACGGAAGCAGGTACCAGTCAGAAACTCAGAATCAAGAATTTTGTTTTGGTGAGGTTGGATCAATGCGTGTCTCACTGTTTGATTGCTGCTGTGTCATGGCACAGTCACGAAGGCGCTGAATGACAGCGGGCTTCCGTACTCGGCCGTTCAGCAGGCTGTGGTCGGATACGTGTATGGCGACTCGACTTGCGGCCAGCGTGCCATTTACGAGGTCGGTCTCACGGGCATCCCGATCTACAATGTCAACAACAACTGCTCGACGGGCTCGTCGGCGTTGATGCTTGCCAAGCAGCTGGTGGAAGGCGGTAGGTCACCATTTTTTTTTTTTTTTGTGGAGCGAGGATGATCAGACAGGATGCTCAGACACGATTCCAATAATCATATTATCGGATTGTGGCAAAATTTCTGTCTCCGCCGCCTCCAAACACTCATCGTTCGCTCGCTTGCTCGCTCGCTTGCTCGCTCGCTTCTGCACGCTCTTGATCGCGCAGGCATCGCCGAGTGCGCTCTGGCACTGGGATTTGAAAAGATGGAGCGCGGATCGCTGAGCTCAAAGTACACCGACCGCACCAACCCCATGGACAAGCACGTTGGCGTGATGGCCGAGACGCGCGGACTGGAGGCGTCGCCGATGACGGCGCAAATGTTTGGCAACGCTGGACGTGAGCACATGGAAAAGTACGGCACAACCAAGGAGCACTTTGCCAAGATTGCGTACAAAAACCACAAGCACTCGGCAAACAACCCGTACGCCCAGTTTCGCGACCAGTACACGCTGCAGCAAGTGATGGATGCGCCCTCGATTCACGAGCCACTGACAAAGCTGCAGTGCTCTCCGACCTCGGACGGCAGTGCCGCTGCTGTCGTTGCCAGTGAGGACTTTGTGCGCAAGCACGGCTTGGAGGGCCAAGCTGTCGAGATTGCCGCCCTTTGCATGGCCACCGACCTGCCCAGCTCCTTCTCGGAGAATTCCTGCATCAAGATGGTCGGCTTTGACATGTCCGCCAAGGCGGCCAACCAAGCGTACGCGACCGCTGGTGTCACGGCCAAGGACGTGGCCGTTGTGGAGCTGCACGACTGTTTCTCATGCAACGAGCTCCTGACCTACGAGGCTCTGGGGCTGTGCCCGATTGGCCAGGCTGGTCAATTTATCGACTCGGGCAACAACACGTACGGCGGCAAGTACGTTGTCAATCCTTCGGGCGGCCTCATCTCCAAGGGACACCCACTTGGAGCCACCGGCATCGCCCAATGTGCCGAGCTCTGCTGGCAGCTTCGTCGCATGGCTGGCGCCCGCCAGGTTCCCAACGTCAAGGTTGCCCTGCAGCACAACATTGGTCTCGGTGGTGCCGCCATCGTTGGTCTTTACCGTCTCGGATTCCCAAAGTAAGGTGCTGCGTGTCCAAAACAAGGAGGGTGTGTGTGTGTGTGTGTGTGTGTGTGTGTGTGTGTGTGTGTGTGTGTGTGTGTGTGTGTGTGTGTGTGTGTGTGTGTGTGTGTGTCTGTGTGGGGAAACCGGGTTGAATCAAAATGCTCAATGTTGAAATTTTTATTGTGTTGTCTCTCTCGTGCCACCAGCCACCTCAAGAGTCCTCCGAAGGATGCCGAAAACCCGGCCATCAACGACAAGGCAGGTCTGCTCCGTGCTGCACCAGCCGCCAGCGCATCCAGCGCTGCTGCTTCGCCTGCCAAACCTGCCGCTGCAGCTGCAGCAACTGAAGGAGCTGTGACTTCGGCATTTGTTTTCAAGGAAATCGCCGCCCGTCTGGCCACGGATGGCGCCGCTTTGGTCAAGCAAGTGGGAGGCATCTATCGCTTCACCCTCTCGGCTCCCGACTCGACGTGGACACTGGATTTGAAGAGCGGCAACGGCGCGGTCAGCAAGAGCTCGCTTGGCAACGCTGATTGCACCATCGCCATGACGGATTCCGATTTCGTAAAGCTCATGCTGGGCCAGGTTGACTCGCAAAAGCTCTTCATGAACGGCAAGCTCAAGGTCAAGGGCAACATGGGTCTGGCCATGAAGCTGAAGGTGCTTCAGCCTGCCAAGCCAAAGCTTTAGAAAATGATTTGGTTTTTTTTGCAATGGCACTTTTCTGATTCTTTTGGAAGCCCTCAGCACTGCTTTGATTGAGGAATCAAAGTTGTAAATTTTCAATGTATCTTCAGTAATTGACCCAAAACAGACAGCCAAACAAGGAAACGAAACTCTGGAGCCAAAACCGCCCCAGTCGCTGCAAGAGTCCAATCGCTTAGGACAAGGAATTCCACGACTCAAGCTTCTTGGTGGGGTTGATCAACTTGAAGATAAAGTCACTGACGGACGGCGGGAGCGAACGGAAGAACCATGCAATCAGATACATTGGCAGCGGGAAGGCAATCACGCCGCGATTTTCGTCAATCCCCTGGGTGATAATCTTGATGGCGGCGTCGGTCGACATGAAGAACGGCATCTTGGAGCCCTGTGGATGCAGGTGCCAAACAAACAAACAGAAATAAACACACGAGCTGGGCCGCAGAACTTTCAAACAAAGAGACGACTCACCAAGCTACGACGGGCACGTGTCATGTTGGAATCGACATACCCAGGGCAAACCACGCTGACGCGGACGTTGTGGGGGCGCATGACTTCGCGGAGGAAGGTTGTGAACTGGAAGACTGCAGCTTTGGTGGCGCTGTAGCCCACGGAGGTTGGAACGTCGAACAAGCCGGACAGCGACGATACAACCACAATGTGTCCACGGCGGCGATCGCGCATGTTGGTGAAGACCGGGAGAAGCGTATTGAGAACGCCGTCCACGTTGATGGCAAACATTTCGCGAATTTTGAGGTCAGCTGTGCGGGACGTGCCCAGAATGGAACCAGAGGTGCCTGCGTTGGCAATCAGCAAATCAATGGGTTTGCGCTTGTCAGCCTCCTCGACCCACTTGGAGAATGCCTGCTCGTCGGAGACGTCGATGGTTGTGATTTCGACTTGGGCGCCTTTCGCCTCGCATTCGCGCTGGGTCTCGATCAGGCGTTCTGCACACCACCCAACGCAATAGCACAAGACAAGCAAGATCAAAGCAAGGCAATGCCATGGAATGGTGAGCCGATGTTTGTGTGATTTGTTCATATGGGAAACAATTGAATCGGGTGAACGGGTGAAAAATCGGAATAAAACGAAACGGCAAGTTCGTGTCATCAGCAGAGCGACCATCTTTGCTCAACGGCGTGGTTTCCGATGGAACACCAGCCCAGATGCAGCAGAAATGGTCAAAGCATGAAATGGGCAGCGTGGTTGTCGTACCGCGGTTGCGACCGGTGAGGAAGAGCGTGCGTCCGTCTTGAGCGTATGCCACAGCGAGCGCTTTGCCAATGCCGGCCGAGGCGCCAGTGATGAGGATGGACGAAAAGTTGATCAAGGTGGTCCGCGGAGCAAACGACGACAGAACGATGCCCACGAGCGCAGACACCAGGCCGACAAGGGCGCTGAGCAGCAGACCCAGGCTGAGCACGAGCGCGTCAAAGTGATCGTTGAGCGCCATTTGACAACAGTAGCGACTACAGCGAATAATTGGACTGGCCTTTTGCTCAAAGCGGCTCTGAGCTCTATGATTCTGTGTACCTGGTTATGATTGGACGGGATATGGTCTCGCATTCTGAGAATTTCGGCGCCGATTGGTTTTGCCAAGAACGAGCCAAGCGAATTTGGCAACCTCAACCTTACCTTCCGTCCCTCCCGAATGATCTTTGACAAGTGCTCGAGTGTGTGAATATTTGCTTCCATGCGCAGAAACAGCCAACCAATCTCCAAATCCATGTCCAGTTTCCGCATTCATTTCATTCGCAGTCCATCTTCGTTCCGTTTGGCGGGAAAAAAATCCACGACAATGCAGTCGGACAAGCGGCCAGCCGCAGCTTCCTCGTCGTCTGCTACAGCCAGCGCTCTGCCTTACCTGCACACATCCACATCGACCTCCACGGCGCTGGCACCCGGCAGCGCTCTGGCGGCGGCTGTCGGGCAGCCAACCGGACAGCAGCAACAGCGCCAGCAACATCCTCGCCAGGCAACGCCCATCGTCCGCGTCTCGCTGCTGACAAACGGTACAATAGCAGTTGGTTTGCTTGAGCTGGTTGCGGCCCGGGTCGTTTTTGGTGCTGTTGATTTTGGAGAGGGCGGCAGGAGGCCAAAGACTTTCACTTTTGCTTGCAGCAGCATCGCTTGCTTTTCGAAGTGGACTTGTGCAATCCCACCATCCATTCGACTTTGCAACGCCAAATTGCATTGTGGAAGTGTTTTGCTTTCCTGTTGTGCAGTGGCGGGGAAGAGTGACCTCTGGGAGATGCGGTTCAACTTTGATGTTTCATGCAAGAAACTTGCTTTTCGCTGCTTTTCTTTGCTGCGCTGCGCTGCGCCGCGCCGCGTCGAGCGTGTGTCTCTGCAGGCTCAGCTAGTGATACCCGTGCACAACGTCATTGTAGATTGTGCTCGCTTCCTTGTTGCACAGCGACTCGTTCAAGCTACAAACTGCAATCACTTCTGCTCTGGTCGTTGTTTCACTTTCGAATTCAACGCGAGATTCTTTTTTGAAACACGACAAATTCGCGGGTTTTTTTTTCTTCTTCAATGTTTTCATTTTGATTGCATTTTTGATTCCGTCTTCTTTGTTTAGATTTTTGCAGGACCAACATAGTCGCATTCGATGTCGTCGCGTGTTTCGCTCATCCTTTTGTTGTTGTGTTGCACCATTTCTGCTTGTATTGGTTTCCTCCAGTTGCGGCTACCCTCCCAATGCCAACGTTGAGCTCGGAGCTCAATCGCCACGAGACACCCATCGATGCGTTTGTGTCGACAGAGGTCAAGCAGTTGCTCCAAGACCCAACGCCAGAACTGGCAATGCAGCTGGCTCAGATGCTCGACGGCGTTTCTGACATGGGCGTGTAAGAACGATCTTGTTCATTTTCACCACTTTGCCCATGGGTACCTGGCTTATTTTTGAATTCTCATGCTCACATGTTCTCCTCTCATTTCTCCGATGCTCCAATGCTCCAATGCTTGCGGTCTGGATGCATCTGTCGTCGTCGTCGGGGATTTGTGTAGCCGCCTCGAAACGCAGTCATTACCCCAGTTGCCATCCACACCTCTTGCTCACGAGATTGTCTCGTTGCTACCCACCGCGTTTGAGCTTGAAGGCGCTGGTCAGATCACTCCGGCGCCCGATCGCAGTGAGTGAAAGTTTGGCGTTTCTGATGGTTTTTGTTTGCGCTGAATCGTTCGTCTCATCAACCAAATCCTTGGTCACACAGCACCTCACCCGCTTGTGACTCGAACGCCGGTCGCTGCCTTTCTTGCAAGTGGAAGCGAGGAGGCTCCTAGCCGGGCACACGTCAGCTTGGCGTTGCCACCCACACCCGTCTCTTTGAGCAAGTCTGGAAAGCGTCCTAGCGAGTCAGAGCCAAGCTCTGCCAAACCCCAAGGTTTGTTTTGTTCTTTTTGTTTGGGAGCGATTGTCATGGTTGGAGCGGAACGCGCGTGCTGACCGATTCGTCGTACAGAAAAACGCGCACGCATCACCGCCGCGTCCGAGACCAAGGCATTGGTGGACCGCTTTCAGGGTGCGTTGCAACGCCTGTTTGAGGCTGAGGAGTCGCACGGCCACCAGGATACTGCGGAAGCCGACGGAGCTGCCCAAATGGAGATGGAGCGCGAGGATGCGATGGCTGTCGATGAAGAGACTGCAGGCAGTGCTGCTTCCGGCGGCTTTCTTTCGTTGCAACAATTGGTCAATTTGCGTGGCGAAGTGGCTCGCATTCGAAAAGCCGACCGTCTTGCTGAAGTGCAACAAGCCGACATTTTGCGCTTGATGGCCATCTTGGGCAAACACACAGAGCTTGCTCTCGAGCTCGATTTGAACGAGGTACACACTCGAGGAAGGCTTGGTTGATCTGCTTGCACAAGCGACAAACGACAGCTCACGTCTGTGCCCTTGCTACCCCGTGTTTCTTTTGCTTGACCATGATGCAGGAGGACGACGATGTCGAGCAACTCGCAGATACAGTCATCCAATCTCTCACCGCGGCGGCAATCACGATGGACATTCTGACCACTCCAGGCATGCCACGTCAGGTAAGTCTCGAGGGGCGTGCTAGGGAGCGGTGCAAGAAACGGAAGTTCTAATTGTGCCATCGGTCGTCGTGCTCGTTTCTTAGATTTATCTAGACGAAGTGATTGAAAATGTTATTTCACTCTGCCGCTACCAAATGACAAACAACATTTTCCCGGCCTATGACGACAGCATGGGCTTAGGTAACCTGATTTGTGATTGTCAGACGAGTAGGTTTGTGTTATGACTTGCTGACTTTTTCAAAACGCTGTGCCTCTTTCTCACAGGCTCGTCTCGTTTCGAACGGGCCTCGACCAAAAAGGGGAAGAAAGCCAGCGCCGACAGCGGCCCTGCCAAGTTTGTGCTGGGTGTATACCGACTGCTCTGCGAGCTTTTGCACCAACTTGGTGTGCTGCTCCAGTTGCAGCCGATCGTTGATACATCCGTGCACGAGGTAAGACTGGTTTGTTCACAAGGCTCTTCCCTTCTGCATTCGCTTTCTGCTCACTCTGACATGCCGCAGCTTGCTTCGATCGGCCTTGCCCCGTTTTTTGTCGAGAACATCGGAACACTTCAACTGAGTGCATTGCACCTTGTCCGCACGGTCAGTTTTCGGTTTGTTTTGTTTGCCCTTTTACAGTAGGTAATGAGTGGTATTGACTGACCCCAAACAATTCTCGCGCTTGTCTAGATTTTCGCACGCTACCCGGAGCATCGCAGTCTACTCATCGACGATATTCTTTCGTCGTTGATTCGTATTCCTGCCTCGGCGCGCAACCGTCGTGGATTCCGGTAAGTTCTGACTGCGCTTTTTTTTTGGCCCAGAGTGCATCACTTGGTCTCTGACTTTTTGACCCTCGGCGCTTGACTACCAGTCTCAATGACAACACGTCGTCCATCCAAATGGTGACTGCTCTGGTGTTGCAACTGCTCCATTCGGCCGTCAACCCAGAGCACTTGATCAAGTTCAGCCAGCAGCACTTGCTCCTCGAGCAGCAGCAGCAGACCGCCACTCGGTTTGACACTGCGACCACTCCAACGCATCATCAGCCGGCGAAAAGGGTTGCCGATGACACTCCCGTCTCAATGGAAACGGAAGAGACGGTCCTCCCGGCTAGCACTTTGCCGCTGCGGAGGTCGTCGACCACCAAAGCTGTTGTTTCGGGCGATCCATCAGCTGCCAACCCTGGGTCGCCGTCGAATGAGCGCGAGCTCAGTCCAGAAACTCGCCTTTTCAACCAGACTGTTGCGGTCATGTGGAAAGACTACGAAGCGGCCTGTCTTGCTGCGCAGGAATTTGTCACAACGTTTTTGAAGCGGTACGGTACCACAATAGGTTATTTGGTTCTTTTTGCCGTCCAACAGCAGCAAATAGCTTACCTGCACTCTTGTTTGCACAGATGCACCAACAAAAAAGACGAGAACGACTACAAACCCGTGCTGGAAAGCTTTGCCAAGGATCTGTTGACCGTGCTTCACCTTCCGGAATGGCCAGCAGCCGAAGTTGTTCTTCACACGTTGTGTGCTGCCTTGGTACGGCGGAGTTCTTGCATGATCAGCGACTCTGACACCGTTGTGGTCTCTAACCTTTGCTTCTTGTTTGCTTGCTCTTGTATGCTTGGTTGGCTGGATAGATTCCTATCGTCAACGGAGCCATCTCCAGCACCGATGCAACGAAGGCCAGCGACTCTGCCCTACGCCTTCTCGCCATCGAGATTGTCGGCATGGTCGCGACCAGAATCAAGCAAGACCACCTCGAGCTTCAGGGCTGGGCTGAGCTCGATGGAAATCTAAACGAAGTCTACAACATGGACAAGATTCAGCAATTTGAGCAACAGCTTTCGGCTCACCTTCGAAGAGTGGCTGCAGAGGACGCCTCGTTCGAGGTTGGTCAAGCATTCCTGTTTCTTTTTTTTTTCAAGTTGTTGTTGCGCGTTTTCCGAGTTCTGCACGTCTCACTGATTATTACTGTTCCGATTCGGGTGATGATAGGGTGCACGCTTGTTTGTGGTTTCACAGACTGCTGCATTCGTTTCGTCCGAATGCAAAATCGGGACGGCTGAAAACGCAATCGACATTCCCGAAGCGGAAGCATCCCAGCTCGTCAAGGTGTTTTTGGACACTACCGCTGGGCGAATGAACGACCGAGAGGAAGTGTAAGCAATCTGGCAAAAGCGCCCAGTGTTCCGGCGCTTGCTCGTCTGGCTCTTGTCGCCTTTTTGCTCATTCTACAAGTGCTCGCTGCGTGTTGTCTGTCTTTTTGACACAGCCCGCAGCCTCAATCGGACATCCATCTCGTATGCAAGGCACTGGCTATGCGCCGACCGCTTTGCTTGTCGTGGGACGCTCTGTTCCGACTGATTCTGGGCACGCTGAATGACCAAAACGCCAAAGTTCGCGCCAATGCGCTCAAAGAGCTGTCGGGAATTATGAATGCTGATCCAGAGGTTTTAGGCGAGGTATGTGGATGTGCTTTTGGGTGGTGGAGGAGGCAAGCCAGCTGCAGCAGATTTTTGGATGTCGGGGTTTGCTCACCTCGCTGCGCCTACTTTTGACGTTGTGCGAATAGAGCATGGTCCAAAAAGCCGTCCACAGTCGCTTGCTGGATGTGTCAATTGCTGTTCGCGAAGCTGCACTTGAGCTCCTTGGCAAGTTTGTGACCACCAAGCCAGAATTTGCCGACAAGTACTTCCCCATGATTCTGGAGCGAATTCGGGTGAGCATTTCTGTTCTTGTTGCGATGAGTGAAGCACATCTCTTGTTTGAGTTTTTGCCACAACAGTTCGTCTTACTCAAGCCTGCATCTTGATGCTACAGGACGTGGGCGTGTTTGTGCGCAAGCGTGTCATTCGCATCTTGAAAGACATTTGCGCCAACCAGCCTCACAGTTCACGTGTCGTCACCATCTGCGTCGCCATTATGGGTCGCATTACGGACGAGAATGACGGAATTCGGGTAATTGCGTATTTTTTTTTTCCCCCTGTTTTTGGTTTGTGTTTTGATTTTTGGCGAGCAGGCTTGGCCTCTTGCTGACACACATCAATTCGATTGGACACCCACAGGCTCATGTGCTGCAAACCTTTCAAGAAATGTGGTTTGGACCGCTGGTCGAAACTGGCAGCGAGGGTGCAGCCTCCTCGTCGGGACGCCGCCAAAAGACAGACTCCAAAGAGCTCTACCGGCGCGTGCTGCTGCTCCGAGACGTTGTGGGCGAGCTGCACAAGTCCCAACAAACAGAGCTCTTTGACCAGCTGCTGGCGGCATTATTGCAGCCAAAGGACCAGTCCTCAGCAGAACCAACTCCTTTCCACGATGTTATCAGCCAACTTGTCGCGAGCTTGGTCAATCAGTGCCTTGTCTTGAACGACGAAAGTGCACAGCTTCGACCGGACGAGAGCACGAAAGCAATTGAAATCACGAATAGGATTCTTGCAAGCGTCTGTACGTTGCATGCGTTTGCCAAGTGCTCTCCGCATCTACTCGTATCCAAAGCCATGACGCTGCAGCCATATCTTGGCATTGTTCCAACCTGCAGTCCTCCTGTAAGATCAGAACACGGAACAAAGAGTTCGAATTTGTACGTTTTCGCTTTTGACTGCATTTTGCGATTGTGGATCCGTTTGTGCAGAAACCCGCTGAAGAGCAAGCAGTGCAAATGATTGTGTGTCAAGTTGCCCAGCTGTTGCAGCTGGTTGTTCCGTTAATGGACGACCCGTCGACCGAGTTTCTGACGGATCTTGAGGAGATTTTGATGAAGAACATCATGAAACAGAGTCAAACGGTAAGCAGACAAAACAAACAAACAAACAAACAAACAAACAAACAAACAAACAAACAAACAAACAAACAAACAAACAAACAAAAAAAAAAAAAAACCCTCCCTCGACTTGGTTGCGCTGTGTATCCGTTGCGTTGCTAAAGAGAGTTTGTCGTTGCTCGTTTCATCGACACAGGTGGTTCAGTATTCCATCAAGTGCCTTTCCACGGTTGTCATCAAGGTCACTCGCAACTATGCGATGGTCGAAAATTTGCGGTCTGGTTTTGCAAGTGAGTCGACCTTGTGTTTCTTTTTGATTTTAGTTGCGATCTACAAGCGCAGTGTCTGACTCCAGTCGCGCACAATGTCAACACAGACTTTTTGGATATTTATCGCGAGTCTGCTCTGAAATCGCCCAATCCCCGTCAAAATCCTCCCGAGAAATCTCGAATGCAGCTGATGCGGTCGATTTTCACACTCGGACTTCTGTTCCAATACTTTGACTTTGACGCCATGGAGGCGGGCGGCGAGACGCCGCCAGCAACGTTGAGGCGCCAGTCCACATCGGGTGAGTACAGGTTCTACATTCGGAATGTTGATTCGTTCATTTGGCTCATCATTGACTGCTCGTTTCCCCTGTTTGTGCTGTTCTCTCAAACGATAGGAGGGCGAGGAGCTGCTGCTGCCACTTCCGTACGTTTTGGTCGTTCAAATGCTTGCCTGTTTCTCAGAGTTCTTTGTTCGGCATGTTTCCTCATCACCCATTGCCTTTCTCATGTGTTTAGGACAAGCCCAAGCCGTCGCAAGCCACCGCGGATCTACTCGCCTTCTTCATGACCATCCAAAATGAAGACGTTCAGCTCAAGGCGTTGCTAGGCATTGGTGCGAGTGACAAACGAACATCTGCTTCAATCGCGTGCACCACCTGACTCTTGTGTGTTGTCTTTCACGGACAGGCTTCTTGGTTGTCCGGTTCCCGTCCTTGTTGCTTCAGCCAAAGTTGAAGCAATTGTATCGCACGTGCTTGGACGGCGACTCGGTCAAGATGCGCGGGCAAGTGCTGCGCAACTTTCAAACCTTCCTCCAGGAAGAGGAGGCACGCTTGAGTGCCGCCACCCAGGAAGCGCAAGGTAACGCTTTTTTTTTCGCTGAAATCTCATTATTATCTAATTATCTCAATTGGATGGAATGACCTGATGTGTTATTCGGGTGTTTGCTTGTTCTTGCCCCAGCTGCAAAGCAAAAGACCAACGCGAACAAGGACAAGGTGGAAAAGGATGTTGACATTTACGGAAAGCACGTCGCCACGGCCGAGGCAGGGTATGTCCTGGAAGCAGCCGCTCACCTTTCGGGTCACGTTGACGAGTGCACTCATTTTCGTGTTTGAAACCCGACTGTTGATTTCCGTTTTTGCGTGAGCAGTCTGGCCAGCAATCTGATGCAACACTACCTCAACGATGTGCTTGCCGCAACCTCAAGTCCACATCTCCCTCTGCGGCAGACAGGACTTCAGGTTCTCGGCCTAATCCTTCGCCAAGGTCTTGTCAGCCCGCTGATTGTACGTTGGTAACCGTCATTGCATGAAAGCATGCATGGTTTCAACTGAACAAACTTTTTTGCTTCTGGACTTGTTGTTTTTGTTGTTGTTTTTGTTGTCGTTTTTGTTGTTGTTTGTCTTGGTGCACAGTGCGTTGCCAATCTGATTGCACTGCTGGCGGACGGCAATGCTATGCTTCGAGAGCGTGCCTTTGTCCACCTTGGCGTCCTGGAAGAGCGCATCCCGACTTGCTTGGTGCAACGCACGACCGAAGGCGTGCAGAAGGCGCTCGACAACGTTCTTGCGCAGCTGGTATCCTCCAGCGCGCTTCACGAGCAGCAGCTCAGCCCTCCGTTAGCCCTTGCCTGCAGCGAGTCGGGATTTGGTCGGTTGTTTACCCTCGTCAAGACTGTTCGTCATCGAAGCGAGTTTCTTCGTGCACTCCTCCGAGTATTTGAAAAGTCGACAGTACGTGGAGAAACCCGAAGTTTGTGTTTTTTTTTTCCCCTTCTTGATTGCGTTTGAATGGATCTGTGAATTCTCATTTGATCTCGTCGGTCCGCAGAGCAAATTCGAGTTACTTCGATTTGTGGCCGAAATTCTGGCCGCGTTGCCTTATGGAACCATCGACGAGCCTTTGCTGGTGATTGACAAGATTGGGCGCGACAGCTCCGTTCGCGGCGCATCGATCGGTGTGGCTGCCAAGCCCGTCTTGCATTTCTTCCGTCGCGAGCGTCAAGCGCTTGTTGGCGATGCAGCGATGCGTTACGATAGTGACTCCGACACAGAGGACGATGCGAGTGAGTTTCAGAGACGATTCATTCCATCATTCCGCTTGATGTGGGGAGCTGTTCTAACGTTGGGTTGTGCGATTTTTGCACGCAGTCATCTCCAAGCTTTCACACAACGAGGCTTGTGCCAAGCTTCGTAGTCTTGTGCACGAGGCACATTCGCTCATTATCATGGTTTCACTTCGCAAGTACTTGAAGGCGCAGTTTGGCCTGACCGACGCGTAAGTCTTGAAAAATGGATTGATTCTCTTGTTGGTTTGTTTTGGCACAATGCCACGACTTACACAATATTGCGCATCCGTCTACGCTTTGGTCGGTTTCACAGGAAATGCAAGAGCTTTGCCTTTGGTGAAAAGAACAAGTCTGCGAATAAGCAGGCGGTGCGTCGCGATGCCACACCGTTTGCAGCCCTGACTTGGATTGAGCCAGCAACGATCGCGAAACCCGACGGAGGTGATGTGGAGGAGTTACTCCGTCAGTGGCAGCTGGTACGACGACGTTGTTTTTTCGGTGGACTTTTTGACTGAAATGATCCAATCACTCGAGGACTGACTTTCCCCCCTTTCATCGTTTCATTGTTGTTGGTTTGTTCCCCACCAGTTTTCCCAGCTAATGTCTGAAGAGACCGTGGACGAGTTTGGCGACGAAGAAGGGGCCTCTGAGATGACTGGCACGCCGATGGAAACGACCGTCCGCCGCGGCCCCAAAAAGAAAGCAGCTGCTGCCGCCTCACCCCGCGCGGCATCCAAGCGAGGTCGCGGCAGAGGAGCATCTCGAGGGCGTGGGCGTGCACGCACCTATGCTGATGACGAGGACGACGAAGAGCTTCAGGAGGCCCTTGACAATTTGCATGATATGGATGACGATAGCAATGATGCGATGAGTCTCTGACACGCCTGTACACATTAACACTAGCTTCGCATATGAACGGTGCACTGCTACCAAGGAATGCGCGGGCAAAGTGTGTATTCCTGCCAGAGAAGACAAAAACACAACACAAAACCAAAAACAAAGCAATCACAAAGTGTCACTCAAATGTGGGCATTTTGAGCGCGACTTTCAGTATCGAAGGGTGTTGACTCAAAAGTAACAACCCAACGACATAAGGTCAAAATCAAAGGACGGCAACCACACACAAAAAACAACAAAACAACAAAACAACAAACAACAACAACAAACAAAAAAACAGGCTATCGCCAGCTCCCCACGAAACCGGCAACAGTCGCACACAACGGCATCCCAAACGGGACAAAACACACAATCAAAAGAAAGTCAGAAAAGGACAAAGAGAAAGAAGGGTGGTAAGCGGACAAAAAAAAATCTGAACAAAAGAAGCATCAAGACAAACACACGACCGAGTCACAGCATAAAAGAATGACGGATTTGAAGGTGTTGAGCCGACGCGTTAGAGAATCGTGCACTTGCCCCCCTTCTTTTCCTTCTTTTCGGCGACTGCTGCGCCTGGCTTGTTAAGCTCGGGCTTTGACTTTCGGATTTGGCGGACAACTTCGAAAAAGACCTCTTCAACGTTCAAGCCGGTCTACATGAAGAAGAGAGTTGACAGAATAAGTATCACAAGCAAGGAAAGCACATGAAGACAAAACAAGACAAAAAGAAAGGTGCGCGCAAATCGAGCGACGATGCGCAATCATCGACATACCTTAGCGGAAGTCTCGTAATATGGGCAGTTGATGGATTCGCAGAATGCTTGAACTTCCGCCTCGCTGACTGTTCGTTGATCTGGTGGCAAATCCTACCGCATCCAGTCGAAGAGAGTGAGCAAGAGATGCACAACAACAACAACAAGAAAAAAAAACAACAACAAACAGATCAAAGAGAGAAACAAGGGGCAACACAAACCTTCTTATTGCCGACAATGACCATGGGATACGAGTCAGCCTCCTTCATGAGCAAAATCTTCTTTCGGAGCTCTTGGAGCTCGGCAAAACTGCTGGGCGAGTTGATGCCAAAAACAAGGAGGAAACCATCGCCGTAATCGAGAGACGAGTCGCGGAAGCTGGCAAACTCGTCTTGTCCGGCTGTGTCGACAATCTCGAGCTCGTAGTCCTTCTCGTCGACAGTGACGGGCTTGCGGTACGACTCTTCGATGGTGGGATCGTAGTATTCGGCAAACTTTTGCTTCAGAAAGCGGACAGTGACGCAGCTCTTGCCGACACCGCCAGATCCGACGACGCAAATCTTAATGTCGGTCATTGTTTGAAACAAAGAATGAGCGTGGCTATGGCGAGAAGCAAGGCAAAAAGGTGATCTGTATTTCGAAAGACGCAATTGAAAAAGCACGGTGAGTGAGCGACGACCAGAGGAGACACACCAAAGATCAGATGAAACGATCATGCAACATGTAGCCAAACGTGTGATGAGGTGGGATTTGCGCAGATTTGAAACCAAGACAGAGGTAGGAATGAATGAATGAATGAATGTGAAATCAAAAGGTGGAAAGCGCACGAAAATGTGGAAAAGGGCTACTCCCACTCGCTGCTTCGCTTCACAACGACAATCACCAGGACCAGTGAATTGACATTTGGTTCTGGGAGTGTGTGGTGGGGCACTGCGCTATCGATCGATGGTGAAGGTGGAGCGGAAAACGGCGGCGACAGTCTCCCTCGGCTCGGTTTGTTTGCTCCCCGCCGTGCTCCCTAGACCCGATCTTCTAAGCTCTACTCTTCGCTGCTTTGCTGTGAGGATGGGATTTCCCCCACGACCTGCACCAATGCAGAGGCGTTCTTTTTTTTTTTTCTTTTTTTTCTGCTGTTTTGTTTTTTTGAATGAAAACTGTTTTTCTTTTCAATGGTTTTCCATTGGTGTTTTTTTTTTTTTTTTTTTTCTGTGACACAGGGACGACGACCACCACCACGAATCTCTTCGCCAACCATTCCTATGCAATGGTCCCAATCCATTCCACCTCCCACCCCTTGTCGCATGCTGCTCAGCCTCTTCCTTGACAAAGCTGCTGCTTCCCAAAAAAAAAAAAAAAAAAAAGCAAAAAAAAGCTAATTCGAGCTCTGCGACGCGTTATGTTCCGGCGCTTGATTCGTCGAGCTGGGCTCCAGCCCTCCACTGACACCGCGGTGGCCCCCGCACACGCACAAACGCTAACGTGCGAGAGAGATGTCGTTTGTTGTCGCCAACAGCCCAAGGAAGAGCGACAGCAAAGCAAAGGGCAAAGACAAAGCAAAGACAAACAAAAAAAAAAAAAAAAACAAAAAAAACAAAGGCCATAACAAAATCGCTGCGTTTGTTTTTCCTTTAGTCATCGCACTTTTGTTTTCTGCTTTGTCGGAGCGAAAGACGAGCGAGCAGCCAGAGCAGAGACAGCAAGTTGCAGAACACGAGGGGAAATTGCCAAAATGCCAGAGAGACGACGCGGGAGGAGCCGCACGAGGAAAAGATCCGACGCATCGCAGAAGAAGAAAAAAAGAAAAAGAAAAAAAAAAAAAGGAGCCAGTGCAACACCGTTGCCTGCTGGCTGCACGCTGACCGAGCACTCGATGGCCCAGCCCCACCATCAGGCTGGCAGCTGGTTCCAGCTCGCTGTAGGTCTCAGCAGCCATGCCGCGGCAGCCCACAAAGGCAAAGCGAGAAGAGCAGCGAGCACCAGCTTCAAACCCAAAAAAAAAGAAAAAAAAGCCAAGCAAAATAAATGGCTCAATAATAACAGAAACACATGTTCCATCGACTGGGGCTGGCTGACTCTCCCCATCCCGCTTCCCCACCCCCCACTCGAAATCGTCCACTCCATCCCGAATGCAAGCACGGATCGCACTCGCATTTGAAGCGACAGAGACAACACACGAAATCAAAGGGAAGAGGCAAACAAAATACTTTACCAAAAAAGAAAGGAAAAAAAAAAATAAAGAAAAAAAATGAAGAATGAACCTTTTTTTTTTTTGTAATATTTTTATTTTTATTTTTTCAATCGTTTTTCCAGTCTTTTTTTATTTTCCGTTCGTAAGTTTTCTTTCTGTTGTTCGACTGCTCGTTTCGCGTCCCATTCTGTGTGTGTGTGTGACGCAATGACTCACAGTTTAACGCTTGGTCATCTTCTGCTCACTGTGGAACTTGAATCACCGCTTCACCGCTTGTGCTCGTCATCGTCTCTCTTCCGTCGCTTCTCCTCTCGCCGTCGCCCTCTCGTCTCTCACCTGTCGTCGCTCGTTTTGCCATCTCCTTCTTATCTTGCAGGACAGCCGCTCTTCCATTCCCCCCCCCTCCGCCTTCCCCTCTCAAGAGCGGACAGGGACCACAAGATGCCCTACATTTCAGCGTCCGGCCAAGTCGAGCAACGCCGCTCGCCGCTGAAGGCCATCGTCGCCTTCCTCTGGGCCATTCTGGACTTTTTCGTGACCTTGTATGTTGCATGTGGCAAGATGGCTGTCGGCTCTTGGTGCGACGTGGCTCGTTTCGCTCACTTCAAACCCAATCACTTTTCCCGCTCTGCTTGTGCTGTTGTGTCCTCATCGGGCGTTGCTCTGCTAGCTTCAAGACAATGTTCCAAGTATGTTTTTGACATGACATGTGAAGGCGCGAGTAGGGGCGTCATGATTGGCAAGACTGGGCTCACTGACGTGCTTTTCTTCTGCTCTTTTTGCTTTTCTGCCCCTTCAGCCTACCAAAGGCCACAGCATGTCATCCGTTGGGCAAGAGCGACGCAAGTTTGATGGGCGCGGCGGCGGCAATCCTGGCGACGATCGACGCATTGGACGGCTCGGTGGCTGTACGTGCAAAGTTCTTTGTGACATTTTTGTCTTGATTCTGTGTGCTCACTGTCTTGTCCTCTCCATCTTCCGGCGTAGCATCAAGTATGAACGTGCCATGCGCCCCTGGTGGTTGATCCAGGTAAATGCTTGGAAGGCAGCCTGCTGCGGCGGGTGTATTGCTGGTCCAAGCGTTTCCTCCTTTTTTCTTTTCTTGTTTTTCTGCTTTCTTTTTTTCTCTCAACTTTGGTTTTTCCAGCCAAGATTGTGCCTGTTTTTAGCCGTTGCCTTTTGGCTTTCGCCACCGTTCTCTCGAAAGCAGCACAGGACGGTTTCTTTCTCTTGGTCGTATCTCCCTTTTCTCCTTCTCGTCTGTCGGCGGAACTCTTCTTGTTTGCTTTTGTTCGGGTAGCAGCACCGGCGACTTGGGTTTGCCTGTGTGTTTGTGAACCGTAGTGATGAAGCGCGTTGGCCCAAACCTTTCATGGAGGCTGACTGGAAAAAAAAACCCATGCTGCACTTATTGTGGCCCGCATTTTCACTGTGCGACCGCTCTTTTGTGCAGCAGCGTGGATGTCAAAAGCAAGTCATGTCAAGAGTGTCTACTTGACGCCCTGATGGACTCTTTTTTGTTTGTTGTTGTTTTCGTTTTTGCTGTTGAATTTGTGATAATCTATTGCGAGCGCGTTCTGTGCTTTTGTTGCGTGTCTCTTTTGTATGTTGCTTCTGCAGTACAGAATGCTTCTATTTCACCTCAATGTCAGTTTGGTGCAACATCCAGTCAAAGCACAGCGCTTTCTTCCATTTCGCGTTGGTTTTTGTTTTTTCCCATATTCCCACCACCGAAAACCCCTTCCATTCGCCAGCAGCAATGGCACAATGATCCATCGATTCTCTAGATCATGCTGGATTGCTTTGTTTTTTGCTTTTGCTCCATTTCAACAAAATCGTTCCGCCATCATTCGTTTTTCGATCTACTCCTACTTTTTTTTTTTTTTTTTTCATTCTTGATTTTTTTTTATTCTCGTCATGTCTTACGGCGAAGTATCCAAAGATCTGCCTGATATTGAGGTGCGATCATCATGAGCTGTCTTTTTTTGTGTTTTGGGGGAGGGGGATTTGTGTGTCATGGTTGTGGGGGACCTCGTGTGATCATGTACTTTTGCCGTTGTTTGAATGGAGAGACGCGCCTAGCCGAGCAATTGCAGTTTTGTTGGATTGACAAGTTGTGCGTATTTTTATTTATTTTTTTTTTTTTTTTTTGCTTGTGCTTTTTGGCAGGCGATTCTTGCGCTCAACCCGCGACCACTCACGTCGGCGTCGCTCGTGTCGACCTCGACCACCAAGAAGAACCGCAAGTACTGGAAGCGCAATCAGACCAAGGACTGCGAGGTAAGCGCTATGAGACAACTCAACAACCAAAAAAGAAATAGAAAAAAAAAAGAAAAAAAAAAGAAAAAAAAGAAAAAAAAAGAAAAAAAAAGAAAAAAAAAAGGAAAAAAAGATTCATCCAACAGTGTTCGTCGTCAATGTCGTCGTCACCGTCGCCGTCGTCATTAGAAGTTGATTCCGACGGTCCTCGCCATCCCGCGCCTGGAGTCGTGGCGCTCCGCTGTCCGTCTGCAGACGCGGAAACAGTCCTGCCACGACACACTCATTCGAAACAATCCAGTCGAACTCGCCTTTTTTTTGTTTTTTGTTTTTCCCCCCCCTTTGCGCCCTTCCGGACATTCTCTTTCACCAAACTCGTGTAATGATGATGATGCTTGTTTCGACAATATGCCGTTTCTCTTCTTGCCATCCTGCATCCTGTGCAAAGGGCGACGACATGACGATGCATTTTCAGCCACATTTTTTTGGTGGGATTTTTTTTTATTTTTGGCCTTTTTTTTTTTTTTTTTTCCCCCTCCTCCTTTCCTTTTCTTGCTTTGTGCCTTGCATGCTTGGCTCGTACGACACGACCGAGTGTGCAGACACTTCTTCTGTGGTGCAAATGCATGCCTACCACTTGCTCTTGTGGACCCTCGGCTTCTCATCGACCTGCCGAGCTCAACGTTCGTGTCCGATATCAGTCAGCGATAAAAAGATAATGGAAAAAAACAAAAAAATATCAACAAAAAAAAATATGAAAGTCGCGCCATGCTTTTTTCTCGTTTTTTTTTTTTTTTTTTTTTTCTCTTTTGATTTCTTTTTTCTTTCTTTCAACCTTCTTCAGTTGAAAACACATTACTCATGTTCCACTCTTCGACAACTTTTTTTTTGCGACAGGGATGCGCCACATCCAACTTGGAAAACAACTTTGACGACATCAAGCACACAACGCTGAGCGAGCGCGCTGCGCTGCGGGAGGCTTCGCGATGCCTCAAGTGCGCCGACGCTCCGTGCCAGAAGAGCTGCCCGACGCAGCTCGACGTCAAGTCGTTCATTGGCAGCATTTCAAACAAAAACTACTATGGCGCTGCCAAGGCCATCTTCTCGGACAACCCGCTCGGTTTGACCTGCGGCATGATCTGCCCGACCAGCGATTTGTGCGTGGGTGGATGCAACCTTGCGGCATCGGAGGAGGGTGCCATCAACATTGGCGGCCTGCAGCAGTTTGCCACGGAGGTGTTCAAGACGATGGGCGTGCGCCAAATCCGCGACCCTTCAGCAACGCCCGTCAGCCAGCTCCCCGAAAGCTTCCGTGCCAAGATTGCTCTGATTGGCTGCGGCCCGGCCTCGGTCAGCTGCGCCACCTTCCTTGCGCGCCTCGGCTACACCAACCTCACCGTGTTTGAGAAGGAAAAGTTCCACGGCGGTCTGTCCTCGTCTGAAATCCCCCAGTACCGTCTGCCGTACGACGTTGTCGACTTTGAGGTCCAACTCATGAAGGATCTCGGCGTCAAGGTCGAGTACGAGAAGCCCTTTGGCGTCGCTTCGGGCCTGACGCTGCAGTCGCTCCAGAAGGACGGCTACGAGGCCGTGTTTGTCGGCGTTGGTCTCCCCAAGGCCAAGACCGTCCCCATCTTTGACAAGCTCACCCAAGCAGAGGGCTTTTACACGTCCAAGGACTTTTTGCCGCTCGTTTCCAAGGCAAGCAAGCCCGGCATGTGCGGGTGCAAGTCGGCCGCCAACGCGCTGCCTCCGCTCCACGGCAACGTGATTGTGCTCGGCGCTGGCGACACGGCGTTCGACTGCGCGACTTCGGCACTCCGCTGCGGCGCCAAGCGCGTGACGGTCGTCTTCCGCAAGGGATTCACCAACATGCGTGCCGTGCCCGAGGAAGTTGACCTTGCCAAGGAGGAAAAGTGCGAGTTCCTGCCGTTCGCCTCCCCCCGCAACGTCATTGTCAAGGAGGGCAAGATCCGCGGCCTGGAGCTCTGCCGTACCGAGGTTGACTTTGACGGCAAGTGGACTGAGGACGAGGAGCAGACCATGCGTCTCAAGTGCGACTTTATCATCTCCGCCTTTGGCTCTGGTCTGGGCGATGGCAACATTATGGAGGGCCTCGCTCCCCTCAAGTTCAACTCGTGGGGCTTGCCCGAGGTGGACCGCGAGACCATGCAAAGCTCCGAGCCCTGGGTCTTTTGCGGTGGCGACGTTGCTGGCGTCGCTCAGACCACCGTCGAGTCTGTCAACGACGGCAAGCAGGCGTCGTGGCACATTCACAAGTACTTGCAGTCGCTGCACGGCATTCCGATTTCCGCCAAGCCGATGCTGCCGCAGTTCTTCACCGAGATTGACCAGATCGACCTGTCGGTGGACGTTGCTGGCGTGCACTTTATCAACCCCTTCGGCCTGGCCTCTGCGCCACCGACCACCACCTCGGCCATGATCCGACGCTCGTTCGAGGTTGGCTGGGGCTTTGCCCTCACCAAGACCTTCTCCTTGGACAAGGACTGCGTGACCAACGTGTCGCCACGCATTGTGCGCGGCACCACGTCTGGCCACTCGTTCGGTCCGGGCCAGGGTGCCTTCCTGAACATTGAGCTGATTAGCGAGAAGAGCGCCGCCTACTGGTGCCAGTCCATTGTCGAGCTCAAGCGCGACCACCCTGCGCACGTCGTCATTGCCAGCATCATGTGCTCGTTCAACCGTGAGGACTGGATTGAGCTGGCCAAGATGGCCGAGGCATCCGGTGCCGACGCTCTCGAGCTCAACCTGTCGTGCCCCCACGGCATGGGCGAGCGCGGCATGGGCCTGGCCTGCGGCCAAGATCCCGAGCTTGTGCGCAACATTTGCAAGTGGGTGCGCAGCGCCATCAAGGTTCCCTTCTTTGCCAAGCTCACGCCCAACGTGACCAACATTGTCGACATTGCTCGCGCTGCCAAGGAGGGCGGTGCCACTGGTGTCACTGCCACCAACACCGTTTCGGGCCTCATGCACCTCAAGGGTGACGCGACCGCCTGGCCCGGCGTGGGCAACGACAAGCGCACCACCTATGGTGGCGTTTCCGGCAACGCCATTCGTCCGATTGCCCTCAAGGCGGTCTCGGCCATTTCGCGCAACTTCCCCGGCTTCCCGATTCTTGCGACCGGCGGTATCGATTCGGCCGATGCTGCTCTCCAGTTCCTGCACGCGGGTGCATCTGTCGTCCAGATCTGCTCTTCCGTTCAAAACCAAGACTTTACCGTTGTGCAAGACTACATTACGGGCCTCAAGACCCTGCTCTACATGAAGGGCCGGTCCGACCTTGCGGGCTGGGATGGCCAGAGCAAGCCGACTGTGCGCCATCAGAAGGGCAAGCCTGTTGACACCACCATTCCCGGACTCACTGGCAAGCACTTGCCGCACTTTGGTGCATTCAAGGAGGAGCGCGAGCGCATTGTGGCCGAGCACAAGAAGACTGTCAACCTTCTCGACCCGGCCAACTTCCCAAACCGCCAGCTGCCCCCGGCTTCCAAAGTGCCCACGTCGATCGCCGACATTATCGGTCTGGCTGTGCCGCGCATCGGCACCTACGGCGACCTGTCCAACAAGGAGCAGGTGGTTGCTCTGATTGACGAGGAGATGTGCATCAACTGCGGCAAGTGCTACATGACGTGCAACGACTCTGGCTACCAAGCGATTCGCTTTGACCCCAAGACGCATCTGCCCACCGTCAACTCGGACTGCACTGGTTGCACGCTCTGCGCCAGCGTCTGCCCCATCATTGACTGCATCACCATGGTGGAGCGCAAGATTCCGTACGTGCCCAAGCGTGGCATCCCGTTCAAGGCGTAATCCAATCGGCCAGGTTGACTTTCAGGCCCTCCTCCCTCTTTTTCTTCAATTGTCTTGTTTGGTTTCATTCCTGTATTTTGTTTCCCCTCGCTCTCCCTCTCCCTTCCGGTGTATTCTGTGGGCGTTTCTGATTCCTGGTTTTTTCTCTTCGATGATACTTGTGTTTGTTCTGTTCTTCATTGTCTCAGTTCTATTGTTCGAGTAAATTGACATCAATGAAAATATTTGAAATTGAATCCATCGTTGTACTCTTAATACAACGAGGAAGAAAAACAAAAAGCACAAAGAAAAACATACGACACAAAAGATTGAGGCCAACCTGCAACCGCAACAATAACAACAACGCAACGAGACAAACAACAAAACAAATCGAAGCAAATCAAAAACAAATCGAAAAGAAAGTAAAAACGACAACGACAACAACAACAACAGACAGCACCGACAACGAGCGAGAAAACAAACACAACAAGACCAAAAAAAACAACGTTTGTAGCCGTATAAACAGGTGAGACGCCACGGCTAGCAGGGCGGATTGTCGCATAAAAAAATTGCTAGCGTTTTCAAAGTGGCTTTTCATTCAGAAGTCCGAACTTCATCGGGAATCTCAAGAACCACATCTTGCAAATCCTCCGCGCCTTGCATCGGCGATTCGAGCGACTGAGCTTCGACAGCGGCATGCTGTTTTTTGGGCGAACTTGGTGTTTGTTTGGGCGAACTCGGTGCGACCGAATGCACAATCAAGTCAGACTGCGACGACGTCGCGGGAGCTGGCTCTGGTTGCGCGACGGACTTTTCGTATTGGCTGGGATACTCGCTCCGGTCAAAGCTGTCGCGATTTGCCTTGCGTCGCTTTTGCGAGGACTTGAGCGTCGAGTTGCGATCAGTATCTTCGGTTGTGTCCTGGGTCACAGGCTTCTCCTGCGCACCAGTGACTCGGTATGCATGCAGCAGCACGCAAAAGGCGATAAAGTGCACATAGTCGAAAAGGCCAGGGGTGACCATTGAGAAGGAGCCGGTGGGCACTTCCAGCGGCTTGCCATCGACCTTCAGGTCGTACTGGGAGGATGCGTTGGACGAGATGGACCAAATGAGGACGGCTACGCATGCGACGAGGACGGCAATCATGATGCGCAAGAGGGCGAAGATTTTGCGAATGGCACGCGCGCGTCTTCGCGAGCGGATGCCCTCTCCATTATTGCCGCCGGTGGACCGCGAGGTGCGCGATGATTTGTGTTTGGAAGCTGTTGGGGCGGCGGCAGCACCAGCAACGGCGGGGTTTGTCTTCAGTCGGAGCGAGCCACCCGACGCGCGGTTGTTGGGATTCGGCTGCTGCGCGGTGCCTGCTTCGACATCGGCATCGTCGTCGTCCTCCTCAGCTACTTCCTCCTCGGTGGCTTCCTCGCCACTCACATCGGCAGCTTGAGGGCGCGCATGCGACGACCCAGCAGTCGACTCTGACAGTTTGCCAAACTTCTTCTCTGCAATCACCAGCATGCGGTAGATCTGCAGGCCATACCAAAAGCCAAACACAAGCCACGAGAACATGATGGCGTTGGTGATGGCATACTTGACGATGACTGCCTGCCAGTAGATGCCGGCATTGTACTGCAGCGTGCAGCAGACGATTTGTGTAATCCAGACAACAATGATGCTGCCGCGGTAGAACAGGCGCGGGAGCTTGCTGGTGGTGCGTTTGAAGGTCGACTTTGACAGGAACGAGTACCACGACCAGACAATGACAAACACGCAGCAGACGCCTGCCGCCGACCCGATGTCGTACATGAGGTCTGACAAAAAAAAGCACAAGCGAACGAAACGAACGAAAAATGCATGGGTTAGTCACGAAAAGGCGGGGATGCAGCGGATGGAAGGAAGGTAAGGTGAGGTGACGAGTTGTCGTCAACTCCACCAACATCAACACTCCAACTCGTCTCTTCCAGCGTCAATCCGATGCACTGTCTGATCTTGGTGGGAAAATGCCACACACACACACACGCCTCCCAGTTCGAGTTTGTTGCCCACGCATTTGTTGTCGTAGGAAAACAAAAACAAAAGAAAAAAAAAACAAAAAACAAAAGAGAAACTTAAAATCAACAATCGCGTTAATTGCGTTAATTGCCGCAGCAACAAGGGGAGAAAAAATAAAAGCCCGCACAACAACAGAACGTGATGCTGGGGAGGACGCGACGCGAGGATGCGTCAAAGTGACGGGAGGCGGGGGAGTGGGGGGGGGGGAAGAGAACGAAACAAAGCGACCCGAAGAGAGAGAGAGAGAAGGATGAGAAAAGAAAACGACAAAACGGATAATATCGCTTTTCGTGACCATCCCAAAAGTCAGGCGGTCGGGCGACGGGGCGTGACGAGAAAGCGAGAAAGTAAGAGAGAGAGAGAGAGAGAAAAGGGCGATGAACGAGCCACGAGAGAGAGAGAGAGAGAGAGAGGGTGATGAATAGCAGTGACGAGTCGAGGGCTCTCAACACCAACCACCACCCCAAATGAAGCAAAAGGAACAGACAAAACGCCGAACAAAAACAAAGTAAAAAAAAAAAAAATTCACAAAAAATCACAAAAATAATCATATAAAATAGTTCCAAAATTTCAAATTCCCTCGGCTCGTCCATTCGTCAACGGATCTCACAGTGAACACCTTGCAAGTCCCACTCGAGCCTCACACCAACGATGGGACCTGGTCTGCTCGGACCGTCTGGTTTTGTCACCCAAAAATGTGCCCATCGTTCCAGGAATGGCGTTGATTGGTGTTGGAGCGCTTTTAAAGTTTTTTTTTTTTTTTTTTTTTTTTTGCGAGTGTGAATGAAGATCCGTTTTTCTTTTTTGAGTCCAGCTGTGACGTGGAAGGACGTGGGAGAGGCGCACAGGCAAAGAGTGCAAGGAGTAAGGCAGATCAGAGCCCGAGAGTGCAGAGGGCAAGGAGATGGGGCGTGGGAGGCGCGGCCCTGAGCACACAAAAACGAACGCACAAATACAGTACTCAAAAAAGAGTACGAGTTCGATCTCGGCACGTTCTTCCCGCTCCTCTCTGTCACGCTGCCAGCGACAGAAGCACAAAGCTGTTTGTCGAGTGTTGCCTGTGTGTTTGTATGCGTGTGTTTGTTGTGTTGTGTTGGAAGCCCCTGTGTTTGTTGTGACGCAGACTCGCTCCTTTTTGGCTCAAACCCCAAAAACAGCTCCACCGCGCACTCACTCGAAAGGTGCGGTTTGATAGATAGGAAAAAAACCGCACCAACCACACCATCAGTTCCTCACCACGCCCTTCCAGAGCTTGCAACAAGAGGACACGGAACAACGAATCGAACATAAGAGAGAGCGAGAGACAGAGAGACAGAGAAAGCAGAACAGAAAGCCGAAGCAAAGCCGGCAGCGGCGGCGAATCGCTTACTATTCACGTAGATGGAAATGTTGCCGGCCCAGCCGTAGACGTCGGCAGCGCGAACAACCATGGTGGCGGTGCCAATGACGAGGAGAGTGAGAATCTGGACTTGGACGTCTTGGCCCGGATTGAAGGACCAGTGCTGCTTTTGAATGGCGAGCAGATATTGCCAAAGCGTCACCAGGAAAAGCGGGATGAAGAGGAGGCAAAAGACTACTTGATACCCAGTGTACGTCGAGCCCATAAACTCGGCAAACGTCTGGTTGCACGCCGGGAACGTCATGTACGGCCACTCGCACGCGATGACCGTCATGATGAATGCGGGGAGCGGGGCTTGGAAGGGAGCTAGTGAGGGAGGGCGGAGCTAGTGAGGGAGTGCAGAATTGTGTCGCAACGCAACAACAACAAATTTAAAATTTGAAAAAGAAAAAAGAAAAATAAACAATAAAAATTCGACAAAAAAAAAAAAAAAAAGAATGACCCGTTTCCAAGCCGCACTAATCCGAGTTGTTGCACAAAATCCAAGAAAAAAGCATGGCGAAATTCAGCGACATGAACAAAGAGAAATAGGTCTAAAAGAGCGATCTTGCATCAGGAGCGACGATTGGGCGGCGGCGCGCGAATGAAAAAAGTCATCGGGATTGAGCAAAGTCATCGGGCGAGCAAACAAACAAACAGAAACCACAACAACAAACAGCAAACAACAATCACAACCACAAACAAACAACACAAAATCCGACCCGTCGGATGAATGCGATGCGTCAGCAATTAGCGCACTTCCGCTTGCTGGTGACAAAGCAAGGCCCTTGATCTGAGATCACAATCAATCCGTGCAACTGCCAAACCGAGTGCATGTTTTGACATGCTTCGTTCTCCTCGTTCTCCTTTCCTTCTTTGGTGATGCACTTGTTTGGCCACTGTCAACGAGATGTTCAGACGAGGTTTGAACATTTCATCATCCACTCAAAGACGAAAAATCTGTTTGTTCATGCTAGCAAAAACGGCTCAAATCACTCGAAACGACAAAGAACAAGTACAAGCAACGACGAACGCGACAACACCGCGCGTAACAAGCGTCCGGCCGATCGACCAAACGGTTGTCGCACAAAATGCATGGATTCGCGACTTGGCTACAGCTAGCACGAAACAAGTACTGTATCGGTCTCCAGAGCGCGAGAAAATGATCCGCGACATGAGGGCAAAGCTCGAGGAGGTCGAGCCTGAGAACCATCAAACCAACGAAGAAGAAAAACAAAATAACCAAACTAAAAAACTGAAAACAATAATGTACGGGGGGAGAGGAAGGAAGCAAAGTACAAGGCAGAGATTGGTTGCCGAAAAAAGGAAGAAGAAGAAGAAGAAGAAGAATCAAAAGGCAAAGTACAGAAGAAAGAATTATCAAGTAAAATGAAGACAAGGCAGAGGAGAGCGACTGCAATTGAATGCAGCGCTTGTTTCAAAGAATTAGAGTGTCCAAAAACTCGAGGGAGAGAGAGGAAAAAAAAAATTGCGACATCTCTCTAGCAATCAGTCGCAATTCCACGGCGGTGGTTGCTTGAGGCAACAACGTCACTGTTCACTGCCCCCAATCGAGATCCGACAAGCCATTGGCCATCATCTCACCACTATTGGGCAAGGCACCCAGGTTGGAGAGCGACTCATAGTCGGCCAGTAGCAGAGACGACGGCAGGTCGGAATGATCAAGCATCAGCTGCTCGCTCGCGGAACCAGTGGCAAAATGGAGGTTGCCAAACTGAGAGTGACCAGCGTCGAACGAATCGTTCGCGTGGCGCATGCGTGGGGTAATAAGACCAGACGAAGACTCGGAATGCTCGCTGTGCGAGGTGTGGGATGGAGTGGAGAAAGGCATGCTTGCTGGGCTGGCCATTTGCAGGCGGCCGGGTGAAGACAACATGGCTGGCGGGGCCGGTTGGGCCTTGTTTGGAAGACCGGCAGAAGAGAACGACGAGCGACCCGCAGAGTGGTGCTGTTGATGTTGTTGCTGCAGCAGTTGTTGCTGCTGTTGTTGTTGCTGTTGCTGTTGGCCATACGACGACGAGTAGTGGTGTTGTTGCTCGGCGGGATGTGCGGTGTGGCGAGCATCCAGTAATAGCAAGTCCGGATCGGCCGGGTTGCCAATGTCATTCCAGTCGAGATCGGTCACGCCTCCAGTCAACTCGTCGTCACCAATCATGTAGTCTGCTTCGGGCAGATACTGTTGCAGGTTGGCAGAGAAGTCGACGGCAGGGTAGGACATGGATGTTGGGCTCACGGCAAGCGATCCAATGCTGACCGAGCTGTTCCCGTTGGTGGAAGTGCTACTGCCGCTGAAGGAGGAAGGGGTGTGTCCAATGTCGAGAGCATCAATGTATCCAGCATGGCCAGTCAGCATGTTGTCAGAGGCGGTCGACATTGAGCGCGAGGACGTGACCCCTCCCGAGTGCTGGCGCGAGACCACCGTTCGGTTGCCAGATCCTTTGACCAGCTGGGACGATTGCTGAGCGGGCGCAGCAGCCGAGGCAGCAGTGGTCACTGCCATGCCAGTGCCTCGCAATGCCTGGTGCGCCGCAGCGGACGGCTGTTCGGGGATTGCCGCAGGAGAAATGGCGGACGGTGCCGACAGAGAGGCAGACAACGCGGCAGAAGCAGCTCCTTCGCCGAACGCGTTCAAATTGAGACGGAGCGAGGACTTGCGACCGCGGGTGCCAGTCGTAGTCGCGACCTGGGGCGTGTTCACGGGCGTGCTTCGACCGCTGGACGAAGCAGAGTACGCGAGGCCTGTCGATACGCTGCGCAAAGTAGCATCCGTCAGCGTCTGGGACGAAAATCCATCCATGCTGGCCGACAGCGGCTGGTCGGAAATCAAATCACTGCCTTCAAACAGGTTGTCCCCGATTGCCGACATCAAATCTGTGCTGGGATCGAGCTGTCCCGCTGCAGCAATTGTTGCCTCCAAATCCTCTCCTGAGATGTGGTCCAGAGAGAACGCACCGGACTCGAACATGTGCTCATCAGGAGAGTGGTCATCGGTGAATGTTGTTGCATTGGCTGTTGCAGTCGACGCAAGCGAGTAGTTGTTGACACCAAAGCCGTACGGATGGGGAGTCGCCGTGCCACTGTGAGAAACAGGCACGCCACCACCACCGGCAAGAAGAGGGGCGAACTGCGACGGGGCCGGGGTGCTTGGCGCGCTCATGAACTTTCCGTGGTGTTGTTGCATCTGGGCTTGCTGTAGTTGCTGGTATTGGGCGAGTTGGTACTGCTGCTGCTGCTGCTGCTGCTGCTGCTGCTGCTGATGCTGTTGTTGTTGCTGCTGCTGTAGTTGTTGTTGTTGTTGTTGCTGTTGTTGTTGTTGCTGCTGCTGCTGCTGTTGTGCGTGATGGTTTCGGTCGGTCGAGTGCTGTGGCGGATGCAGAGTCATCATTGCATACATATTGCCACTATCATCGAACGACTGGCTGGAGGCATCAAGAACGCTGTTTGCCCGGCGTGAGCGTGCAGTGGCGCGAACCGGCGACTCGTTTGGCGCGGAAACAGGGAGAGGACCGAGGCTGTGGTTCTCTTCAGCCAGAACGCCGCTCGCATCAGGTACCATCCACTGCGGAGTGGGCGCACTGGTGCTAAAGTAGCCGTTGCCAGACATGCCAGACATGGGCATGATGCTGACTGAGGTCGTTCGGCGTTTTGGGGAAGGGTGGAAGCCTGTCGAGGTTGCCACTTTATTGGGCGACCCAATCGACTGCGCAAAGTCACCGCCAGGCATGCCGTACGGCGCGCTGGACCCCGGCGTCGCCGGCGAAAGCATGGCATCGCCGCCAAAAGCGACGCCCGAAGCCGCCATGGGAAGCAGGCTCGTTGGTATCATGCGGGTGCTGGGGCGCACACCCGTTTCCGACGCCGACCGCCTGCGACCGATGCGGTCCATGGACTCGAGCTGCTCGTAGTCGAGCATCCACCATGCGCCCTTTCCCTTGTCGTCAACGGCCTTGGCGACCTTTAAAAAGAACTTTTTAAGCGATAAATTGTGCCGGATGGAGTTCTGTCCACACACACACAGACAAACCAAGGGGGTGAGAGTTGAACATGATGCACATGACATGAACAAGGCAAAATAACAAAAAGGGTACGAGTCGAGTTGGTGCCGATGGTTGTGGCGTGACAAGAACGAACGCGAGGTTGTCAAGTAGCGGTGCATGATTAAAAAGTAAGTGAAAGTTAAAAAATCAAAAAAAAAAAAAAAAAAAAAAAAGCCATGCTTTGAGAAAAAAAGTCGGAAAAATAAAAATAAAAATTGAGGATTCGCTCAAAGAGCGGAGGACGAGCAAGCGAGCAGGAAGAAAGAGCAATACAAAGACGTATTACAGCGAGGACAATACAAAGACGTATTACAGCGAGGAAGGCAGGAAAGAGGGAAAAAGGAGAAGCCGAAGGAGGAAGAAGCGAACGAGGCGGACGGATTCTTTAAAAAATAAAAAAAATCATACGAAAAATGCTCACTAGAAACGAGAACGAGTTTCAAAAGTGTACCCTGTCACGAGCGAAAAGAAAGAAAAAAAAAATTCTCTGAAACAAGGGAGAAAAAAAAAAAAAAAAAAAAAAGCGCGAGTTGCGGCGAGTTGAGGCCGTTCTCTTTCGGTTCTCATTGCAGGCAGCAACGGAGCAACGCAAGGCATTCGAGGTATTGTTTTGTGCAGAAAGCGAGAGGAAGAGTGTTTGGTGTTTGTGTGAAGGAATGTCCGGGGAAATAGAAATGGAAATAGATGCGTGTGAGCGCGACACTCTCGACACTCTTTGTTGGAGTGGAGCGCTCGCGCGGCCGTGTCTTGCCAGCGCGTCAGACGAGGACGGCCCGGCACAGACCGCCAGCAACACGCACAGGCCACTTGCCCCCCCATGTTGCCACCGAGTCGCGCAGAAGCAGTGAGCGGGTGGGTGGGTTGACCCCCGTGGCGGACAGTGGAACGCGTGAGCGAACCCGAGCAAGCGAAAAAAGGGGGGTGTTGCACAAAAAAAAAAAAAGCAGGAAAAAAAAAAAAGCAGCAAAACCCGGGGGTCACGGGAACGGAGGGTGAACTCGCACGTAACGGCAGTACCTCAAAACACCATTCAACCTATACGAATCCACCCTCTTTTTTTTTTTTTTTTTTTTTTTTTTGGTTTTTAGCCGGCCTTTGGCTTTGTTGCTCGGTGCAACCCCGACGAACGCGCCGCTCGACCGTATCCCCCTTCGTGCGCCATAGAAACACACTCCAGAGCGTGAAATGGGCCGGTGCGCAATCAAGCATGCACACCAAGCACAACCCCAAGGAAAAAAGAAAAAAAAAAAAGAAAAAGATTTTTTTTTTTTTTCGTTCGGAGATTCGCAGCGTTTCACAACCGAACCACCGAGCGACGCAGTTTCGCTTGTTCGCCTGCAGCCGTGACTGCAGGAAGCAAAAGCAACAACGACCATGTATTCTTGTTCCAACCTCCCGCTTAGAAACGAATGGCCAACCCAAAGAGCAGGGTCGCCGGGCAGCGAAATCGCAGCTTCCAATGTTGGCAATGTCGGAGCTGATTTTTTTTTTTTTTTTTTTTTTTTTTTTTTTTTTTTTTTTTTTTTTTTTTTTTTTACCTTCCACGAGTGGTCTTGCTCCTTGTAGTAGGGAAAGTTCTCCTCAATCCACTTGTAGATTTCGTTGAGGGTGAGGCGGCGCTCGGGCGAGTCGTGGATGGCGCGCGCAATGAGGGCGGCGTATGGGTACGGCGGCTTCGTGTCCGAGTGCGGAGTGGGGACAACGTTGAGCAGGTCTTCCAGCGCCGCCGCGTTGGTCGGGTCGAGCGCCGAGGCCATGACCGCGGTGGCTGGGAATCCGCTCATCATGGTTTTCTTTGTTTGCGAGAACAAGCTTGGCGCGCTGAGGAGGAGGAGGAGGAGGAAGAGGAAGAAGAGTGGCGAGACAGAAAACCAATGAAGACGCAACAAGAAAAAAAAAAAAATCTTCTTCTTGTTGGTTTTCTGAACGAGGGTCAAATGGAAAGAACGATGACTGAGTTGAGGTTTGCATTTTGCATTGTGCATTGCACTGAAAAGGTGAAGGTTGAATTGGGCGACGAGCAAGAAAAGAAAAAGGGGGTACTCCTTGAGTTGATTTTGAACTGACGATTTTGTTGCATCTCGCGTGAGCAGCCAAAGATTTTCAGAGTGCAAAAGTCCCAGTCAGCCGTTCTGAGGGTGTCTGAGCACTCTGCCTAAACATTGTCGAGAGCATTCGTTTTTCATTTCGAGAATAGAGGGTGTATTTCGCACCCAAAGATTCCAAAGATTCCAAAGATTGTTCCGAGGTAAGCGATCGCTCACGTTTCCGTTTGTCAAATGATGCGATATGTTAGCTGACCAGATCGCCACAAGCACAGCGACCAAATCGACGAATGCCGCGTTTTGTAGCATCGAAAGGGAGCATGCCAGGTGGGAGGTAGAGTTATAAATTTGTTGAATAACCAAAAGAAAAAACAAAAAAACGCAACGCGCAACTGTCAATCAACGCAATCCTGATAAGCCCGATCCCAGCGGGTTGAAATGATCTGCAGCAGAAAGCGGCGATGTCGGCCGACTTGGTAAATGCCCGAAAGCATCAACGGCGGCTGACATTGACATTTGCGATTGGTAGGCGTGGCTAGGAGGTGCAGCAGCAGCAGCAGCAGCAGCAGCAGCAGCAGCAGCAGCAGCAGCAGTAGTGCTGCCGGGACTGTGATGCTGGAGTTGACTATGAGCATGGTGGTGGTTGTGGTGGTGCATGGCCGTGCCAGGGATGGACAACGGGTATAGGCTTGCCGGAGTCGTCGAATTCCCGCCAGACATGAGAACAATTTCGGTGAGCTCTCCCGTCGAGCGGCTTTGTGGCGAGCCTGAAGTACCGTCCGCACGATGAGGCGGCGTGCTGCTGCTGATGCCGTCTTGGGCCTCGAGATCGTTGAGATTGGCCTCGAGGAGCCGTTCTCGCTCCTGCAGCTGAAGTTGCTGCAGAGGGAGCGAGTCGTCTGGCATCTGACAAGCGTCATCCAGCACTTTCTTGGAATGCCGCCAAACAAAGGCCGTGAGAATGATGCCAATCACCACCTGGCCGCCGAGGAGCAGGTACTGTTGCATCGGAGACTCGCCTCGGCCAAAAATGTCTTCCATGCGCTGCAACGACGACCCCAAGTACGAGTTGAGCAGTTGTGTTGGTATCAAGCCCACAAAGGTGGCTGTAGCAAAGAGGGAAACGTCGATTTTCGCCACCTGCAGACAGACAGACAGACCGAAAGATGGGGGAAAGAAATTGAGTGGGGCCAGCGCAACAACTATTCTAAAAAAACAGCTGCACACCAACAACACATCTACACACGGCACCCATCAGCTAAACATACCGCAAACAAGGCGTTTTGCAGGCCGTAGGGGATGGGAGTGAGCCGAGTGAGAGCAATGATTTTCAGGCCTTGCTTGCCCTCCACAACTCGGATGACAGCGTGGAACTGGGGATTCTCGCCCACCTTCCGTCGGACGAAATTCAAGCACATCTTGCGGCAGACGAGCATGGCGAGCGTGGCACCGAGAGTCCCGCCAACCACATTCATGGCAAACCCGAGCCCAAAGCCGTAGAGGTAGCCCGCGGCAAAGTTGACAATGATAAAGCCCCAGGCGATCGGCAGCGATACAAACACATACAGTGCTGCAAACACGACCGCCGCACTCATGCCATGGGCGTTACGCATGTACATGACGGCTGGCTTGAAGTACTCGGCAAAGAGCACGCCGCATGCAATGACCACCGCCACGATGACCGCGATGGATATTACCTGGCGGTGCTGCATCTGTGCATGTGTTGTGCGCGGTGGCAGCGTTGGCGATTCGGCAGTCGAGGCAGCAGACGAGGCAGAAGGACCACGTCAACGATGACAAGCAGCAGCAGCAGCAGCGGTGGCAATGTCGATCGTCCCCAATGCGATTCGAGTCTCTTCCTGTGCGCTTGAGCTCCAACAGTTTGCAGGACTCGACGCAAAGCAAGAGATGGAGCGACGAAGCTACGAATGGCACTTTGACGCTTCTTGGGGTTGCGCTGCTGCGGGGAAGATTGAGTGCTCGGTGATGACCTCGCTGGCAGTCGTCGTCGACTCTCTCTCTCCCTGCTTGTTTTTGGTCCACTTCAGAATATCTATAGAACGCAAAGGGGGGGGGGGACCTCTTGTTCAAAAGCACGATTGACGAGGCGGCGACCAACGGAGAGGCGACGGAAATCAAAGACGAGGAAACGAAGGAATCGGTTTTGAGCGAACAAAGTCCAACAAGCGAGCGAGGAAAAAAAAAAAAAAAAAAAAAAGTTTGCAGATCTAAGACTGGTGTTGGTGAGCAAACTGAGAAACCTGGGAGAGAACTGAACAGAAAACAGAGAGATAGAAAATGATAGAACTGCGCAAACGACTCTACACTGGTTTGCAGAAAAAAAAAATGGATCAAGAGAAATTGACAGCGCATGACAAGGAAGCATGCAGGACATGTACAAGCAAAAGCACCAAAAGACGACGTAAAACGACGACAGGCGCGACATACAACCATAAAGAATCAACCGAGCAGCGGAAGAAGCGACCAAACACACAAAGCAAGGCATTCAGAAACACAACTCAGTTCGGGATTGCTTCGAGTTGCGGAAGAAGAGACTCCCAAGCGCTGATCGTCTGCGCACGATGAAACCAAAAAACAAGCACATCCCGTCAAAGTAAGAACACGAAAAGCGGTTTCAAGTTCAGAACGCAAGCCCTGCAGCCAACACATTAAAAAAAAAAAAAAAAAAAAAAAAAAACAACGAAACTCACCTCTTGGTATGACTTGATGTGCACGTCACACATGGCCAAGAAGATGGCCTTCAGATCTTCCTTCTTGGTAATGTGCCAGCGATCAATGTCGGCAAGAATGGATTCGTTGGCCGAGAGGTTTTCGTCGTTGGCCTTTTCGACTGCCTCCTGCAGTTCGCTAATTTGTTGTTCCAGCTTGTTCACCTTCTCCTGCTTGACGGCATTGGGATCCTTGCCCATCATGGTGCCGAACGAGCGTTTTTGATCCGAGCGCTCCACGGAATCCTTTTCGGTTCGCTTCTTCTCGAGCTCCTCGGCGATCAATTCGCAGTGCAATTGAAGCGCATCGCGGCGTTTGAGCAAGAGCTGGAGGGAGGAGGGAATGGTAGTTGGCTCCAGTTAGTCTTCAAAGCACGCAACAATGGGAGGATACGGGGGCTGTTTTCTCAATTCTGCTTACACGAACGCTTTCTGCGTATTGCAAGTACTCTTGCAAGGCCATGACGTAGTTTTCTTCCTCTTGCAATGCCTGTTGCAAAGGCAAAAAGAACAAAGAGACAACAGAGAAGAGTTAATCAAAAGTAAACCAAAAACCGATGGCAAAAACAAAACGCCAAATGTTCCGTACCAAATCCTTCAGCAAGGTTGAAAGCGACTCCATCTTGCCAGCAACGGCAACGCAGGGGTTGCACAACTCCGTCTCCAAATTCGAGATGAGGGTGAAAACGGAGCCAAACTCGGCAACGTCGGTCGCATAGTCTAAAGTGGAGGAGTAAATTTCGAGCTCAGCACCACATCCAAACGACAGACGATGCAATCCAGTGCATCCTGACCCACATACCGGTCTTAAGCTTGGAAATGGAAGTGTTAATCTTGTCCAACGCGGTCAGGCGCGCCGAAAGATCCGTGAAATAAGTTGCAATGGCAACAAATCGTTCGTCAGGGTTTTTCAAAATCATTTTGGCCGCAAGGTTCTTGAACGAATCGCCGAGCGAGGCAAACAAACCGCCGCCGCGCTTCTTGGCGGAGGTCATTTCCTATTGGGACGAAAGGAATGAGAAACGACAAACAACAAGCCAGATTGCCGTCAGTGATGAAGGGCCAATCCAGTATCCAGTATAGACCAAAAGGTATCCACATTGTGCCTACATACCCATGTGGCAGCCTCGAGGAAGGTTTGAAACTCAGTGTTGCTCGACAGAATCGAGTGAGTCGCGACACGATCGAGGAACTTTTGGAGTCCGAGCCGGCGCTTTTCAAGAAAATCGGGGTCGAAGCGAGCAAGACGCTTCATCACTTGCTTTTCTGGGAGCGGCTATGAGCGATCAAACCAGAGTGTCGGTCCATCAGCAAACGTTTAGTACGTCAAAGTTTGTATCGATCCAGCCAAGTCGGAAATGCCAATCACCCGACACTTACAGGCACAACGACGTGCGGCATCAGTTCCTGCAAACGCGTGTGCAACCAAAGAAAGTCCTGGTAGCGGCGTCGAACGTAGAACGAGTTGGACTGGAAGCCCGACCGGGTCGTCTGTGTCCGAGTCCATATCCAATGCAATGCAATAGTGAGTGATTGTTCGTTCTCTCGAACTGTCTCTCTCTCGCGCTTTGTCAATCTCGAACAAACTGTCTCCTCAAAGCGGCGGCACTTACGTTGGTGGACACCTTGTAGCTCACATACGCGTCGAGCCCGTCGCCTACACAAACCGAAGCCAGTGAGCATCAACAAGCACAGAAACACAAAAAGCCCTCCCCACCCCGACTCCCCACCAACTGAGCACTCCAATGTTCCAATGTGGTTCGCGATGGTCGTCGCCAGCAAGGCAACGGCAGCGAACAGAGAACCAATCGCGATTGGGGCCGAATTGTGAGATCGCAGAAGTCAGTTCCAATTGAGAACCGCCCCGGCCCGTTGGTTCGCTCAACGTCACCAACGAGTGCAGCGACGACAAGATGCACAGGCAGACCAACGAAACACACACGAAAAATTGGTGGGAAGGCTTAGGATTGGTGGGATTGGCATTGGAAGGGGGATGGATTGGGGAAAAGGGAGGAAATTGGAAGAATCGTCGCAAGGAAGGAAGAACTTGCCGTGCTTCTCGGGATCGGAGACAACAATGGTAATGTCACTCATTGGAAGAAATGGAAGAGTGGCTGAAATAGATAAAACATAGATCTACAATAACATGAAAACGCAATGGCAAATAATATGGATTGAATTAAAACAAAAAATCAAAAACATAATGCTGCACAGAAATTTACAATCACGAACGGTCGTGGGGAACAGACAGTCTTTAGACAAACGACATGATGCGGCGGGTGGGCGAACGAGCTCGCTCGACAGGCGTCGAGCCAACGGCAGAGGCAGAGGAGGACAACGCGGTGGGTTGAGCAGCGGCAACGGTGCTGCCCGACGCGCCAACGCTGGCAGGGGCCGAGCCAGTCGTGGATTGTAGCGCAGCGAGAGCGACAGCAAACCCACTGCCAGAGCTCCCACCTGTGCCAAGGGTGCTTGAAGCAGAGGTGGATCCTGCTGCCGCCCCAGAGCTGGCGCTGTTCGGCGTGCCCAGCGGAGAATCAGCGTCGTCCAAAGCACCACTACCTACACTGCTCGCGGCAGCACTGGCCGACGTTGTTTGCCGGCCACGCCCACGCGACGAGCCTTCGGATACTCGCCAGACCGAGTTGGGATGCCTGCTGACGCCACTTTCTGCCGCGCGGTCTGAAGGCGGGAAGTTGTTCTCAGCCTGCTCGAGCAAGTACTGCCGGAAGCGGCGATCGTGCTTGTCACGTCGGACGGGCTCGCGCGTCGTGCGCTCAACAAGGCGCTCTGCAGTGTCCCTGTCCTTGGAGTCCTTGGAATCCTTGTCCTTGTCCTTTTCCCGCTCCTTCTCCTTCTCCTTCTCCTTTTCCTTCTCCTTCTTGGACTCGTAGGCGCGCAGTCGTTCTCCCGAGTGAGACGCAGATCCGGCCGAATGCGAGCACTGGCAATTTGTCATCTTCTCGCCCAGCGCGTTCAGAATTTCCAACAAGAGCTCCTTCTTGAGAGACTTGAGCTTTGCCGACTGGGCAATCTTGGAGAAGCATTCAACAGTCACATGAAGAGCGTGGCGCTTCATGTCATGCGCCTGAATTCGATCCGCAGCCTCGAGAATCTGAGCAGGCAGAGCACAGAGAGAGAGAGAGAGAGAGAGAGAGAGAGGGAGAGCCAGAGAGAACGAACAAAGTGAGAATCTGGAAAAGCAAGCACCTCACGATAACACAGGCAAAAGTGACAGTACCTGAAGGACGTTGCGAGGTGACACGTTTTCTTCCAGGTTGTACTTGCAGAATGCTTGAAGACGATCGTTGGTAAACCCGTAAAAATGGGGCGCAGAGAACAGGTACATGGCGTCTTCCGGCGGCATGCCAACGTCGCCGCAGTAAATGTACCACATGAGCGATGCGAACGCAGATCTGCTTGGCATGACATCTCCGATAGCAGCCTGTGGATGCACACATGCCGAAAAAAAAAAACAAAAAAAAAAAAAAGGGAAGAAAAGTTTAGAAAACTCCTTCCCGAGTCGCCGCTCCAAAAACAACAAGTCTCTTGTCTCTGCATACACTCAATCGAGTAGTCTTGCTCTCTTGCATGCCAGAACGGAACATGGCACGGAAGTACTCCGCGCGGGCGGCAAGAATCGACTTGTGGGCGAAAAACACTTCACCGTGAACGACAAACGACACGTCGAAAAAGTAGGCGCCAGTCATGCCTTGGAAGAAGTTGGACATGTCGAGATCAAGCGAGCCCTGTCAATGTCAAAAGCAAAAAAAAATTCCCCCATATGCATGTCAGAAATGATGCCACAACGTCATGAGAAGAATACTCTGCCCTCGTCATACCTCGGGAGAATCAACCGGGCTCAGCTTCTGTTCGCGCTGCTGTGGCATTTGCTGGCGTCGAACAATCTCCACCAAAAGACCTTGCTCGAGTTGCTCGAGCTCGGGCGAGCCAACAATCTCGGAATAGTTGCCTTCACGCACGATGAAGTTGAGACAGTCGGATTTGAGGTTGCCAAGCTTGAGCGCAGACACAATTCGGAGCACCGAGAGTACGTTCTTGACAGTGACGGCGGCCAGGATGAGCAGCTCGCAGAGCTTTTCGAGCCGAGCCAGGTTGAACTGAATGGCGAGTTCGTACGCATGCGTAATCATTTCAATGTTGATGGCACCGAGGTTGGAGTTGTACTCGACGTGCGATATGGTGTCGCTGTAAATGAAGGCAATCACGAGCTCGAAGGCCGCAAAGTTGGCGTTCGGAAAGTGCAGTTCGAGCACTGGCGCCGTCGCATAGTCAGTCGGCGGGCTTTCGTCTACCAGCGTGTCGAGAGCAGCTAGTTGCCGACTAGGCGCGTGAGCGTCGCTGCGAGCGCCTTTGGTCTGTTCCACGTCTTGCGCGACAGTTGGATACAGCGTTTGGTATCCTTGAGTTGGTGCTGCGCCACCGCCGCTGCTGCCGCTGCTGCTGCTGCTGCTGTCGGAAGCCGTTGTCGCCGTTGCGCCTTTGGTGGCATGGACGACAGAGTTGTACAATGAAGTTGGACCGCGTTTGCGAAGAATGAGCTCGCGAAGGTACTTGGAGCGGGCGGCAACCATCGCGACATGCGCGCGGATGGATTTCTGCTCTGGACCAATCTTGAAGACCAGATCCGTGAGCTCGCCGGACTGGTAAAACCGCGCATAATCGCTGTGCAGCGAGCAGCTGGGAATGACTGCGAGCTGGAAGCGGAAGAGGTCGGTTGACTTGATGTTTTGCGAGAAATCGACCGTGCCGCCAAAAACAAACATGCCGCTATCGACAACAGCACAGGCGTGGAAGCATCGCCCGGTGGGAATCTGAGAGTTGCCATGAGGCTCCACCGCGCGCCAAATGTCTGCCTGAAGGTCATACGCCATCACGTCACCGGGCAAGGCGTTATCGGCCGATCCACCGAAAATGTACAGATGATTGCCGAACGCCACCATTGTGTGACCAAAGCGCCGGGGCGGCGGAGGATCGCCGCCGTCAATCATGTGGCGATGGGTCAGTTTGGTCCACCGGCCTGTGGAGAACTCAAACTCGAACAAGTCGTTGGACGTCTTGGCTCCAGAGTGGCCCGAAAAGACAAACATGCTGTCCGAGGCCACGGCCATGGGAAAGTTGCAGCAGGTGGGAGGATGGTTGCCACTCTGACTGACCTCCTGCCATTCGTGGGTTGGCGCTGCCGACCCGGGCGTCGCCGGCGTGGTGGACTCTTCGGGCGACAAGCGGATGCGCCACATGTCGTTCAAGCGCGCCTTGCCATCATAGCCAGCAAAAATGTACAGGTAGTCGCCATACACACACGCACTGTGCGCCGACCGAGCAACAGGGCGGGCACCCACCGTGCTCCACTCTTGCCAGCTGTTCAGATCGAATCGGTACTCGAACAAATCGTTGCGGTTTTCCAAGTTGGTGTTGGAGTACAGGTCGCCCGTGTATCCTCCAAACACAAACATGCTATTCCCAAACACGACCGCAGAGTGGTGGTAGCGAGGGGACGGCGACTTGCCTTCCACGCTCATCTACAAGGGGCCCAAAAGCGGAATTGAGCACGAAATTTGGAGGCACTGGTGCACCACCAATGCTGCACTTTATGCCGCGCAATTACCTTTGACCAAACGCCCTTTTCAATATCGAATCTCAGCAGATCATTGAGCATTTTGTGTCTGTTTCCCCAAGCAGGCATTCGATCAGACATGAACATTAGCGATACGTTTGCCTTTCGGAATCAAGGCTCCAGCAACACCGCAGATTGATTCATCCAATAGGCAGCAATAGTGGAGCATCATCCAACAAATAGTCGCAGTCGTGGCCCAAGCCGAATCCACGCCAACAATGACCAACAATGACGGTCCGAGCCAAGCTCGAAATAGACACGAGTCTTGCCAAATTTGATCCAACTTCAACAACTCACCCGTCGTCGCCGCCAAATGCAAAGAGGCTGTTTCCATGCGCGACCATGGTGTGCTTGCTCCGACTACATATTGACAGAGCCAAGTCCAAGTTAGCGGCGGATTGAGAGGAAGAATAGAGTGAGTGAAGCACATTCAATCACTGGGCCAAATTGTCAGCCAACCGAGCCTAGCGGATTCACCTTGGGGCCATGGTGCAGCCTGCCATGCGCTTCCAGCGATACATGGGCTCGGCACGGAAGTCCAGCGAGAGATCGGCGCCACTGGAGACAAAGCAAAGCCACACAGAGGCAGAAAAAGGGGTGGGGTTTGAATCAGTGACGTTCGATGACGCGAACAGCACAGCGTGCGTGGTCCAAAGTGTGTGTGCCGGACAACAAACAGCGGCAACAACATGGCGGCAATGGTGGGCAGATTGGAGGTGCGGGGCCGAGGGGCAAAACAAAACGTGGGGGGGGGGGAAGGTCGTTACCCGCCAGCGGACTCGGTTCGGGCGCGAAAGGGCGGCAGAGCCATTGTTGCTTGTTTGAGACTGCCCCCATCCATCTCCAATAAAAGGGAATACCTTGAGCAAATAATAACGACCCAATTACCCCGTCTGGGGATGCTGGGCAAGGACACACAACATTGGAAAGGGAGGGCAGACTCGGGGTTGGTTGCAAAATAAGTGTTTGTTTTGTAATGTACAAGATAAATTACTAAGGCACGGGCATTAACAAGGCGTATGTCTAGCACACTCCCATGGATGGGGAGGGTTAAGCATACGAAAGGTGATCTGGTTGACGCAACGAGAGGCAGCCTCTTTTCGAACGCGCCACAGACAGGTCTGTCGAAGAGCGGCAACTGTCGCTTTTTGACTATGGAAGCGGGCAAGACACCGGTATGGAGTAACGCACTAGTCGTCTGCGGACAGCATCACTTGCTCCGTATCGGACAGGCTTGGGCGGTTTCCCAATGCAGCTGCTGCTTTGGTGAGGCGCTCAAGTTGAGCCATCGTGTCCTTCGGGTCGAGCGCAAGACCGACTCGCTGTTGGGAGCGAGCAGCAACCGCGACGGGGGAGTGTTCGTCGAGCTGCTTGTTGTCCGGACGAGCGGCATGAGCTGCTGCGTTGGGAGCAGCAGGAACGGCGGCAACAGCGGCGGCGAGTGCAGCTTGCGCGCGTTGTGCCTTCTGTTGGAAGACTTGTTTCCGCTCGTCTTCGAATCGCCGAGGCGGGTGTTGTGCCTCGAGGGGGCGGTGACCGACGACAATCTTGTCTTCAGCAGCAGCGGCGGCAGCAGGGTTGACGACACTTCGCCGCTGCTGCTGCTGCTGTTGCTGTTGTTCTTCATGAATACTCATCGGTTGTTGGAGATGGTTGGCGTGTGTCGGAGCGTCAACGTTGTTCCGCTGAAGCAGCATGTCGAGGCTCTCGTGGGAGGGCGGTTGAATCCGCACGCCCACCGCGTCATTGTCTGCAAACGAAGGCGGCACGCTCAGCAGGTAGAGCAGGTAGAGCGACACTGCCAGTGGGACTGCAGCTGCACATGCGCGCACTACAGTGGCAAGAAAACCGAAGAGAATGAAGGTGAGTGAATGAAGGTGAGTGAAGGGAAGAAGGGGAAAAAAACGGAACAAAAAGGAAAAAAAAAGATGGAGGGTTTGAAATTTTGTTCCTTTGGGGTTTGGAGGTCGTTGAAGGGACTCAGACGACAGAGAGAGAGAGAGGGAGAGGTGCATGACTCGCAAGGGGTAGACACCATGGGTAAGAAGTCGGGAGGCAGGCTTGGAAGCAGCGTCTTACAAAGCAGTCGCACAAGTTGCATTGCTCAATGGAGAAACTAAAAGAAAACGTTGGTTGAGTGTGGACTGAGTTTTCGCAGAGTACAACTTCCAGATCTTGATAGTAAACCGATCGAGACAAACACATGCAAGCTGGTAACGATGAAATTGGAATTGAAAGGGGAGGGGGGTTGGAAGAGGACGCGTTTATTGTTCCACGAAACCGAAATCAGCAGAACGCAGCTATCTCTGAACTTACCATGTGAAGCATATCAGAAAGCAGCATCAGCGTCGAAAGTCTGTCTACATGCAAGCAGAGAAGGCCAAGTGAGACAAGACGCAAGCTTCAAGAGATCGACAAAGAAAAGGAGAAAAAAGAATGAAAAGGGAGCAGTGCCTTCAGTAGGAACAATGTACAGTTTAAAATGGATGCCCCACCATTTGGTGTCGGCTGATCGCCTATTTTTCCCTTGCGACCACGTTGTCATCATTGGCAGCTCATGACAGAAGAAAGAAAAAAGGAAAGAAGAAAGAAGAAAGAAGAAACGGAACAGAGGAGCAAAGTGAAGAAAAAAAAACCCAAAACCGAAGGATGCTTACCAGTGCGATCCAAGGGGCAAAGGGGCCACCTTCGACACTGCGATGCAAGCCATCAGAGCTTGCTGCATTGCTCATCGGCAAAAGGCTTCAGGCGGACGCGGGGGCCTGATCAGAAGAGTGAGATTCTCGGGTCGATTCTCAACGGCTTGATGCTTTTTTTCGATGGCAGTTGGATTGCAGTGCCTTGCAATGCCAGATCAGTACCAAGCCATCGTTGTATCTCCATTCGAGGCAATGCACGACATCGAAGCGCGGACGAGACTAGAACAAAGCAGAAGAGAAACCAAAATAAAAAGTGGGTGAGCACATGGCGAGCACATGGCGAACCACAAGTAAAGCCAACATTCAAAAAGCAAAAGAACAAAGACAGGAAAGGCTCAGTAGCATGTCCCTCGGTCAGAGGGGAGCTATATCACGCGGAGCACAGACAGTGCCAAGACACTCTGGGCGGAGCAGCGAGAGGCGGAAGAGAACCCGAAGGAAACTCCGGCAGAATGGAAAAGACTTCCACGTCCGCCTGTGCCTACCCGCCGCCCACATCCAGAGCCAGCACTGCCGCGCGTGCCCCTGCAAACTCATTTGACGCGCATGAATATTTATACATTGACTCATCAGCGCTCTCCGTCGGTATTGTGTTCAAAGTCGAGACAGAAGAAGAAGCAGAAAACAAAGAAGAAAAAAAAAAAAAAAAACAAAAACAAATCATACGAAACTCACATTCAAAGCAATAAAAGACTGTCAAAATCCGCAAAATCCAAATCAGGATTTTGTCACTTTTTTTTTTTGGCAGATTCTGAGTTCTTTGGGAATTTTCTTACTTGCTCTTCGAAAAATGGGAGACCGTCAGCCACCCATCCCGGCGCCCAAGCCTGCCAATCTCAAGCACCACCTCTCCAAGCGAGCGCAGCAGTTGCAACAGCTCGTCGCAGAGAAAATGCTCGATCGAACCAAGACCAGCCTGGACGTGGACGCCAGCACCCAGGTGAGCGACAAACCAAAAAAGGGGGGGGGGTTGTGGCATTGAGTGGGCAAAGAGGACAAAAGAAGCAAAGTCTGAAAGAGGGGCGACGATGACGAACTGGAAAAAACAAAACTCAAAACTTGGGCAAGGAGGAAACGAAAAATTCTTAGCAAAACACAGTACAAAACAAACCGACTGCAGCCCTCGCCCTGCATCAGTGCATCTGCGTTCCAACAAGTACCCCAAGCAGCAATAGGATACACCCAGTGTGGTGAAGTGCAAGCGTTGGTTAGGATGGGGATGGACGACCGAACAACAAAGTCGAATCGCAGGGTGACTGACACTTTTTTTTTGGTTTCCAAAAACATGAACGCTGCTCAGAAACTGGATGCTGCGCGCGGTGCACTGGACGAAATGGTCCGAGCTGCGGCCAGAGAGACCGACTTGACCAAGCCGTTGCAGACATACGCGCAGTCGTTGCCGCTAGAGTCGACGCTCGCTCAGATGCTGCTGCTCGTCGCAGAGTCCCAGGCCGAGCTCGAGCGCGCTCACGAGGATTTTCGCGTCACCAACAACTCGAGCTTTATTGACCGACAGCGCACCCAAATTCGCCTTGCCCAGGAGCTGGTAGAGGCGCATGCGCAGCTCGATCGCGACCGGTTGTACTATGACGCGAAAAAGAACGCGTTGCAGACAACGCCGCCGGGCAAGCAGCAGGACCGACGCAGTGCCAAGGTCACGGCGCTCCGCGCCCAGCTCGACGAGCGTGTGCAGCGCTACAACAACCAAGCAGTGACCTACTTGCAGGGCCTCGAAGTGGACCAGATGCAGGGGCTGCTCGCGCTCCTCACCAACCAGCACTCATACCACCAGCGAGCGACGCTTGCGACCGAGGCTGCCATCCGAAAACTGGTGCTCGGCTCGCGCATGTCGTCGACGTTGAATTCCGACACTCCCACCATCCAGTCGATTCTGGGCGACCAAAGGCGCGTGCCCGTCTCGCCGCTGTGCAAAGGGGTTGCTGTCATTTCGCACGCCCGCCTCAATCCTCAAGATCTCGCGTTTGAGAGGGGCCAGACCGTGTTTATTCTGCGGGCAGGTGAGGGATTGTTCGTGCATGTGTTTGATTCGATGAGCGATTGACGTGCTGAAGAGTCCTCTCGTTGACGCGGTTGTTGTTTGCATAGATCTGCCCAACTCTACTGCTGAAGGCATGACGGTGGACGGGCGCATTGGTGTCTTCCCTTTCGACTGCGTCAATGTTCACGGCAAGGCGGTTTCGCCGTCGAGCGCACAGCTGCCGCCGCTGCCTGCATACCGGCCCATGCAAGATCTGAGCGAAACCTTCCATCATTCGCACGGAAAGCACCAATCGGGTGCTACTCTGGCAGTGCCGGTGGGATACAGCGCATCCACTTCATCCAATTCGTCAACCGGCAGTGGCGTAGAGCCTTCAGCACCGCCAGCTGAAGTGTATGCGGCACAAACGCCTTACAGCAACCAGGGCACAGTGGAGCCGTCCTATTCCACCCCGTCTTCCCAGCCGCAGTCGACCACGCAGCAGCGGCGACCGTCTGCCAGCTTGCTCGTGCCTCCGACTTGCCCAGCACCAGCTCCCCCGCCGGGGTCCGCTGCTGCTGCTTCTTCTTCTTCGTCTTCTTCTGTTCCTGCCCCAACTCCTGCTGCCTCGACGACGGGCATTTCTCCAGAAGCCAAGCCACACCGTCCGCCCCGGCAGCCTGGACAAGGCATGGCACCGGTTGCTGCACAAGCTGCACCGCCGCGTCCGACTGCGCCAAAGCCGGTGACTCAAACGTCCGCCACCAGCGTTGCACCCGCGTCATCGTCGTCTGTGCCGGCACCAAACCCATTCCTGACACAAGAAGCGGCAGAGCGTCAAAGGCAACACATCGACATGCGGATTCTCGGTACAAAGCAGGGTGTCGAGTCATCCAAAATCAACCCCTTCCTGACCGATGCAGAGCTCATGCAGCTCGAAGGCAACGCACGGCAGCAACCCGTGCCGCGCACCCAGCAAGCGGCCACCAGTGCATCGCCAGTTGCTGCCGCTCGGCCTCCTGCAGGAGCGCAGCGCCGAGCACCGCCCCCGCCACCTCTGTCCACTCTGCTAGAAACGCCTGCTGCTTCCCGTACCGACGCACCTGTGGCAAGCCATAAACCTGTGCCAGCCCGCCCTTCGCAAGCGGCCATTGCGGCTGCGTTTGACGCGTACGGACCCACGCCTGCCAGCAAGATGCCCTCAACGAGTTACTTGGACATTGGTGCAGCCGACCAGCAGGCAAACAAGGCGGCAGCCGACCCGCTTACCTCCATGATTGATGTACGTGGGGTGGGGTAGAGTGTAGCTTGTGCAGTGTTATTTCGCGCCGGTTTGTCACCTTAACTTGGCCACGCATTTTTTTTTGTTTTTTGCAGTCCGTCCTTGCTAGTCTCCGACAGAGCATCTCCGAGCTGGATCGAGCCGCTGCTGCACCACCCAATTTGCTTGCGGCTGTGTTTAGCGAGCGCCTGAAAGACGAGCGTGGGAATCTCGTGTGCAAGGTGATTGACCAGGCCGACCGCGTTGTGACGCTCTGCGAGGGCCTTGTGAGCCATGTAGCAGCCGCGGTCAAAACGGCACCTGGGGCTCTCGACAGCTCCAACGATGCGCTCATTTCGAGCGTCTACATGACCAAAAACTACACCACAAACATGCTTGTCGACCTTCGGGAGCTATTGGCGACCGTGGGTGGCACGACCGAGCGCCAGCAAATTGTGCAGTGCATTCGCGCACTCGTTGAGAATGTCATGGGAGTGGTACAGTCTGTTCGTCAGGTGCATGTCCGCAGTTCCGAGGCCGCGACCGCTTTGCAACGCGAAATTGCCCAGAAGCACAGCACACGCCTTCGCGACGCTGTTGCCGGACTCATGGACGCCCTGTGCAATGCTCCTCCTCCGTCCCCGACCATTTCTCAAAAGCGGCGAGTCTCTCGCGAAGAGTGATAGCCTTTTGTTGGATTGTCTTGGGCTGTAACAACGATTTTTGTAAAGTCCTGCATGAATACTTTTTAGTTCCAGAGTTCCCATCCCCAGCAATTCTCGTGTCACTCATGATCAACACAAAACAAACCTCAGTGATTTTGTTTACGCCTCCGAAAAAAAAGAGTCAAAGGTCAGTCTCAGTTTGTCTCAATCTCAGTCTCAGTTTGTCTCAATCTCACAACGTTAGCAGCCGCATGTCGTCGTCTTCGCCACCAAGCACGCCTGCTCGCTTGGGCCAGCTCGGTGCAACGCTCTACACATGCGAGACGTGCCATCGGCGGAAGGTTCGGTGCGACCGACAGGCCCCATGTGGCAACTGCATCCGAATGGTAAAACGTCAATGCGCGCGCAAAGTTGAGCCAAAGGCTCCCATCGTCACAGGACGATCTCGACTCACTCCCGTTGTTTGTCATCGATTCGCACGGGTTTTGATTGGAGCAGGGAATGTCGGCGACGTGCGTTGCGCGATCACACACGCCCCGTCGCGTCCCGCTGCGCCTCCACAACGACGTTCGAGAGCGGCAGCTGAGCGAGCCGGTCGAGATAGAAGGTCTCCCAACCCCAAGTCCGGTGAGAATATGCACACAAGAACAAGACAACGCCGAGAGCAGTTGGAAACATGACACCACCAGGAGGCGGGGGAGCATGGGGACGAATTGCTTGTCACTGACCATCGTGTAACCATTTGGATGCAGGCACTCGTGTTTGAGATTGCGCGCCGAATTCACCAGGTCGAGCAATTGGACAAGGAGATTGCGTGGGACGATTCCGAGGAGCAGCCGTTCAATCCGGAGCGATATCGGGCAGTGCTAGTGAATGAGGACACGCTCTTAGACGACGAGCTGCTCTCCGATCGCGAGTCAAAGCACGAAGAGTCTGATCACTCTACATCCCAAGAGAGCACGAAAAGCAATGAAGACAGCAATGCTGAAGAAGATGGTGGCACTCAGAATGATGATGATGATGATGATGATGATGATGATGACGACGACGAGGACGAAGACGAGGACGACGAGGACGAGGGCGACGCTGAAATTGACGACAGCGATGATGCTGATGAGCAGACCAGCCGTCGTGCAACACGCAAGGCGCAGAGTCAGAGCCGCGCATCTCAATCCTCAGCAGCTATTGGGACCCCGAGGGTGTCTCCGCGCAGGCAGCAGGCTGAGGCGACGACGGCGACTGGGCGAACGCTGCACGGCAACAAACGGGCTCGAAGCGAATCGTCAGGCTCAACTTCATCGGACAGCGACGACTACGACACTGCCTCATCTAGCGATGATGACAATCGTGGCGATGATAACACTGGCGATGCTGCGTCGAATCAGGACCGAGCTCGCTCGCTCACGTCGCGTCCACGACGTGTGACTGTTGAGCGACTTTCCCATCGAGAGCGTGTTCGCCGACGAGACCAGGCCATGCTGGGATTCCGTCGCTCGGCACACGTTGCCATAGGTATGTGGGTTGGTTTTTGGAGTGTTGCAGGTGGTTTGTGCGTTGGTAGCAATTGATTGACTGTTTGCTTGTTATTGTGTTGTTTGCGCAGGGTTTTGTGTGCAGGAGCAAATTCGGCAACTCGTGCACTCCATCGCAGATTACATGTGACATTCGTCTGCTTGTTATGACCTTTTTTGTGTTTGTGTGTGTGTGTGTGTTTGTAGTTAATATCAATACTTTTTGAATCGCTGTTTGTGGAACCAGTCGTTTCGTCTGTGGTGTTTCATTGTTAAAATGCAGCAAGCGGAAGCCGTTCTCGTGCGACGACTGCAATCACTCAGTATGTTCCAACCGTAACTGTGCCTGTTGGCCTTATGAGCAAGAGTGCACGTTTCCACTCTATCCAATCCGAATCCAATCCAGAGGATGGCAAACATGGAGGAGGCCTTGAAATTGAAAATTTGGCGCCAAAACATTCTCAATCGTTTGGTTGCGCTCTTTGTTGGACTGCCGGCATTGTCAGACTGCCCGCTGGCCGAGGCGCATGCGTGGAGCACTGAACGAGCGTTTGGACCTGGCCAAGGCCGTCTTGAGCTGATCGAGTGGCTCGTCCAAGAGTAAGGAGTTTGGTGTATTGGATGCAGAGAGCACTGGATCCACGCTCACCTGCATGCGATGATGCACTCCAGGATTGACCCGCTGCTCGCCGGTACGCCCATTCGTGGACTTGCGCAGGATCAAGACGCGCACGCCCAGCGCGAGCAAAGTGAGGGTCATGCAAGTGTGCTATTGAGTGGACCAACCATTCATTGCGTTTCACTTGTTTGGTTTGAACAGAACTCTTAATCTTGCTGGCGACGCTCGGGCTATGTGAAGAAACCGACGTGCATCTCATTCAGGTAGTAGACAGTCATTGATATTGATGAACATTCTTCATTCCGGCATTTCGCGCGAAAAAAAGCAACGCAACTGCCATCTCACTTGACCTGCTCGCTGCAATGGTTGAGTAGGGCACTGCGCAAATTGAGCGACAAATACTATTGATGAACAGCCTGACAGAGCTGGCAGTTATTGCTCGAAGGCCCGTGGCGACCGACCGATTGCTGCAACCAATGCGAAAAATGAACGAGCTCGCCGCCTCGGACGCACTCTGGAGCATGCTGTCCACAAACGGGAACATTCTAGATGCCAACATGGCAGCGATGCTTGCCGGCGATTCAAAAAAGTAGGTCAATTAAGAAACAAAAGGGGAACATCTTTTTTTGTTTAAAGGTCAGCTCACTTTTGAACGAATTTGACAAACAAATCAGACCTGTGCCGAGCCTGGTACAGCTGCAACAAGTCGTGAACAGCGTGCAAGGTGCCACCGAAGAAATGCAATCACAATTGCAGGACCTCCTGACGCATCTGGGACGCGAGCGGACGGAGCAAGCATTGCCGTTGCTCGCGGATGCCCAGCAACAAGCCCAGTTTGCAGACACGGCTGTTGCATTGCGTGATGCACTGCATCAGTTCAAGCAAGTCGCTCAGAGGGATATTCGACCCTGGCTGCGAAAAGCGTCGCCAGCACCCTCAGGTAACGTTCACATGCAGTCGCAACGATCGTTTCAGTGTATGCTCGCATTCTGAATCAACACGCTGCATTCATGTTGCTAGAACTCGGAGCCGCGGCTATGGCTGTATGCGATCAACAAAAGCGGCTCAATCAGGTACGGATTACCGACTTTGCAGGCATCCTCACAAACAAACGCTCATTTTCTTTTCCTTCCTTCCTTTTTCACTATTGCTCCAGTTTTACGGCAACCTCTCAACGACACACAAGCTTCTCGCCAAAAGCATCACAGCTGCCACAGAGAGCAGCCCCGCACCAACCGACAGTGTGGACAAGCTGCGTGAATTGTTGCAGATGGCTCGCGTGGTTCAAGAGTATTTGGCACAGGTGGCAGCTGCTTATTGAATACACACACCCTTCACTCCATCGTTATCGATCACATACATTGCTCGCACGTTGGGCAAATGTGGGGCGAGCACTATATGCAAGCTTCGGATGACCACGGAGGCGGCAGGTGCTGCGCGCTGCTCTGCCTGCAAAAGCGCCGCCTGGAGCGCAGAGTGCTCCTCTTCGTCATAGTGCCCTCCTCGCTTTGCAGCAGCTCCGAGCGCCAACTCGGCCATCTGAGTGGCATGATTCATGCGCGAGGACAGCCGCCGCAACAAGACGCGCATGTTGATCAGGTTGGACCACGCCAATCCCAACGCAGGGATGACGGCAGATCCCCCAGCGCCGCCGCCAGACAAGTGAGCGTATGCAGAGGCCACAGCAGGATGGCCCCGTGGCAGCCGGACTGGCGGGAAGATGGCAGAGGCGACCAGCGCGGCGTCTTTCGGCGGCTGTTGCCAACCATCGATCGACTGCATCGAAGCCCAGAGCAATGGCATTGTAGAATCGTCACTGGAGTTGGATGTGGCAGACCCGGAAGATGAGGATGATGATGACGATGATGAAGCACTCGATCCGTCACGGCGGAAATCATCCGACACTTGGTTGATGCACACGATCGGCACATGCAAACGGCAAGAGAGCTCTTGGAGACAGGTGCCGATGCGCCCAAGGCTCTTGGCGCGCTGGGACAGCTGCGAGAACTCGTACTCGCCGCGGAAGAGAGCCGCCACCGAGTCCAGGACCACAAGGCGCACGTTCCGTTCACGGACGAGACGCTCCAGCTGCCGTTCGATGACGATGAGCAACTCATCCACCGAGCCAATGTGTTGCACGTAAATGTTATCTCTCGGATCGCCCGTGGGGACCAACGCGGCCAGCGACTCTGGACTCTGAGCGCGCCAGCGTGCAACAAAGGGATCGGTGACTTGGTGCAGGCGTCGCTTCGGAAATGCACTCTCTGTGGCCAGAAACGCTGCACAGCCAGCCAGACCACCAAGATGCTCGGGAAGCTGCACCGTGAGACAGAGCTGCAGAGCGAGCTGCGACTTGCCCGTCGCGCTTTCGCCAACAATCTCTGTGATTCCCCGCGACAGAATGCCGCCACCGAGCGCCCGATCGAGCAATACACACCCAGTTGTGAGTCTGCGCACGCAGCATCCGTGTGCACACGAGTCTGCACTGGCGCAGCACGCCAGCAATTCTCGTGCGGTGGGCGCTCGCCATTGCGTGGTGTTCTTGCCTGGACTTGGAACGGGATGCAGAAAGCGCGGCAGCACAGCGCGCGCAATGGCGGATTGCAGGTCTCGAATGTCCGTCTTGTTTAACCGTGTTACTCGCTCGATTTCCGCCGAGCTCAGATGCAGAACCTGTGCCAGCGTTGTGAAGCGTGCTTCAAAAACCAAGTCCAAATGTGAAACACGCACACAAAGCGAAACACAACACAATAAAGTCAGCAATCGCAAAAACCCAAACACTGAAACATCAAAGTCAAAGTGCAGTCAGCGTGAATGTATATCAAAAGGCGCGCTGGGACGTGGAGTGCAAGTGTGAGCGAGAAACGAGATTGAAAAGCAGAGTGAAACAGAAAAAAATTCCCGCCAAAAACCAAAAACAAAGCGTGCAATGAGCAGGTTGTTTCAGACGCTCGGCGTTGGTTTGGCTGGCCCAGAGCACCGCCACAAAGCCAAGCACCTTGAGAAAACAACACGGCTTGAAGGAGCGTGACGGATACCCCCCCCCTCTCCGGTAGAGCTGCAACAACGGGCCAGCATCCAGACCGCGGGGGCTGTTTGCAAGTCGATGCAAAAACGAAGCGCGCGTATCGTTTACCCGTGTGCAGTGCCGCCACTATCCGTGGGGCCAGGTCAGCAATCTGGTCTAGCAACGCAGGTCGTTGCGGAGCGAGCTCGGAGGGCGATCGGACGGACGCAAGCGATGACGACGAGAGCCGCTGAAGGCTTTGGCTTTCGCTCGGCGTCCGACTCTGGCTTTGACTCGAGCTCTGACTACTTGACATGACCATCCAGCACAAGCAAAAATAAAAGAGTGCATCAGCATGAACGCCACGAAAGGTTGGATCTCTTGATGCACAATCACTCTCTCACTCTATTCTTTTTTCTGTATTCTGCTCGAATGGCGACGACCAGCGAGATTATCAGCGAGTTTGCGGACATTGGGCAGAAGCTCTCCGACGATCTCGTTGCGCAGTGTGAGTGGTTTCACGCGGTTGTACGTGTTTGCACCGGTGCAGCTAGTGGTAGCCAACGGCAGCGCCGAGAGTGGGTCGGAGGACTTCAAGTGGATGTTTCTTGGTTTTGGTTTTGGCGGGAAATCGGCAATGGATTTGAGAGCAGTGGCGGTGCTGCCTCGTCGCACCACAGACCCTCCCGCCCCTCGTTTCATGACAGATACACATTGTACAGTAAATGCATGGAGTACCACGCGCTGCATCGGTTGGACGACGGCGAGAAGGAGGGCGGCACGATCAAATCCATCATGATAAAGGATTTGGCGGGAAATCATCAACTCCATTTCCTCACTCACTGCTGCTGCGCCACTTGTCCACCCTGGCTCACTCTGTGCAACTGTGCTGCATCTGACACCAGGCTTGACGATCTGCAACCGATTCGACGTGTCTGCCGAGACGCTCGCGGCCAAGTGGGAGGCGTTTGCCAGCGCGAGCGATTCGTCTCGCCGCCTCGGCGCCGACGACCTCGCCTCGCTCCAGAAGCAGCTGCAGGACCAAGAGCGACAACAACAAAATCAGCGCTCAGCCACCAAGAAACGCCCGGCCAATGCGCCCATCCCAACGACCGTGTCTCCCGCCAAGGTGGACCTTGCCTCAACCACCTTTGACAAGCGCACTGTTCACATTGTGGATGAGTCCATTCTCAGTCTCTACGGCATGTCTGACCAAATGTCCTCACGCAGCTCGAAGGACACGGTGAGTTGTGATGTTGATGTTGTCGCGTTGTGAAAAGCGCAAAACGCTTTTTGACTGACACTGTAGAATGTGTCGCGCAGCCCAACAAGCGTCCGTTCGGCACACCACCGCCAAACCGCGTCTCCGACACCATAGGCTCACCCTTGCTGCTGTCTCCGACCAGCCTGTCTCCTACTCGGTAACACTAAACCTGGATGAGGCTCCTTTGGCTAACTTGAGCGTTTGGTGCTAACTTTGACTGTTTTGGCTCCCCCCGTCCTCATCTGAAAACAACACTTGCAACCTCGTCCCCTTGCAGCAACCTTCCTTCGAAAGCCTTTTCAGAGCGCTCGAATGCAGGAAAGGTCGAGTTCATCTTGAACGAGGCCTTGCCACCGTGGCGACGCCCTGCCAACGCTGGTCCGCGCACCATCGACATGGGCATGTTTGAGAGTTGCCAACTGACTCCGTATCGCTTCATGTTGCAAAAAGTTACCGACAAGGCTGAAGGTGAGAGAGAGAGTTTACAAAAAAAAAAAAAAACAAAAAAAAAACTCAAACACTTGTCCCTGACTGTGAAAACGCTGCAGTTCTCGACCAAAAGATTGAAGAGTTGGGCGCGCTGATCCGCAAGCAGCAACTTCCCAACGCGCCAGCATCGTTCGACCATGTTGGTCTCGCCAAGCAGGTATAGCAGCGGCAGTTTTGCTTTTGTCTTTTTTGTTGGCAAGTTCCGCCGCCTCAGTCCTCTCCTTTCGCACCATTTGCTCCCCAACAGGCCATGGCGACCGTTGCTGGTCGCATCTGCAGCGATGCTGGAAACGGAAAATTGAACGATGTCTCGATTCTTCTTGAAGGCTCGCGCGACGTGTGCAACGGTGTGCGCATTCCCCTGGACATGCGCTCTTTGGATCACTTTTCAGCCTTTCCTGGACAAGTCAGTGCTGATTTTGAGATCTGGCTTGACCAGATTGCGTGGTGCTGGCAACAGTAGCGAACTCTCATTAATGCGATGTTGAATGGACCAGATTGTCGTGGCTCAAGGATATAACATCACTGGGACCAAGTTCAGCGTGCAGCCGCACTCGTTTTTCACGGTAAGTCCTGGAGAGAAGTTGCTGAACAGGGTCTGTGTTGTTGCTTGTTGAATCTGTCAACCACCCGGCAATCCATTCTCAACCGCCCTTCGTCCCCGCCCCTTCTCTCTGTGCAGAGCGCACCCAAACCCATGCAACAAACCGAAACGGCACAGCTGTTGGACTACTGGGCGCCGTACCGAAGCGGCAATCGGCCATTGTCCATTGTGGCAGCTGCCGGTCCCTTCAGCGGAACAGACGATCTAAGTTTTGCTCCCTTGATGGAGTTGGCCACGCAAGTTGGCAATTCAGAGCCGGACGTGCTCATCTTGGTAGGGTCGAGGTTTCCAGAGCCTGAAGTTGACGCTTTCACAAACGTGCTCATTTGCGTATTTGTCTCTTGTAGATGGGTCCGTTCGTCGACGAGCAACATCCCGGTGTTGCTGCAGGAGAGTTGGATGTTACCTTTGAGGATCTCTTCCGCGAGGCGGTCAACGACACTGTGCACAAGCTGCTCAACAGCTATTCCGGGCTTCACATTGTGATTGTCCCCTCGCTCCGCGATGTTGTTCATGACAAAATCATGCCTCAGCCTCCTTTCCCCGAGGAGCTGGTTCAGCCTCACGAGGTAAGTATGCCTTGTTTTGCCGAACGGTGCTTCTTCTTTCTTCTTCTTGTGATGCTCAAAATCCGACCCTGGATTCTGTATTCGATGTACAGCGGCTGATGCTTTGCTCAAACCCCGGAACGTTTGTCATCAATGAGGTGACAATCGGCATTATCACGTCCGATATCTTGTTCCACCTTAGTTCGGAGGAGACTGCACGGTATGGCGCACAGTCGCATTTGATCCATCCATACGAAACGAATCTGTGACTGACCCCTGTGATTCTGTCAATCTCGTTTCTTTTAGAGCTCGAGCTGGCGACACGAGTGATCGTCTGGCCCGCTTGGCTGGGCATCTGCTCGATCAACGCAGGTATGGTTTTGGTGCGTTTGAACTGCATATTCCACCTGCCCGTTGTGGAGCTCACGTCTTCCATTTTCTCGACTTTTCGCAACAACCAGCTTCTATCCGCTGTTCCCTCCTGCACTCGGCACCAACACCGAGCTGACGCATCGCAAGCAGCTCGATCTTCCCGTGACGCCCGATGTGCTCATTCTGCCGTCGGACCTCAAGTTCTTTGCCAAGGTACGAAGATGAGTGATTGTTGCACGTGTGGCATTCTTGGGCAAGGTACTTGGTGTCTCATCACGCAACGTCGTTCATTCTGGCCAGATTGTTCAACAAACCGTGTGCGTGAATCCTGGCCGCCTCACGCGCGACAAGACGGGTGGCACCTATGCCAAACTGACCGTCTTCCCTCCACGTGAAGAAGATGTTCCTGCTGGCATGAACACTGTATTGCACCATGTCGCTCGGCGGACTCGTGCCGAGATTGTGCGCATTTGAATGCATGCATGCCGGTTTGTTGAAAAATATAGCCTTGTTCAAATTTGTTTTTTTTTTTGGTCACAGCTAAACATTCAACCCGGTTCTTTTGTTTCTTTGTAATGATACAAACAGGGAGGAAGCAACTTTTGTTTTTGTGCCAGAAATTCAACTCATGCCGCCGGACGCGCTGCTCCTTGAGCGGCGCCACCAAGGCTGTTCATAACAAGGTAGATGATGACACCGGGAACGATATAAGTCCACTAAAACAAACAGAAGTGTCAGCAGGAGCAAAGTCAGCAAGTCATAAAATCGTGAGCGTTGACAAGACAGAGGAGGCTCGTACGTATTTTTGAATGAAAGACTTTTGGTCTTCGGGCGTTACTGGCTTGCCATCGGGGGTGCGGAGTTGCTGAGGAATGAATGGGCTACGAGGGACCAACCATTCAGATGTGAGGAAACAAACAAACAAACGAAAAAACAAAACAAAAAAAACACATGCTCCGTCCAAAGTCGGCAAAACAACATACTCTGGAACGGCCGAAACCAAGCCAATGGTGGCGCGAGTTCGCCAGTTGCTGCCTTCAGCCACGGCCTGCGCCTTGGCGCGATCGCAGCCGACGGATCCGGCCGAGTACGAAACGGCAAACGCCAGACCTGTACAGAGTCGGCAAGACAACGAGTGGCAAAGATTGAGCCTTCGTTGCGCCCGCCCCCCCCGCTTCCCCGCCCCACAGTTGCATCCCAGCCAAGTACTGCTCGGCTGCAGAACCTACCACGCGCGTCAAGATGGACTGCCAAGTTGTCTTGGAGATTGGAGCTCAAAAGAGCACACTGCCAGCCAAGCAGAGCGAATCCATGCCCAAATCAGCGAGAGGCACAGCAGATGCTTTTTGCACAACGGACAAGCCACACATACAGCAGGAACGGATGCAAGTACGGAGGAAGAGTGCTCGCCGACCGTGGATGTGAAGCGAATGCGGTACAAGTCGTCCGCCGCAGCCAATCGCTGCAAGGGCGTGCATGTACCAAAAACCAAAAACAACCGAAAACAACCAACGCAAGATGAGTCGACAAAACAATTCGAGCTTCACAACAGAAGAGAGAGAGAGACGCTTGTTGATGACAGCACGAAAACATCAGGCACAAACCCCACCTTGAGCTGCGACAGCTGCGCTCCAGTCAGCGGGTTCTGAATCAGCGGAATGATCTTGGGACGTCCTGTGGTCGCCGAGACCAACGTTGCGGCTGCCGCTGCATCAGCCGCAGCGAACGCGACCGTGGCTGGGATTGGGAGGCTACCGCGCGACTCGAACGCGGCGCGCTCGGCGCCACCGACACCGGACAAGTCATGCTCGATCGTGTACACTGGAACCACATCTGATGCAACCGGCGATGCGGTTGTTGTTGCTGTTCCCTGCACGGACCGACACACAACATCCGCAACCAAAACGGAGCAGAGAACGGTGAGATCTCGGCTTCCTGAATGCATGTCAGCCCCAAGACGACAACAGTGGAGCGGAGCACACGAGGCAGGAGCAAAGAGAGCCGAACACGCGTTAGCGAGATGGGGTTTGAGGTGTGTGTGTTGGACTGGCCAAACAAACCTGGTCGTCAAACGCGAATGACGGCGCCGCAGCGAGAACCAGCAACGCGCCGAGCAACAAAAGCAAACGCATTTTGAGCAATGAGTCGAGCGAATGAGGGAATCGATCTTCAAGATCAGGCTTTGCTGAAAATTTCCATTGGGTTGCGGCGTTTGTGGCGCGCGAGGGCCGGGGGGTCGATCTAGAAATCTCAGCGGTCAACTGAACCGTGCTCGTTCTCGAGCTCCTTTTCTGGAGAACTACAGCCGTGACGTCTTGTTGTAGCAGTCGTGCAACGCTGTACTCTCGTTAGGAGTCGCGAGTCGAGCACGATGAAGAACTGGGCTTCTGAGCAGATTTTGTTGCGATTGTTCGTTGTTAGTTTTGGTGCTCGATCCATTACCCCACTAGACTCGTGCGCCTCCCTGTTGCTATCCATCCACAAAACGGACCACCAAGGCTGAACAAAATCACCAGGACTAATCCGAAATCCTACTCTGAGCGAAGGTGTGAATAGTTTATGGAAACGGTTGACGTTCAAAATTTCAAAAACATGACTTTTCACACACCAGTCAATTAAATCTCGCGCCCGCCTTCGCAGATTTGCAAAGCCCACCACGACGCACGAGAAAACCCCACTGCACGAGGGTAAAGTATGACGAAAGCCCGAGCCACTGGGCCGTTCAAGGCTTGAGCAGAGAGCCCAACGGAGCAAACATGCCAAAAATTAGCAGCTCGCAGATCAAAAACCTGTTTTGAGAGAGGCAAAGAGTTGTTTCGGGCTGCTCCGAGGATGCACGAATCACCATACCTAGCAAGCGGAGAGACTCGCTGCATTCGAGCTGGAAGAGGGGCGAGGGCTAAGAGCTGGCAGAGCAGGGAGGTGTGAATCATGCTAAGACCAACCCCTCGAGCAGCAGCTCCCAAATGCCTCGACCAGCGGCACGCAGCTCCCTGAGCTGGAGAGACTCATAACTGCTTGCTGTTGTTGTTGCGATACTGTGGCGAGAGATGGGTGACCAAGCGAAAAGGCACACGTTACGATTCGAAAAAAAAAAAACCAAAACAAAACGGAAGGTGTGTTCCCTGCGGAACTGGGGTGTGGTTGACGACAGCCCAACTCGACCTTCGCGCAGTATGAAAGCCAGAGCAGGGTGTGCAGAAGCGCGCCATACAAGGCTGAAAGCACGCTCCAGCCTGGAGGACACGTCTGGCGTTTGTTTGCGTTTATTCTGATGATGTGGTGGTACAATGGGAGAGCCGGCGAGTCATCGCTCAACGTCAATCACGCCAAATCATTCACTGTCACAATGCAACCCAAGCGGCTGGACACAAATCCGGGTGGACCCAAAGAAAGCCCTCAGCTTACCTTTTGTCTCTTTTCTGTTGGTTCTTCGATTCGGCATAACTGGGGAGTTTAGAGACGCTGCAATCGAAAAGCAAATCGGAGACTTTGCACGCGCCAGAAGAAATTTTCAAAAAAGCAAGGAGAAAACCAACCGTTCGTTCCCACTGTAAGGTCGCTCCTTGGACCTCTTCCATCCAATGATGGCTGCTGTCACACACCCTACCGGAACTGTTTTAGTTTTGATGTCTTGTCCCCAATGGACGACCCTGTATTGGGGTGAGAGAGGTTGCTGGTTTTTTTTTCTGGGATTTTGAGATTTGTGCTTTCGGGTCATTGTTCGCGTTTGGGAGCAACGCAGTCCATTTTTGCACTTGATCAACCTCAACAACATGGCCCTGGCACAACCATGCCGAGGCCCATATCCCCTTCATGCAGGTTCTCCTGCCGATGGATAGTGGATGACTTTCTTGATTATCCGGCTTCTTTCGAGATCTTGTTTTCAAAACTGGGTCCCGTTGACGGCGACGCCTCCACAGTCGAGAGTGGTTGTCACCTTTGCCGCAAGTATGAGCACCCCACTTGCAGCGCTGCATTAATCCACGCCTGAGTGTCAACACACAGCGTACACACAGCGTGCGTGCTCCTGTGGGAGATCGGTGAATTTTTCATTTTCAAGCGCGGTTTTTTTTTGAAGAGATGTGTCCTTGTAGTCCAGTTTCATGCTTTCAACCATGAACTAGATCTACACTGCAGCTAAGACGCGACACACCATGGTCCTCGTTCTCAACCTCTGCTTTGAGCCGCTTCCGCGGTGAAATTGCAAATTTTTGCGGGCTCTGAAGGGAGATCTGTGCTTTTGGCTCTTTCGCGCAATAAGCGGAGAACGGTGTGCGTTGGTGCGGCTGTGCAACCATCTCGACCACACCGGACACTTGCAGCCTACCCCATTGTGGAGCGTTGCGACCACTCCCACCACCTGCTTCTCTCTCTCCCTCTCTCCCTCTCTGTCTTCTGTCCCCCATTTCCCTTCCCCTCGCCTCTGATCGCAGTCAAAAGCGAGTAAAACGAGATTCGTGCTTTTATTTTCCGTTTCAATTCCACGATGTCATGATTTGAGCGGGAGGTGCTAGCTCCCACCCGACGTGGCCGAGGCCAAGGGACTTGCACTCAAATGGCCGCATCTTTTGGCATGATTCCTACCTCGCCTGGATGCTGTGGACGGGAGCGAAATGTCGACTGACGGGGGAGAGCGAGAGAAAACGACTACATCAAACCAAACCTGAAACCTGAAATCATTTCTGCATGCACGTCTCATCCCGTCACATCAATGGTTGCCAGCGACAGATTCAATGAATCATCAGGCTTTCGGCCACATGGGCAGCATTTCTGGCCCAGCAGTGCCCGGCTCGGAGCACCTCGCAATGTCAGCCAATGGGCCTGTCTTAGCTCGAATCGCTGCGAATTTCTCCATGAGCCCAACGACCGAAGAGCAGCTGCGACAAATGTCGCTGGCTTGCAAGCTGGCAACCACTCAACCAAATCAACCAAGTCAAAAGCCTCTTGTTGTTCTGCGTCGGATTGCAGCCAAGCCACAAAGCCCAACACCCGTGTCGGAGCCAACGCAGGAGACCACCACCACCAAGCGACGAGGACCCAACGGATTTATTGTGTTTCGCACAATGAATAAACACCGATACAGTCATCTCCCCAGCCGAGCGTCCAGCATCGAGCTTGGGAAACTCTGGAAACAGCTCTCGAGCGACGAGCGCGTCACATTTGAGATGGAAGCGCAGAAACGAGAACTTCTGCAGCTCAACACAAACAAGCCTGCTCGAGCGACCAAAGTCCGAAAGCCTCGTCTCTTGTACAACAATCGACTGACCGCGGCTGGCCGTCGCCAAGCGCAGCAGGTGGCAGAAAGCTGCCTTCCACGCTCATTCCTTGCACATGAAACTTTGCATGCGGATCATGAAATGTTTCCACTCGATGTTACTGACGCGTCTTCCCTCTTTCCCGGGTCCAAAGCTTGCGACCCACCGATCTTGTCAATCAGTTCAAGCAACAGCAGCACGTTCAGCAGCACGACCAGCGCTGCGCTTTCACTCGCGTCTGATAGCTCGAGCACATTGGCAGAGCCATCTCCGATCTCCGACTCTGACAGCAGCTGCAGCGTCGATGACTGGCGCAATACCAATCTCGAAGCGCCTTTGCATCCCCGTCCTTTTGTTCGGCTTTTAGGATTGAGCGGTCAAGACGATGACTGTGAGAACATTTCGAGCTGGCTTTTACCACCTGCCGAAACTGCTCCTCTCCCGGTTTTGCCTGCTCCTCATCCGAAGAATCTGGCCTGCCAGCTTGCGCAACGTGCTACCTTCGTCTCTGCATGCCACTCGCCCACTCTAGTGTGTCAGTCGCCGGTGCCGCTGCCGCCGCCTTCGATTGCGATTGACATGTCCTGGTTGGACTGGGCAGAACGCGATCTCGCAGTGCGCTCTGTCGACAGCAACCAAAGTTCTCCTACGCAATAGTTCCAGGTGTCACCGTGTGATTCTCTTGTAACGGCAGGAGCACCAGCAATATGCTGCGCGCTTGTATGGGATGCTGGGACGCGTTTAATTTTCGATGGTTGTTTGATTTGTATTGTTTGTTTTTTTATTTTTCCGTTTGTGTGATTTCATCTACCTTTCCCCAAAACTCACTGCCCATACCTGTCATTGTAACTTTCATCGCCGCTGTATGCCCAATCTGGGCACTTGACTCAGTTTTTCTTCATTGTCAAAACCAAACAAAAAGCCAAAATGCACAGCATCCAAGTCGTTTCGCCCGTTGACGGCAGCATTGTCGCCACGCGCACCCTCGCCACCGCCGAAGAGGTCGACGCCGTCATCGAGCGCTCCAAGGTCGCCCAGAAGGCTTGGGGCAAGGTCCCCGTCAAGGAGCGTGTCGCCATCTGCCTCAAGTTTGTCGATGCGTTCGTCGCCGGCAAGGACGAGATTGCCAAGGAGCTCACCCAGCAGATGGGCCGGTGAGTCTTGTCCTTCCCCCCCCCGCGTGGTTTCTTGTTTTCAGCAACGCATCGACAACGGTTGAGCGTTGCCTGCCGTGGAGCGAAAGTCAGAGAGAAGAGAGAAGGAGAACAAAAAGCCAAGAAAGAACAAAAACCGGGTTCGTTTTGGTTGTTGGGGCTGTGTCTGTGCAGGGTTTGTTGTGCAATCCGGCATGGCTGCTGTGGTGTGAACACTTTACAACGAACATCGCCTTGTGCGTTGATGTGGTGACCGTCTTTTTCGTCCTCTTCTTCTTGTTCACTTGTCAACTGAACTTTGACTCTTTTTTTCTTTTTTTTTTTTTCTTTTTTTCACGGTTAATTTTTTTTTTTTTTTTTTTTTGCCGGCTGTCATTCCACCAGCCTCAGCCACGTGCCGTTTTGATCTGCTCGCTGCAAGCCTGCGCTGACAGAACAGGCAAACAAAGGGGATTTCCCTACAAAAACCAGCAACACATCAATGCACGTCAGCGAGCTGCGTTTGGGATTTGCGTGAAGCACTCGGGACTACGGAAACTGTGGACTTGTGTCCTCGGTGATTTGATTGTGCCGTTACATCCGTAACATCCATCCATACATCCATCCATACATCATCATCCTCATCATCATCAAGAATGACTAACATGTCTGTCCTCATGATTTTTTTTTTTTCGTTCGGCGGCCTTGTTTGATACTTTTTATCCAGCCCCATCTCGCAGACTCCCGGCGAGGTCAACGGTATGGCCGACCGCGCCAAGTACATGATTTCGACCGCCGAGGAGGGCCTGAAGGACGTCGAGTTCCACGACAAGCCCGGGTTTATTCGCTTCATCCGCAAGGATGCCATCGGCGTCATCCTGGTCGTGGCTGCCTGGAACTACCCCTACCTGATTGCCGTCAACTGTGTCATCCCCGCGATTCTTGCCGGCAACTCGGTCGTGCTCAAGCATTCCGCCCAAACCCCGCTGTGCGCCGAGCGCTTTGCCGACGCATTCAAGGCTGCTGGTCTGCCCGAGAACGTCTTCCAGTTTGTCCACATGTCCCACGCACACACTGAGCGCGCCATCCTCAACCCGAGCGTCGCCTTTGTCAACTTCACTGGCTCCGTCGCCGGTGGCCACGAGGTCGCCAACGCCTGCGGCAAGCGCTTCATTGGCTGCGGCCTCGAGCTCGGTGGCAAAGATCCCGCCTACGTGCGCGACGATTGCAACCTCGATCACGCCGTCGAGAATCTCGTTGACGGCTCCTTCTTCAACTCTGGCCAGTGCTGCTGCGCCATCGAGCGCATCTACGTTCACGAGAAGGTGTACGACGAGTTTGTCAAGAAGTTTGTCGAGCTGACCAAGGTGAGTTGTTGGGGATTTGATCATTTTGACGTTTCCTGATGTTGCTCGCTTTTGCACTCAAAATTTGTGTTGGCCCGCGGCTCATTTGTGTCGTTGTTCCCCCCCCCCCTCCTCTCGTTCTCGTGCTCCCGTTCTTGTGTTCCAGCAATACCGCCTCGGCAACCCCAACGACGCCAACACCAACCTTGGCCCCATGGTCAAGACTGGCGCTGCCGACTTTGTGCGCAAGCAAATCAAGGATGCCGTCGCTGCCGGCGCCGTGTCCCTCATCGACGAAAGCCACTTCCCTGCCTCCAAGGTACAATGCTATGTTGGATTGTTTTTTTGGTATTGGTGTTCCTAGTCGCGTTTTTTGTATTTCGTTTTCTCACCCACAAACTCTCCCTTGTTTTTTTTTTTGTTTCGAAATGCAGGCTGGCACCCCGTACCTGGCTCCTCACGTGCTGGTCAACGTCAACCACAGCATGTCGGTCATGAAGGACGAGTCTTTCGGTCCCGTCATTGGCATCATGAAGGTTTCCAACGACGAGGAAGCCATCAAGCTCATGAACGACAGCCCCTTCGGCCTCACTGCCGCTATCTGGACGAACGACTATGACGCTGCCATTCGCATTGGCGACCAGTAAGTGCCTTTTTTTTTTTTTTTTTTTTTGGAAATGCCCAGTCCTGATTTGAATTCATTTTCGCTCAACTCTTACTTTCATGGTGTGCGCATCATTCCAATAGAATCGAGACTGGCACTTGGTTCTGCAACCGCTGCGACTACCTCGACCCCGCACTTGCCTGGACTGGTGTCAAGGATTCCGGCCGAGGCTGCGCTCTTTCCAAGTTGGCCTGGGAGCACCTCACTCAGTACAAGAGCTTCCACGTGCGCAAGCTCTAAGTGGTCGCAAAGCCTTCTTGTTGCGTGTGCTGCACGTCATTGTCTCGAGTACAAAAAATGTGTTGCTGTGTTTCTGTTTCTCTTTTGGTTGGTTTTTCTGCACGAGACAAGTATGGGGAGTTTGCGGGGTTGTTGGACAATACTATTTCTACTACTACGACTGAGGACAACAGCGGAAAATTCCGACACTGCAGCGGCTATGACGTAAAGTCGCTGGCATCACGGGTGACCTCGACACCAGCAGACTCTGCAAATATCAATGCCGACGGCTTTTCCACGCGAACTGTGGCGCGCGCCACGCCAAGGCATTCGACCACTACCAAGCGGGCAACCGATACGACCAGGGCCTCGACTGTTTTGAACTGCGACGCCTCAACAAACTGAACCACCGCCTTGCTGATGTATCGGAAGTTGCAGCTGGCAACGTACGGATCTGCCGTTGCTGCGATTGCTGCTGCTGCAGCGGCGCCTCCCGCACGATCGAGCGCCGGGTAGATTGTAAGATTGAGAATGATATCCTGGACTTGCTCGCGTTCCCATGGGTTGACGCCAATGATGGCACGCACGGACATGCCCGAGATGAGGATGCGATCGCCTGGCTGGTACAGCGTGGCGACTTGCGCGACGGTCGTCATGTCTCGCTTGACAAGGCGGACCTCTCCCGAGCTCGAGTCGGTGGGGTGGTCTGCGCGTGACCGCGTAATCTCCACGCCGGCAGCCTTGGCGACAAGCAGCGCGGTTGGTCGCTCGACGCGCACAGTCACCACGTCGACGTTCCAGTCCACAATGCACAGCTGCGCAATGCCACACGCCAGCGCCTCGACCGTCCGCAGCCCAACCGTCTTTTCAGCATACTCGGCGACTGCCTTGGAAATGAGGCCGTAGTGGTAGCTTCCGGCCAAGTCGTCCGCTCCAGACAGCGCGGCGCCGAGCTGCATGCTGTTTTGTGGGCAATGAGAAACAGCGTCTCAAAGTCAGATGTTTGTTCCCCTGCCCCTTTTCGATCTCCACTGTTCTTTTTCCCTGTCTTGCGAGAGAGTGGGATGAATGAATCAGTCACGTTGGAACAGTGCCTGGCGCTTTGCAGGCAGCTGTGGCTTTGGAACTGCTCCACACACGTCTTCGCAGTCCACTCGATGACCCCCACAATCCACCCCTACCCCGTCGCCATCCACAGTGATGCTCCTCAACAAGCAAAACGTTGATAAAGCCGTGTCGCTCTTGTGTGTGTGACTGCGTGTCCACAGCAGCAGCAAGTCTGCGCGGAAAACGAAAACCAACCTCAGTGTGACAATCATCGGCTGCTCCTTGGCGCGATCCCAGCGCTCGGTGCCGATGAGGGTGCGCACAGCCAAGTTGCGGATGACAACCGTGTCGCGTGGCCGTGGTGGCAGCTGACGCGAGCTTGCTGACATTTTTGTATTGAGTTGTGGTCTGGGATGAAGAAAGGGAGACTGCGGTTTTTTGGAATCGTCAAGCGATGGAGCTCAGACAGTGTTCAAAGCGAATCGGATCGTGGTCTTTGGCCTCATGACAACAAAAATCAGGGTAATTCCAATACCGCAACATCACATGCGAATGGCGAGCAGTGCGGCGTCCATTTGAAGCCACGCAGTGATTTCAGAGCAATTCTGAGAACAGCAGAGATGCATCCTGCAACTCAGTTGAGCATCTAGTGAGCAATTGCCAGTCTTTTCTTTGGTTTCTTTCACTCATTCACTCATTCACCTTTTTTTTTTTTTTCTTTTCTTCCCTTGTTTCGTTTTCTGGGTTTACAAATGCTGGACGACGAGGACGACCACACTTGGTTCCTGCCGCCCGCCTCCACCGACGGCAACCGCGGCCGAGCTGCAGTGTTTGCACCCACGACGCATGACACTGCTGGCGCCGCCGCCACCGCCATTGCCCGAGTCAAGAGTGGCAGCATCAAAGCGGGTGGCGCCAAACTTGAAACCGAATTGGCGTTCATCTCGTTGGGCGCCAAAAATTCCCCTGTTTCGGCTTCGGTTGGCCCTGCTGGTCCCGCCTCGCTTGCAACACGGCCTCAGGCACAGTATGCCGAGAACCACGACAAGGACTCTATCGTGCCGCGATCGATGGGTGCCTCGCAGTCAAGTTCGGCGGCAGCTGCTCCCTCGTCAGCAGCCCAGCGGGCTGTTCCCAGCCACCCTGAGCCGAGACCTGGAGTTGAGCGTGCTGCGGCGCCCGCACAGTCACGCTCATTTGCGTCATTCCTAGGCTTTGACACCGCGGGGGCTCTCAGTGACGAGGATTCACTTCGCAACGAGGATCCGCGGAGGTACGAAAAAAACATCAAAACAGCAATGTTTTGCTCCGGCAATCATGCCACTCACCACGCAAAATGCATGAAACTCTGTGCTGCTGATCAGCGCATACGATGATGTGGACTACTTCTGGGAACGACGGTCGGGACGAATGGGCGTTCCAGCGCTTCCGGCGGCAAATGAACGAGACGTCGGAGAGTCATTTGGCTCGCTCGGTCGAGCAGCACCAGCCAAGCAGGCAGCAAGTAAGAACCATCACGGAGCCGAACTCGTCAATTTTTCGAAATAAAGGTAATCCACTCACTCCCACTTGATTGACATCCAAAGCTGCGTTTACGAATCGCGTTCTGGTTCCGGAGCCCGATGTGCCAGCACGACAGCGCCGTCCACTTGGAATGCGTAAGAATTGAATTCACTGTTGCAAAATTCAATCACATCATGTTCGGTTTGAGGCGGCAGGAACTAAGATGTATCACTGTCATGTCCAGATTCCGAATTTCAAGCTGCGAGCCAGCTGAGCCAACGGAGCCAACTGAGCCAACCGAGCCAACCGAGCCAACTGAGCAACGACGAGACCTCCCAGTTCAGCTCCACCTCAAGATCAGGCAGATACGAGCCAGCTCCAGTGGCGGCAACATCAACACAGCTTCCACTCTCAGCTTCTGTTGCGGGTTTGGTCCCTGTGACATCCATTCGTAAGTGTGTACAAAGTTGTCAGAAGGTTCCGCCTTTCTTGCTCACGGGTCTTTGTTAGCTCCTTCTTATCGGACCGTGTTTTCCTCGTTTGCGCATTTTAACCGAGTTCAATCGGTCTGCTTCGACACGGTTAGTGTTCACTAAATGTTGAGCACCTGGCTTCTGGCTTGCGTTGTCTTTTCTCACTGCCTTCCTCCACCTGCCAGCTTGTCTCGACCGACTCTCCTGTAGTCGTGTGTGCACCGACGGGCGCTGGCAAAACCGCACTGTTTGAACTCGCCATCTTGCGCCTTCTCATGCAGCGCCCGCAACGTGACTTCAAGGCCGTGTACATGGCGCCAATCAAAGCACTCTGCAGCGAGCGTTTCGAAGACTGGAAGAGCAAATTTGAGCCCCATGGCTGTCGTTGCCTTGAGCTGACCGGGGACTCGGACGTGGAGGATTTCCGTGCGATGGCAGACGTGCAAATCGTGCTCACTACTCCAGTAAGTGAAACTTGCAGCACACAACGAGTGTCACGGTCACTGGCACGATTGACTGCTCACACATCGATTGCCATGCAATGGCAGGAGAAATGGGACAGCATGACTCGCAAATGGCGAGACAACAGGGCCTTCACTCAGAGCATTGCGCTGTTCATGATCGATGAGGTGCACGTCTTGAATGACCACGCTCGCGGGGCGACTCTGGAGGCGGTCGTGAGCCGCATGAAAACTGTGCAGCAGTTTCAGCGATCGCACGCCAAGAGCGCTCTGTCCGAGTCGGCTGCCATGCGAATCATGGCGCTGTCTGCCACAATCCCGAATGCCGATGATGTAAGTTCTGTGCGTGCGAGCGCGGTTTGTCTGTAAGTCACTTGCTTCACTGTCTGTTTGGTACAGGTCGCCAGTTGGATTGGTTCTCGAATGAACCCCGCAAAGTTGTACCAGTACGCGACCGATTGACACGAAAGCGCGTCAGTTTACTTCTCGTGTGTACAAGCTACTCACTCTCGCTTAACGTTTTTGTGAGTGCAGGTTTGACGACTCGTTTCGACCTGTCAAGCTGGACGTGCATGTGATTGCCTACCCTGATGCGGCAAACGAGTTCAAGTTTGACATGAATTTGAACTACCGCTTGCTGGAAGTCATCACTACCTACTCTGCGGGCAAACCAAGTCTGGTTGTAAGCAACTTGTCACGCCGTGCTGCAGCACCATTTTCTTTGCTATTCTGACGGTTGCCATGCAAAACAAACGACAATATAGTTTTGCGCGACGCGGAAAGGCTCCCAACAAGCTGCAGAGAAGGTACTGGCCATGATCGGAGATGGAAGATCCAGTCTGGTGACTTCAAGCGATCAGCTGCAAAGGTCCGTGGTTGTGCGGTACATGAAGTTGTCAAAAAAAGTCCCAACACATCTGTACTGAAAACTCTCTCATCCATGTCGAGGCAGGCTTCAGGCAGCATCCAAGGGGTTCAAAGACCGTTCTCTCAAAGGTGAAGCTCTCCCTCATCGCCACATCAACTCGCCGAATGGGCAAATGTCGAATTGACTTGATTGTACACTCTGCAGAGTGCCTCGCCGTTGGGATTGGATTTCACCATGCCGGGCTGGATCCTTCCGATCGTCGCAACGTGGAGAGCCTGTTTGCATCCGGTGTCCTGCCGGTGCTTTGTGCCACCACGACGCTTGCCATGGGTGTACGTACTCGATCCAGCTGGTCGTTCACCTTACCTTGTAGTAGCAGCGCCGCCTGATTTTGAATGTCTAAAACCGCTCCAAACAGGTCAACTTGCCGGCGCATCTTGTTGTTGTCAAGTCCACGCAGCATTACGGTGCAGACGGCATGGAGGAGTACAATGAACCTCAAGTTCTTCAAATGATTGGTCGTGCAGGTCGTCCGCAGGTGAGTTTAAGCTTTCAAAATCCAGTTGAAACGAGCGACCCATAATTCAAAGCGTTTTTGGTTTTGTGAAACAAAATCCAGTTTGACACAACGGCAACGGCAGTCATCATGACTCGCCACGCGACCAAGCGCAAGTACGAGTCGCTCCTTTCTGGTCGAGAGCCCATCGAATCCAAGTATGTGCGCGCGCAGTTGGTGACTTTGACGACTTGCATCGCGGTTGATTTTTCTAAATTTCGAACTGGGTGTACCTTGCCTCTCTGTGCTTTCCAGCCTTCATCGACATTTGATTGAGGTCAGTTGACGCTCGTCGTTTTGTATCGGGACTGCAAAAACAACCTCCGAGCGCTCACCACGATCCCATCTGCAGCACTTGAATGCCGAGATTGTGCTACAGACAATCTCAGACGTATCCATTGCGCTCGACTGGCTCAAGTCGACATTCTTCTTTGTTCGGGTGAAAAAGAACCCCACTCACTACGGCTTGCAGGCAGGGATGCCGGACAGACAGCTTGAGAGCGCTTTGCAAAGCATGTGTCTGCAGCACCTCAAGCAGCTTGCCGACTGCCGCCTGATCACCATGGACGAAGATGGATTTGGTCTGCTTCCGACTCGTAAGACATGCTTTTGGCAAAGAGTGTCATCTGCCAGTCGAATTGGGACAAATCTGATCGTCGAAACATCTTGTCAAAACAAAACACAAGATGCCGGAACGCTGATGGCGCGGTATTGCGTGCTGTTCAAGACCATGCACATGTTCATCACACAAGCCAAGCCTGAATCGACCTTGGAGCACCTTGTGAGTTTTTGCCACCCGCATCACAGAGTGCAAGTGCTAAGAAGGATGCTGACCGAATCGCTGTCGCCAGATCGAACTCCTTGCTGCGTCCGCAGAGTACGAAGACATCCGCCTCCGAATGGCTGAACGCAAGATTCTCAATGATCTCAACAAGAGCAACGCCACGTCGATTCGGTTTCCACTCGACGGCAAGATCAAGACGCGCGAGAGCAAGATCAACTGTCTCGTTCAAGCAACGTTGGGGAACACTGCCATTGGGGATTTTTCTCTGGCACAAGATCGGGAGGTTGGGCCTGACTGTTGCCGAGGGATGGTTGACTGAGTGCTTGTGTGTCTTTTGATTGAACTGACTGCGCGCTCATCGTGCCTTGATTTGCAGCGTGTCTTCAAAGCCGCCATTCGCATTGGAAGATGTAAACAAGGCGTCGTTTCTCACTTGTTTCAGATGTTTACAAAGTTGCTGATTCACTTGTTCTGAGCAATGTCCTGCAGGTGTTGCCGAGTTTCTAGGCCAACAAGACGGCTTCCTGGCCGCGCTGAACGCCGCCATCTTGTGCGCCTTTGAATGTCGTGATTTTGCAAACACGTTCGAGTTGTGGAATCCGCGCCAACTGACACTTGCTTCTTGTACTTGCTGGAATCGGTGGTCGCTGCAGGTCCAAATGCCTTCGCGTTCGACTGTGGGAAAACTCGCCTTACGTCTCGAGGCAGCTGGAAAAGATCGGCGAACGCATGTCTCTGCTGTTAGCGCAGGGAGGGTTCAATTCTTTCGAAGCCATCACACGAGCAAGACCGATGGAGCTGGAATTGGTAATCGTCTGAGCAAACAATTGTCTTGAGACCTTCGTCTAGACTGATGGCAGCTCACCACAACTGAGCAAACAAACCACCAAACAAACAAAAATGCAGCTGCTGGCTCGCCATCCGCCTTTTGGACGGGTCATCCGCGAGGCTGTTCAGCAGCTGCCAGTGTACAAGCTGGACGTGGTGCAGGTCAGCCCACCACTATGCAGCACCTTGCGTGTTGAGATTTGGCGCCTTACTGTCTGAACTTTGACGCAACAGGAGGGAGCGATTGAACAAGCGACCGCAACCATTCGCGTTTCCTTGTCGCTGGCAAATGCCGAGCACGCGAGAGCATCGCCAAGCACTCGAGTGCAGTGGTTTTCATGCCTTATCGGTCAGCAGTCCACCAACAAAGTTCTGCTTCGGCACAAGTCCAGGTAAAAACGAGTTTTGAGCGGACGACATGCCACTGCATGCTTGCGTCATCTCTGATGATTGCGTTTCTTGTTCGTGCGTGCAGCGACGCCATCCTCCTGAGCAGTGGCAACCTATGGACCACTACGATTCAAGCCCAGCGGCAAGGCGACACTGAGACGATCGCTTGCTTTTTGCTGAGCGAGATTTATGGTACAATTGTTCAATTTTTTGCGGCGGTCGTGGTTGATTGAGGGGGGCATTGACTCACGTTGGAGATTGCTCGCAGTTGGCCTGGATGTGGGCATCGAGTTTCAACCAAAGTTTTCCACCTCCACCTTTGGAGTTCCGGCCAACAAGCAGCGCGGGGACGGCAACACCAAACCCGGCTCCTCAACCAAGGCCTCCGCCAAGCCGGCCAAGCAACCGACGAATGCTCAAGCTTCATCAGCGCATGCTGTGGGTGATAAGCACAGTTTGGAACCGAGCGAAGCAGCTGCAACTGCTACAGCAGCAGCACCACAATGTGCACATACTTGTGCGGACAAGCTCGCATGCGGACACAAGTGCTGCAAGGGCACGAAATCGACTCGAGGGTCGTCCAAGCGACGGGCCGATCCAGACGAACCACTGGAAGGTGTGAAAAAGGCTGCACGAGCAGCACCCGACCAGATCGAAGGCACACCGAGCAGAACCAGCAGCAGCACCAGCGGCAACGGCAGCGCAGCCACCAGCAAGGGCGCCCATTCCAACGCGCCTCCTTCCTCTCTGACTGCTTTGCGTGAAAAGTCGTCTGCCATCCCGTCCAACGGCGTGAAGCGCTTGCGTGCCTCTGTACCAGCCACCAGCTCAACACAAGTTCCACCGCAAGTCGCCAACCTGGCAAACCCGTCGTCGACAAGGTCCAGTTCATCCACCCGCTTGATGGCCGCCAAGGAGGAAGACGAGTTTGACAGCCAGTTGGATCCAATGGACGATGCCATCTTTGAGCGCGCAGCTGCCGCAGCCGAGCCATTTCCCGACGTCAAGACCTTTGCCTACACCAAAAAGCCGACTCGATCGATCGCCTCTGTTGTACCTACGGCTGCTGTACAAGCACCCATCTCAGCTAAAGCGCAGCTCGCATCGGCGCCGAGCATGGCGTCGCGTGTTCCGATTGGTACCAAGCCTGTAGCTGCGGCGAAGCCACTGCCATCTGCTGCTCATCAGCCACTGCCATCTGCTGCTCATCAGCCACTGCCATCTGCTGCTCAGCAGCGCTACCCTTCCCAAGTTGGTGCAAACGGCAATGCACAGCTCGAGCAGGCGTCAATGACTGGATCATCACAGCCGTCGACACAACCTTCCATGGCGTCTGTGGGCGCATGGCCCAACATGGACCCGCAGCAGTTCATGCTCATGATGATGCAGGCACAGGCGTTTCAGCAGCAGCAAGCGCAAGCTTCCATGTTTCCGTCGCAGTCGGTGGCCTACGCTGATCCGCGCCAAAACTTTGGGCAAGGCATGATCGCACCTCCGCCTCGTATGCTGCAGCCTCAGGCTTCGATGGGGTACGACGACAACTACATGGATGAGCTGCTGAGGACGGCATATGCGTCCAGACCTGCCAATCCGACCCTCACTCAACCGATGCGTGCGCAAGTGGCGGCAACCTTTGAGGACGCGTCCACCTACCGCTCCGTTTCCCAGACCCCGTCACATACTCGGGCGTTTGATGAAGACCCCTCCGACATTTTTGCTGGTTACTTGTAGGCCCCCCCCCCTGCATGTTGAGAAACCCCCTTGTTGCATGAAATTGAACCGAACACTCTTGAAAAAAAAAGTCAAAGATATCAACATTCAAAGAGAGAGGAACACATCAAGACAAAGCTGCGAGTCATTTCTTTGAGAAATGAATGAACATCATGCAGCGGCACCAGACATTGCAGTGCATGGACTGCTTAGTTGGCAGCGTTGAGGAACTTGGCGACACGCTCGGTCACGAAGGCGTGGCCCTGGGCTTCATTCCAGCCCTCAGTGTCAACAGTTTCGCCATGCATGAAAGCAGCAAGACGGATGAACTCTTCCTGCAAATGCGAGAGCTTGTTCAGGCCCGTGATGGGGCGTCCGTGGAAGGATTCCAGGACGGGCGGGCTAGGCAGCGTGGTGGGGCAGTCAGTGCGCGGCTCCGAGAGGTACGAGGTAATGTCAGTGTAATCGGTCGCCCAGGCATCGCGCTTGGTCAGGAAGTTGGGAAGGTTGAACCACTTCTTGAGGGTGGCAGGGAGCGACGAGTGCTCAAAGTACGTGGCGTTGACGGGGTTCTTGACGAGCATGCCCTTGGGAATCCAGGGAGAGATGGCCACAAACGGAACACGAACGCCGAGGCGAGTGAAGTTGAAGGCAGGGTTCTGCATGCGAGTCGTGTTGGAAGTGAATGCGTGTTCCAAGTGAGAGATTCTGGAAGGAGGCACACTTGCCAAAAAAAAAAAAAAAAAACCAAAAAAAAAAAAAAAAACAATCCAACAAACAAACAAAACGCAATCCGTACAGTGGAGATGATGCCGTCCGGGTTGGGGATGCCTTCGAGGGGAGTCGGGAAGTGGTCGTAGAAGCCACCGTGCTCGTCATAGGTGATGATGAACAGCGTTTCGTTCCAGATGGCAGAGTTGCGAAGGGCTTCATAGATGCGCTTCATGAGCTTCTCACCGTCAGCAACCTGCAGAGAAAGAGACAAAACGGTGTGAGTCATGGGTTTGGAGGTCGCAAAAGTTGTACGGCAAATAGAAGCGTACGCTGTGCGAGGGGTGCTGGTCGTTGGCAGGAATGCCCTCGATCTCAAAGTAGCGCGGCTCAATGAAGGTGTAGCGAGGAAGCTTCTCGGCCTTGATGTGTTCTGTGGGAACCGAAAAAAAAATTAATGGAGCGAGAGGTCAGGCGGGGTGACAATTCAAACATGACAACTGTTGTTCTGCATGTTTTTTAACCTTCGAAGAACTCCATGTCGTGGTAACGGCTCAGAGCCTCGGGCGAGCGCATGTCGCTGAACAGGAGAGTTCCGGGAATATCGCCAAAGTACACACCCCAGTCGACCTTGCTCTCGGAGAGCGACTTGAAGATGGTCTTCTGCGGGTAGCCAAGAACCATCTGCTCGTCGTCGTTGTAGGCGGCGCCATGCGACGTGGCCGAGTGCAGGTACATGCGGTTGACCTGGGTCGGGCCGGGAACAGCGGCAAAGTAGTGGTCAAACAGGGCAAACTCGGTGGCCAGGGTCGAAATGACTGGGGCAGAATCGGGGGTGAAGCAGCTCATGACCTCGTAGCCCATGCCCTTCAGGACGCTCTCAGCGTTCTCGACAAAGCCTGGACAGCCCCCGCGAGAAGTGAGTTCCAGAGTTTCGGGCCAAAGATATGAAAAGCAGACACATGCGTTTCCTCAAGCAAAGTGCACTCGAAACAAACGCTCTTTTTTTCTCTCAACGCTCACGCGCAGTCGTGTCTGTCACTGCCATGTTTTTTGGCTTTCCATTTTTTTTCCCCACACGTACCATCCATAGGGGCAATGTTGACATTCTGGGGTCCGCGGCCAAAGACCTGCTCGGTCGTGGCGTCGGTGCCGTGGTCGGGGTCCGAGTCCGAGTACTTTGCAAACTTGTTGACGACGACGCGCTGCGACAGCGGATCCCTAAAAAAAAATAAAAAAAAATACAAAACAAACGAACAAAAAGTGCAACAAAACAAAGAGAAAATCCAAAAGTGAGTGAATTTCAACGACAAAGTTTTTTTTCGGTTGTTGAGCGAAAGGGTGACAAAAATAATAAAAAGTCAAATAAAAATAAAAAAAAGTAAAAAAAGTCAAAAATGATTTAAAAATGTTGCTTTTTTTTTTTTTTTTTTTCAATCTTCCACTTCGGTGTTTCTCTCTCTCTCTCTCTCTCTCTCCTCCTCTCATTCTTTCTCTTTCTCTATTCTACAACACTTGTCTTTTGTTCCACTTGTTCACCTTTCTCCCCCCCCCCCTCCACTTGCTTCTTCTTCCCTTTCCTGGCTTGCGCAATTGAATATCCAATCATTCGCTCCAATTACCAAACGCATCAATCGGCTAATTTTCGGCTGCAATCATGCGCTTCGTGTCCCAAAACCAAATGCAGCACTCATTCACTCAATACGACGACCACTCATCAGTAACAGTAGCAGAGTAAGAGTATCATGAATAAGAGAGAGAGGAAGAGTGGAAGAGTGGAGCAGCGAAGAACGAGGGCGAAACGTACGAAGTGTTGTAGGGGTTGGACTCGGTGCCAGTCAGGCCCTCAATCGCAGGGTTGGTCTCCTTCAGCCAGCCGAGCATCTCGTCGAACGAGCGGTTCTCTTCCATCAGCACAACAATGTACTTGATCGCGGGGTTGGGCACCGCAGTCGCAAGCGCTCGGCGGATGGACGAACCCATGCCAAACGCCCCGCTGAGCCCTTCCAGGAAGGCAGCGTCCTGCTCCTGCTGCTCCTGCTGCTGCTTCTGCTGCTGCTGCTTGGCGTACTTGTGCGACGACGACGCTGCGCTCACCGCCACCGCAGACAGCGCTGCGACAACCAGCACGACCGTCAATGACAATCTCATTGTTCAGAATAAAGAATAAAGAAGGAAAAAAAAAAAGAAAAAAGAGAAATGATCCGCTCAGAATAGCTCAGATTAGGAAACCAGCAAAAGAGCAAAAAAGCAACACAATTCACTGAATATCGCTCATCATCTCAGTTTTTGTGTCACTCCACTCTTTCGATGCGCAGTGTTGCAAGCGTCGCAGCGACTTCAACCAGCCAGCCATTGCTCGCCTGCGCCGGCCAAGCGGTCGTCGTGCACTGCGCGGCACAGCGTCTGCACGTGTTTGCACCTCCACAGCCGCAGTCACAGTCGCAGTTGCAGTCACAGCCGGTAAGCAGTGTTTTGAAGGACTCGCTGTTTCGCGCGCGAAACCCCGAGTTGCTCATTCGTAAGCCGCAATCCTTTGCTTTGGGTAGGTGGTCTGGCGACTGCCAGCCAACCCAGTCGATTGCCATCATGTAGATGCAGCGGACACGGCGGGGCGCACGCTGGTGCTGCTGGCCAACGGAGCAGTCTACGCGCTGCCGCACGATTTACAACCACCGCTCAGACCGGCAACAAAGCAACAACCGCGCGGGAAGCGGCGACGTCAATGGTAAGGCGGCGAAAGTCTCGGCCGAAACCATTCAATGAATGTCGGCAGAGCTGACGGGTTTTGTTGCATTTTTTGTCGTGCAGGACGCTTCCGGACGACGACGAGGATGAAGCCGAAGACCACGGCGATGCACCGTCGCATCCGCTCAAGCGATTCGCAGAAGATCGCAATCATCCTAGCAATAGTGCAAGTCAACACGAGGAACTCGATCTGTTTGCGCTGGACATTGTGCCGCCGCTGGTGTCCAACCAAGAAACTCGAAAACGACGAGATGCAGACGCAACGCGACCGGCGTTGACATCCTATCGAATTGACGTACCCCAGAACACCAGTTCGCGAGGATTGGCCATGGCCGTGCTGTATCGCAACGACGATTTGCAGCAGCCCCGCCTTGTCATTCTCTCGCGCAACACGGACTCTGCCGAACGTTTAGAACTGCGATGGAACTGCTCAACTTCGTCCGCGGACGTCTGGAGCAGCGCTACTTTGCATCTGCCAGGCGCAACCGACAGTCACCGCCAGCGACCAGCGCTCTGTGTGGTCGGGGCACGCAGTGCGAGCGCATTTTCTGGTCTCGAACTACTAAACTCGGCATTGTTGGGCTTACTCAACCGACGAGCATCGACGGCGTCAGGCACGCTTCTTTATTCGATCGGCGATAGCATGGGCAGTTTAGCAAGCATCACATTGACTGACATTACCCAGAACGTTGCGCATTCGCCGCTACTCGAGTTGCACGAGCCGATTGTCGCCGTGTTCCCAATACAGTGTCCCAGCGGCTCCAGCCTTCACAACAACAACGACACCGCCAAAGCCAGCACCATCGCTGCCAACAGCAATAATAACAACGCTGCTTTGGCCGTGTCCGAGGCTGTCGCAGTTGTCGGGTGCTTTGGACGCGTCGCATTGTTGTTTGCGACACCAACAGGCCTCCAGCAAGCGTTCACGAGCTTGACTCGTCCCGTACTGTCCGTAGTACGCGATCGACAAATGCCTGGACGAATTTGGTTTGTCTCCAATGGCAACGTCGAGGCTGTGGATCTTGCAGTGTTTGTCGAGACTGCAACGCCGCCGCAGTACACGCTGCGAGCAACACCGGCACAAAGCATCGCGACTCCGACAGGTGCCATTCGCGTTGAAGTGCGCACGACTGGCGCGCCGTCGGGAGAACTCTTGATTCTGAGCTCGAGAGGGCATCTCTTTTCCCACGATTTGAACGACGAATCTGCGCGTAACAACACGACAACCGGATCCCAGCACGAGAAAAAAGCAAAACTGGCGCCAGATGCTTACAAGGTACAGCTTCTCGAGCTTGCCAATGTATCCCATGCCCAGGAAACGCGCCTCAAGGCGGCGGCCGTCCGCAATGCTCAAACTCAAAGGCTGAGTCACCTGCTGCATGCGGCCAGCGTACTTTGCCATGCCAGTCGATCGAGCATTCACGCTCAGTACGCAGACTTGGAGCGTGCACGGCCAACGGCGACGGGCCTCCTTCCGCCGCTTTCTTCGTACCGGGTGACCGGCGGGCATGCAGCTTCCTCGGCTTCCCGCAACGTTGGATTTCCCTCGATTCGCTGTTCCGCCGGCCTCGTGCGTCTAGGCTCTGCAGCCACTGCCGCAAGCGTCCCCTTTGAGCAGCTTGACAGCGTCGACAACGGAGCAATGCAGGTGGAAATTCAGCTCGACAACCTCGCTGCTGTTCCTCTCGCGCCAGATTGGTCTGTGCTCCTCCAAGCCGAGTTTGCCAACGAGGTTTGGGCTTCACATGCGACAATTCCTCTCGAGCATGGCCTGCCATCAAACTCGAGTCTTACATTTCACGTCCCATTCGAGCGACTCGTGCCAGCAGCCCAACGTCGGTTTGGGCTCGGTGTGACAGTGCAGCATGCACCTCTGCCCGAGGGCCCCAATCACTCTGTACTAGTGCCGTGTCGCGCGCCGTGGAATCTGCTCCCAATGCGCCTGAGTTTGTCTTTAAGCGCAACGACCGAAAAGGTGTTTTTGCCAATCGGGCGCTGCCACATCACTTCCCTCGATTGGATTGCCGCCGAGTATCTGGCCACTGCACGCTGGAGCTTGTTCAGCCCAAAGCTCAACGCCTCCGCCTTTCAATCAGAGTTGCGCTCGGCTGCAGACATGACGAGTCCGGCGCGCGCTGTCGTGCGCTGTTCTCGAGCTCTCTTGAACGATTCGCCGGATGACCAAGTTCTTTCAGCGCTTTTCTCGTCAAGAGAGTTTCCCAACCGTGCCTTGTCGACAGAGTTTATCTTGAATGGCAACACGCAACTCGTTCTGTCCGTTGGGAATGGAGCGAGCTTCGCCGGCCCACGCAAGTCAGTCGCACAAGCGGCTCCAACATCAACCACCGAGGTGTCCATTGTGGTGAGTGTGAGCACGGCTGCCGACCAGAAGGGCGCGCAGTCCATTGCACGCCGGTTGTGTGCAAATTTCCGTGTCGCCATTCTTCAGCGACTCTTGAGCCTGACACTTCTCAAGCTGGAGCAAGCTCCCACTGCTCAGCTCCAAAGCCGGCTTCTCTGGAAAGGCGGACTGTCGACAAACTTGCAAGCAGCACTGCTACAAGCACCAGTCGATGATGATCTCACCTTGATGGACCGTGACGACATGGACGAGACAGATGGAGACAGTGGAGCACGGCAACGCCGGTCTATTTCTGCAGCGGCCGTCCGTTCCAAGCGCAGCAATTTACAACGCGGTGCCGCCTCTCTGATGATCGTTTCGACCGCGACTCACCAGCGAGTCGTGTCTTTACTCCAAGAGTCTCAACTCCAGTCATTCCCCATTGCGAACTGGCGTTCCGATTTCCACACCGCGCGCATTTTGCAAGTGTACGAGGCGCTCCGTACAGCTTCCTAGTCGCAGCGACCTTTTTGAGAATTGCTGCGAATTACTGTTGTCATTGTTTGACAGTCTCAGAGTTTCAACACCCACCCAATCTTTCGCAATTACATCCTTCCCTCGACTCTGCACATCCTAATACATAATCCGAGTCACACACAGTCCTGACTTTTCTTCTACTTGTTTCATCCTCTTCTATTTTTTTCCACATCCAATGCGCGGCGACTCGCTCGATGAGCGGCTCGACTATTACTATGAGTTTGTCTCGCAAACCGTGCTGTCTCAGCAGGACCCCGTGAGCGGCCTGTTCCCGACCTGCCGTGCGTGGCCTGCGCACACGTCGCCCCACCAGCGCTGGTTTGTGCAGCAGCGAGCTCAACTCGCCCAGCAGCAGCAGCAGCAGCAGCAGCAGCAGCAGCAGCAGCAGCAGCAGCAGCAGCAGCAGATTGCGACTCCGCAACCAGCAACCGCCGACGATCCAACAACCGCCCCAGGAGCAGGAGCAGCAGCAGCAGCAGCAGCAGCAACAACAACAACACCAGCAACAGCAGCCCACCACGCGCAGCTGCACTTGGACACGACGATCGCGGCGGCAGAGAACGAGCACGCGCAGTACCAGCGGCTGCTCGATGCGGACGCGGCGGTCGAGGTGAGCCAGGACGCCTGGGTGCGCGACACCGTGTACACTTCCATGTGCATCTGGGGCCTTGCGATTGCGATGCGGAAGCGGCACGACGAAGGGACGCGGGCCCGGGCGTACGAGCTCGAGCAGTCTGCCGTCAAGGTGATGCGCGGCCTGCTGTTTGCCATGATGCGCCAGGCCGACAAGGTCGAGCGATTCAAGCATAGCCAGTCTGCAATGGACGCGCTCCATGCAAAGTACAACCTGCACAGCGGCGCGTCGGTCGTCAAGGACGCAGAGTGGGGTCATCTCCAGATTGATGCCACTTCGCTGTACATCCTGACGCTGGCACAGATGACCACCGCGGGCTGCCACATCATCTACACGCTGGACGAAGTCGCGTTCATCCAGAACCTCGTCTACTACATCCAGGCCGCCTACCGCACGCCAGACTATGGCATCTGGGAGCGCGGCGACAAGACTAACCACGGCTTGCCAGAGCTCAACGCCAGCTCCATTGGCATGTCCAAGGCCGCCCTCGAAGCCATCAACAATGTCGACTTGTTTGGATCGAGGTAAAGGGGGAAGCTCGAGGTCGTCGGCGGGGGGGGGGAGGAGGTCAATCGTCTCGTTGTTGTTTCATTCACTCACTTCTTGATCGTTACTCTCTTACTTGACTCTTTTGGACGTGTTTTTGTGTTCTTGTTGTTTTTGGCTCTTGTTGTCGTTGTTGTTATTTCTCTTTCTGCATTACAAAGTGGAGGCCCCAACTCGGTCATCCATGTGCTGCCGGACGAAATCAGACGAAGCAACGCATCGCTTTCTTCACTGCTGCCGCGCGAGTCCATCTCGAAGGAAGTGGACGCTTCGCTGCTGAGCGTGATTAGCTTTCCCGCGTTCGCCGTGGAAGACGAGCGTCTGTCCGAGCTCACCCGCAGCCGCATCATTCGCAAGCTGAAAGGCAGGTACGGATGCAAGCGCTTTTTGCGCGATGGCTACCGAACGGTGGTCGAAGACACGCAACGCCTCCACTACGATCCGGCCGAGCTCAAAGTGTTTGAGAACATTGAGTGCGAGTGGCCAGTGTTTTTCGTCTACCTGATCCTGGACGGCATTATTTGTGGCAACACGCGACAAGTGCAAGAGTACAAGGCGCTCCTCCAGCCGTTGTTGATATACGACGACAACGGCTTCCCCCTTGTGCCCGAGCTCTTCTACGTTCCTTCCGACCGCGTGGAAGCAGAGCGAGCACAGCCTCACTCCCAAACCCGGCTCCCGAGTGCAAAGCTGCCTCTGAACTGGGCGCAGTCACTCTTCATTCTGGGGTGCCTTCTCGATGAAGGGCTTCTTGCGATTGGTGAGATCGACCCGCTCCATCGCCGGCATTCAACCGTTCCGCGCCCGGACTTGGTGGTGCAAGTGGCTCTCGTTTCCGCAGACCAAGAAACGCAGCGCATTCTTGAAAGTTTTGAAATTGAATCGCAACTTCCCCATGAAGTCCCTCTGCAAATCATCAAGGCGCACGACTTGAACGAGGCTTACAGCGACATGGGTCGCTGCGATGCGCTGGGCCTCACAGGCCGTCTGCAGGAAAGCATGGGCTCGCTCAGCACCAGCAAAGTGTATGCCATTCGCGATCGACTCTACGTGTTTACACCGCAGTTTTCCGAGCACAACAGCTTTTACATGTCCTTGGACGACGTGTATATTGTCGAGGAAATCAAGGCCTATTTGTCGTATCTCCGTGCCAACTGGCGACTGGTGGGGCGTCCCACAATGACGCTTCTTCTCGAACGCAGTGCACTTGGCGACCATCCAAGCCCGACGAGCGCGTCCATCAGCCTCTTTCGCAGCCTGCAAACCGGCACCTGCGAAGGTGTGCGTGCTCGTCTGGCGCCTTTGTCGCAGCTTCTCACCACGTCGTGCGTCGAGCGCCTAGGCTTCTTGGACGACTCTGCGTTTGAATTTTCGCCGCGCTCTATCGTGCAGCGAGCAATCCCGCGGCTAAAGTTTGATCTCGAAGAGACGCGCAGGCTGTTCAATGTCGATTTAGTCGATTCTTCCGAACGACGCGAAAACTCTCAACGGACCAGCGTGACGGGTGTGATGCTCCGCAGTCGCCGTGTACAAACGCGTAAGAGTAGTGTTTCTTGGTTGTCCTTTTGGTATTTTTTGTTTTCTTGCTTCTGAAAAGCGAAACAACAATGTGGCACTTGGAATGCACTTTCATTTGGTTAAAAGTTGTCAAACTGATCTCTTCCCCCTGTTTCTTTTTCTGCCATGCAGAAGAGCCAAGCTCACAGGCTGGCGTTGACGACGATCGCATTCTGCAAGAGCTGCGACAGTCCAGCACGCTGCAAGATCAGATTGACATTTTACACCATCTGGCAGTCAAACACGGTTTGCAGTTTGACACGCGGCTGCTTGATGCCGATCAGGCTGCTGGCCCACTGACAACGGCGGCGGCTGCAGCTGCCGCAACTGCCAGTCCTGGCATGTCCACGCTGGCCGCAAGCGCCTTGTCACCCATCACTGTCGAGAAGCTTCTTCAGGAAGTCTACGAGCGAGCTGGCCAAATGAAGCTGTGGTCGATTGTCCGTCATGCCGCCGGTCTGCTCCGCAAGCGCGTCGACACTCTTGCCCAAGCCGTCACACAGCTGTTGCTGCGACAAAAGCATGTTTCGGTGGGCGTTGCGCCGACGGAGCAGTTCATTCCCGCGCCGCTGCCACCGGAAGACATCAACAAGATGATCCACAGCTCATGCGGCCACAATGTCAGCATGGCCGTGCTGACGCAGGAGATTCTCTTGTATCTCAACATGTTCATTCGAACCGAGCCCGTCCTTTTCAGCGAAATTTTGCGATTGCGCGTTGGTCTGATTATCCGCGTGATGGCTTTGGAGCTGTCTGCGGGCAATCCTGGTGTCAATGCCGACGAGCAAGACTTTGAGCGGCTGATGCGCCTGTCTCCCTTTGAAGTGAAGCAGTTGCTGCATCAGATCTTGAGCGGCAGCGAACCATTCCGTGCTCAGCAGCAGCAGGCGTCACAAGCTTCCTCCTCTGCTGCTGCTGCTACTGCTGCTGCCGATGGACTCGTGCGGCCGTTGCAAAACCAGATTTCGGAGAATGCGCCAGGAGCCAGCTCGGGCTTTGCAAGTCGCCAAGACTCGGAATTGCCCAGCCATCCAGGCCAGCACGCCGATCTCGAAATCGAGGCGCTGATTGCTATGAACCAAGAGTCGAGCGCTGGTAGCACTGGCCCCGTCAATCAACGCGGACAGTGGATCCGTCGCCGCCGGATTGACGGCACGTTGAACCGAGTCCCGGTCAAGTTCTACCCGAAGGTGTGGCGCGTGCTGGAGCGCTGCACGGCCATCGAGACCCATGGCTATGTGCTCCCGCACCACCCTACCGTGCAGGAAATGACACCGGGCGAGCTCAAGTTTGCCTTGCGCGTCGAATCCATGCTCAGCAGCATTTCCTTGCCAGAATACCGCCAAATAGTTGTGGAGACGCTGATGATTGTGTCGCTCGTGGTCGAAAAGCTGCTCAACTGGCGCCTCGAAGATTTTATTCACGTTGACCGCGTGATCGACAAGGCAGTGGATCTCTTTGCCATCGAGCTGAACGACCGCCGCCACAAGGTCTATTTGCGCCACTACGAGCTCAAGCAACTTCCCTTCATCCCTCCCGCCTCACTGACCACCACTCAACTCCGCGAGGCCTTTTACGACTCTGCGCCCAGCGGTCGCTACGGCACCATGACGTATCTCGCCAAGGCTGTTCGCGAAATGTACAGCCACTCTTTCGAGAGCTCTAATTGCGTCACTTCTTGAAGCGCGCGAGTTGCGAATGGTGTTTTGTTGTTGTTGCCGTTGTTGTGAATGCTGTTGTTGTTGCTGTTGTTGTTGATGATGTTCAGAATTTGATTGTGGTGTTCTTTCCTTGTCTGTTTGTTTGATTGCTTGTTTGGCTGTTGCCACTTCTTGTCTGGCTGTCTGTGCTGCCACGGATGAAAATCAGATGGAAAATCCTGAAAATCGCAATTTTCAACAAGTACATTGATAAATAGTTGGGAACGTGCATGCCATGATACTACAACGAATTCAAGCCGCACCAAAACCGAAGGCGCTCAATCAGCATGAACGTGATGACCGTGTGAGGGCCGAGTCGCAACCACGCAGGCACCCAACCCTTCATGAAGGCTCGAGGCCCTTCTTGTTGCAACGTCTTGCGGAAGCAGTCCATCGAGCCCTGGTATTTGCCCTCGCGGTCTTGCATGACGCGGGTTTTGACGCAGTCCGCAGGCGTGCTGGCTGTTGTGGTGACCAGTCCGGCGACGAGGCTGGCTGCAAAGTGAAGCGTCAAGCCTTCTGGCATGCCGAGTTGTTTGCGCAGCAGCTCGTTCTTCACCAGGTCGTACGTGCCGATTTGGCTCGACGAGACGATGGCAGCGCGAATGACGTTTGGCCCGACTCCCCGCCACAGCCCGGCAATGCCTTCCTCTTGTGCAATTCGAACGAAAGCGTCCAGCGTGTGTTTATATGGTGTGCGCGTCACGGTGGGCAAAGCACCAGCGGCTGCTGCAGTAGCGCGCGCACGAACGGCCGTTTCTGTGTGCACGGCAGGCTGTTGTGTGTACACTGGCAAGACGCCGCCGGCGGCAGCAGCAGCAGCGGCAGGATGAGCTGTTGCAATAGGCACGACATGGATGTGCGTGGGAGCTGTAGCGGTAGTGATAGCAGTGCCTACAGTTGGCAGGACGGTTGGCAGGACGGTAGGTTTCGTCGCTGCCGCTGCCGCTGCCGATGCTGCCTGTTTGGCTGCAGCTGCGGCCGCATGACTTTGCATCTGCGTCTTGACCACATCCGTTGGCGTGGAGACGACGCTGGCGATGCTTCCACTGACAATTCCGGCCGTGAACATGGCCAGTGTCTGCGATCCAAGCTGCGCTGCGAATTCGTTTCGCAGCGGTTCGTACAGTCCCAAGCGAATGGAGCCGTACGTGAGCTCTCGCAAGATGGAGGGAGTGACTCTGTTTTTCAACATTCAGGCAATACAATGGTGTGTTGGTCAGCATTTTTCCCATGTTCCGAAATCCGACCCGTTCAACGTAGATCTTCATGCATGACCGTATTTGGACATGTCTGGATCTTTGAGCGACGTAAGCAGCGTGCTCACCCTTTGAACAGGCCTCGCAGACCCTCTTGCTGCACAATGGTCTGCATCCCACGAATCAGCCCATTGTAGAGCGGCGGCGGTGGCGGCAGTGGAGCAGCGTGTGATGCTGCTGCCGAGCGAGGAGGTGTGAGCAGGATGGTCGCTGTGATTTGGCCTTGCAGTCTGACCTTGGCCACGTCCAGCGGATTGGTAATCTGTGCGCATGTAAGCAAAAGCAAAAGCAAAAGCAAAAGCAAAAGCAAAAGCAAAAGCAAAAGCAAGCTTGTTTGAATCGTCGTCGGTCCATCGGTGGATGAGGAGCAGGAGAAGGGCAGTTCGGCGACTCTCGCAAAGCTGCTCCATCCGCACTCGCTCACACATGATTTAGCAACTTTGTCGAGTGACACTCACCACTGAAGCGACGGCACACGAGACGCCGCCAATGAGCGAGCGCAAGAGTGCATGGCCCGGCTGCTGCTTCTGCTTCTGTTGCTGCTGCTGCAGCGGTTTCAGCGTCGCGGTCATTGCTGACGATTCAGTAGCCGCTGTGGCTGTTGCCATTTATTTATTCAGAAGCTATGCAAGTCCAGGGACGACCCAAAAAGAAAAGTATCGAGTGGTGGCCCAGACAGATCGCACCGACCGAGGACCAAAAAGGCGGGAACAACAAAAAACAGTGACTGAGAATTTCCAGATTTATCGGTGTCAAACAACGCGGTGAAAACAATGCACTGAGCTGCTTGCTTCAGTAATTCACTTTTTTTTGTATTCATCGTGGATGTCTTTGGTGGAAGCTCACTCTGGAAATGCTTGATGGAGGAGAACACAATGTAAGCGCAGCGAAATGTTGAACTGACGCGCTTCTTGCCTAGATGCCAGACTCTCTGGCTCTCTCATAAGACTCGCACAGGCCTCGTAGTCTGCATCACGAGTCGTCCTCTTGTCGTTTGAGGGCCCAACGTTATGGCATTGCCTCCCCTTTGGCTTTGTCGGCGTTCCATGTGTGCCCTGCTTCTCTGCCACTAAACTCTCTCAGATCGTCTCGGGGGGTTTCCCAACTTGCCCCCCGACGAACTGCCGCCACCTGGCAAAAGCACGCCAGCAACCAACTGCCACGGCAAGCGGCCGAGGTTGCAAGTCCGTCGGGGGAGTCAGTGTGGGCGAGAACGAAAGCAAAAGATTGGTTTGAAGAGTGTGCAAAAACTCACTGCCCACATGGGTTCCAAAACCGACCTGGTCTCAGTCCTGCCGGCAACATGCGCACCGCTTGCGGCTGGGGTGCTATGATATGAGTGAGCAGTCGAGGGGCGCATTTGGCCGGGAGCCGGCAAGACGGCGGTTTGAGGAAAGAACATGGATGAATGAGGAAAGTTGTTGGCGGAAGAGAAACGCCGCCAAGACCTCAGTTTGCGACAAAACCAGCAGACGGCGGGGGATGGGGCAACGGAGCTCTCTACCCGCCCGCACCGGCGTCAAACTCATGCCAGAGCGTGACACGGAGATTCTCAGATGCAGAGCGCGGGCGTGTGACGCGAATGGACACCTCGTTCGGTCGTTTGATTGGTGCTCCATGTGGGCCAAACAAGCCGTTCAATCTCTTCGCGCTGGCCTCCGCCTCGCTTCGTCTCGAAGTTGTCAAGAAGCTCCTCGTCAGACCAACTACAACAAAAAACGAAAGGGGGGAAAAGCATCCTTGTAAAGAGTCGATGCCGACTCGAGGGCTTTGGTCCTTGACAAATGACTTGACAAGCACAATCTGAAACGAGAGGAAAACGCTGACTTGCCTCGATTGTTTTGTGCTTGATTGACTTGCTGCACAGATCTCAAGGCGACGAGTATGACTCGGATGACATGGAAGACGTGCAGCCGGACGCGTCCGGACGGCATGTCAAAAGGGCACACCATAATGCATTGGAACGGAAACGGGTAAAAGCGATTTGCCAACCACTGTGTTTCGTTCTTGTTCATCCCGATGACCCTCTTCGTGTTTGAGTGGGAGCGAGTCGAGTCGCACTTCTGATTCAGGGCACACCCCATGAAGCCTTGACCTCTCATACGCGCGAGGCTCTTGTTGGCTTTTGGCACATTGCTCACATCCGTGTCGTTGTTGAACATGCCCCTTGTTTTCAGCGTGATCACATCAAGGAAAAGTTCAACGAGTTGAGAGACACTGTGCCATCTATTGCTGGCGACAAGGCGTCAAGATCCCTTATTTTGAACCGAGCGACGGAATTCATAGTCACAATGAAGCAGCGAAACACGGCTCACGAGGCCGAGATCGATGCCATTCGTAAACAGAACGAGACGCTTCGCAAGCAAATTCTAGATCTCGAGAATGGTCACAGCTAATCCATGTGTGGGCGAGCCCAGTGTTGTTTTCTTGTTAACTGCGCCCACTGGTTGTCTCGTCCGCTCCTCCGTTCATTCTGGCCAGCTCTCTCCACCGACTCGGATTTTACTTTTGAAATTCTTCTGTTGCACTCCTTTCTTCATTTGCTTTCCTTGTTTGTTCCTCTTGCCTTTTTGTTTTTTGTTTTCCTTTTGTCTGTCTTGTGTTACGTCTTTTGTTCCTTGACCTTGACTGGTGTTCCTGTTGGTACTTTTGTGCCACCCCACCGCCGCCCGCCCCCATATTCTTACTCTCTTATGCACTCCCCCCCCCCTCCATGTCATCACTGCAAATTCATTGAAATTTTTTGTTCATGTTTCAACTCCACAGCAAGTTTGGAATGTCTGGGATCTGGATTTTCGGAGCTTCTCGTTTATTCGGCTACAGGTTTCCAGTACTTCGTCCGAACAGTTGTTGGATGTTCGTAAACATGGTGTGTCGGTTTTGACTTCAAGTGCAAGCTGGCTGCTTTCTCGGTAAATCTTGCAAGGACCGTTCCGTCAATAGCCGACATGGTATGCTTGTCCAATTCGAGCGAGAACAAGTCATGAGTGAGGCTCAGTCGTCTTGTTTTGCTCTTTAATTTTATTTTTGATTGTGAGAAGCGGAACAAAGCAAATGGCATCCTATTTGCGATACTACTTTGGGGGCGGATCGTCGTCGGCTGAAACACCCGGATCGTCGGCTGAAACAGCCGCCAGCACCGCGGATGTCGACGTGGCATCGTCCGCCACTCAGCATCATCATCACGACGGCGAGGACCATGACGAGTCGGACCATGATCAGAAGCCCGTCCACGAGACGCCCGAGATTGCCGCTGCCAGCATCCTGGCGTTCAAGTGCGCGGTTGCTGACGCACGCGCTGCTGAAATCGCCGCATTGTCGGCGGTGCTTGGACAGCCGAATCCCGAGCTCGCAGTGGCCGGACTGACCCCGGCCAAGCTCAAGAAGCTCCCGCAAGGCAACCAAGAAGGCAGCCAAGAAGGCAGCCAAGGCCGCAAAGAAGGCCGCCAAGCACCCGTCTGCTGCTTCGTCCGCCAAGACAAGTTCAGTAGCGGGGAAAATCCCAACTTTGGCGGGCGATGCATCAACGCCGGCACTGGACGCCACCAGTGGTGCTGGTGCTGGTGCTGGAGGTGCTGGAGCGAATGGCCAGAACACGGAGGACGCTGCTGGCTACGCAGAGGATGCTGCCGCCGCCTCCGACTCTGAGGACGACGACGTGGACGAGCAGGAGGGTGAGAAAGACGATGCGAATCAAGATCCGCACGCAGACGATCCCTTCCTTCCGCTCCTTGAACACGACCTGGATTGTCTAATGTTCTTGAGGGCACGTAAACACAACCCTACGCGGGCGGTGGAGCTTTACAAGGGCTTTGTCGCGTACCGGCGCAAACACAGCTTCCCCGTCCGCGTTGACCGCTCGACCGGCCGCTTTGCAAAAATCCCGCTGGACGAGCACATCGAGCGCAAGCTGCGCGAGGAATTGGTAGTAGTGCTACCGCATGCTGACAAGGATGGCCGGACATTGATCTACTACCGCCCCCGCAACAACAATCCGTCCGAGTGGCAACTGTCCCTCAAGGCCATTTGGTTTGTGCTCGAGCGCATTGTCGAGCAGGAGCAAGTCCAGATCTGTGGCATGACCCTGCTGGGCGATGGCGAGGGTGCTGGACTGGGCAACTTTAGCCGCGACTTGATGAAGAATCTCATTGGCAGCTTCCAGGGCGCCTTCCCGATGCGTGTCGGCCGTATCATTATTGCCAACCAAGCTGCCTTCTTCCGAGTGGTCTGGCAACTCATGTCGCTCTTCATCAAACCCAAGCTGCTCAGCCGGATTCTCGTTGTCGGCGGCAATCACGACGCCGTCCTCGACTTTATCGATCACCATGCGCTGCCCACCTCCGTGAGTGGTGGGCTGAGCACCTTCCATTGGCACAAATGGGTGGATGGCCATCTTGTAGCTTCCCCGGCCTCACCGCAGCCTTCAGCTTGAAAGGCGTGTTTCGAGCGATGCTGCATTCTTCCAGTCTTCCACTCTAGTCGCTGTACAGGGGACCTCCGCAGACTTTTCGCATGTTTTCGTTAGTTGTTTTGTTGATACCGGCTCAGTTTGTAGAAAAGGGAGGATTCGTGATATCACAAAGAAGGCGGATTCGAATGATTTGCGCAGGACTTTGAATTTTCACTTTATTTCCGTCAATCACAATTCCTTCGATTCATTTCATCTGCATCTAGTCTCGCATATATCCAGTGATTGTCACCCACCTAGTGTGTTTGCAGATTTGATTTGAGAGGGATGCTGCCTTGTTCTGGAGAGACCCACTCTCATGCCATTGCACACTTGAGCACCTCGTCGACAGTCTCATCCAGCAAAGCCTGCACTCTCGGATCAAGCGATTTAACTTGCTTCATGCGGGAGGTCTTGTAGAGAGCATGCCCTTTGAGGAGACAGACAAGACCCCGCCAGAAGCCAAAGTCGTGATCTTTCGCATTACGAAGCGCTTGTAGGCGATCATTCCACAGCCTGGTGGCATACTCTTGAACTGATTCATTACTCAGGGACGGTCGAAGCTTCGAAGAATGCTGCTTGTAAATCTCGACAAAGTAATCTCGCGATTCCTCCAAAGCCAGCATTGGAGACAGTTTTTCCTTCAAAACTTTCTCGGCGTTCGCGGGAGAAGCTAACAACAAGTGCAAGTACAAGTATGACTCAATGCAGGGTAAGCGGGTAAAGTACACACCTGCCGCAGCGCCTGCAAAGTCGGCCAAGTAAGCGCGCTGCAGATTATCCAGGCGCGACGACGAAGCCATCATCTCGCTATCTTTCAGAAAGATCGGTGGCTTGAAGCCGGCCAGATGTAATGCCCGGGCGAAAGCGATGCGGTGATTCCAGCTCCCGTCAGTGCCGGCTGATCCTGATGGAACGATGGTGAACTTCTCGACGAGGCGCGGGGCAAACTGTCGGATGAACTTGACGTCTGTCTCGCCATCCACGACGAGAATAGGTCGGACAGTTGACGTGATCTGACAGAGCTCGTTGTAGAATGTACCCCCATTGCTCATCGGGCCGTTTGGTCCGAGTAGAAGGAGATCAGATTGATGAACTTTCTGGACAACCCCATTAGAGTTGCTCGTGATCACAAGCTGGACGCCATGCGCTTCGCAGTCAGACGCGAGCATGTCAAAGAGACGAGCCGCTGCCGTTTCGTAGAGAAGCGCCTCCAGCTCATCCACCAGGAGGATGCGCTGAGTTGAAGGCGACTTCCAAGCTGCAGGGTCAGGCAGCCCTTTTGATTCCTCAGATACGTCTGGACTGGAAGCAGGCGACGGAATTTCGCCGGAGGGAGCCGCATCGGCGGCTGTCGAGAAAGCCAGCAGGAAGAACAGAACGTACAAGGCCATCACTTTCTGCAGAGACGATGAGCAAGCACCAATCTCGAGTTCCGCGCCCATGGTGCCATCGGGAAGTTCCTCTTGGACATACACAACGATAGAGGCAATTCTGACGGCGTATCGAATGCCAAACACTGCACTGAGGCGTTCTTGGAGAATCTCAGCAACGTCCGCGCCTGTCCGCAGCTTGTACTTTGACTTGAGATCCTTCAGGCGGGTTCGCAAATGTTGTTCGCCCGTGGTCAGAAGATGCTTGCTCGAGCCTTGGACCTCCTTGCTGTAAAGGCCCCACTGGTAGAACGGTTGGACGAAGGCAAAGCGGATCTTTTGGTGAACTTGGCCATCATCATGACGCACTTCCGTGCTGGTGGCTCGAAGTTGCACCTGGATCTCGGTCGGCCAGGATTTCGGCCCAAACGTGCCTGTGAGAGTAGCAGTGTCCCGCGCTGACGTAATGAGTGACTTGTAAACTGTGCCGTCCTGTTGCTCAAAGTATGGGTCGCCGAACAGCGAAGTGAGCGGAAGGTAGCGCTCGCCATTGCTATGCCAGGTCGAATTTTTTTCAACGCGTGCGTTGTACGCACGCAGGTAAACCATGATTGCCCAGAGGAGTTGAGTCTTTCCGAAGCCATTCCGGCCCGCGATCACTTTCGGGCTGGAGCTGAACTTGAAAACGAGGTCGTGGAATCGCTTAAAGTTTTGAAGCCGCAAAGACAACAAAAAGCAGTTGGGTTTATCCTGCTTAGCGGGCGGATCGTCGCGGTCAAATAGCTCCTCGAGCAGCGACAAAGGTTCGTCAAGCTCGACCATGAACAGCAAAGAAAGAAAGAAGGAAAAAAGAAGAACTGATCATCCAACACAATTGAGCGCGCGAAAAATGGTTGCGACGGTACTCACGCTAAAAAGTACCGCGCATAGCTTTGCCTCGAGGTCAAACCGCCTCTTCATCATGCCAATGTTAAAAGCGTGGAGATCCAAGATCGTGCAATGATGGGTTGTGCTAACAAACGGAAGCGCGAAAACGCTCGTCTCGGCGATTCCACACACAGGCTCCAATGATCGTTCCAGCCAGCAAACTAGACCTCCCTATTTCCCCGAACTGACACACACGTGGCCCGATGACCTTAAATTCAGACAACAAACAAGAAGATCGCCCCAATCAGTGGGGTATTTATTGTCAATCTCAGCTCCAAAAAGGCAGACCTTAGTTACGAATCCGCCCCTCGCCATTTCACTCCGCTCCTCGCCCCTCGCCTCGCCCCCTTTCTCGGCAGATTCCTGGTTCAGGCAGTCCTCCGTCGCTCGTGCTTTGTGACGATCTTTCTCATCATCACGCACACGGCATGCTCGAAACCACAGATGTAAAGACTGTAAAAAAATCCTGAAAGTGTCACCCGAAAACCAGTCAGACTTTATCTTTTGCTCCAACACAACGAAACCCAAATCGAGCCAAACCACCACACTTCAGTCCTCCTTCTTCTTTGTTTTTGTTTTTTACTCACAGTGTCCGACTCGATCTCATCCTCGCTTGCTTGAGATCTAGAGCTCTACTTTATCTGCACTCACACACGCACGCACGCACGCGCATTACATCCACGGTGGAAGACTTTTCAACGGCAAAGTTAGCCAAGCTGTAGCGTGATCCCATCACACAACCACACAAACCACATCCTCTCTTCTCTCTCTCTCTCTCTCTCTCATTCGCAAATCAAACTCTACAAACATGCGCTCGCTGGAAGCTGATCTGACGGACGAAATGAGCGCAATGCTCATCGAGAAGGAGTTTATCGGCGACTACATTGTGACCAAGACCCTCGGCGAAGGCGCCTTTGCGAAAGTCAAGCTGGCTGTGCACGCCTTTACCAACCAGAAGGTGAGACCCCCCTCCCTCCCTGCAGCGCTCCACTTTGGCGATGTCTACCTTCACAATGCTGTTTCCTCTCGCTGTCGGCCACGCGAGCATGTGCTGGAGTGCGGCCCGTTGGCTGGGCTGGCATCGTGTCACAGTGGAAGCGGGGCGATCCAAAAGTGTTGGGTTTTTTTTTTTTTTTTTTTTCCTGTTGGCAAGGCCTTTCTAAACGAGCGCTCTTTCCCTTCTCCTCTACTTGCTCACTTTCACCCATCGCCAGCATCGATTTGAGCCTTTGTGGCAGAATAACACAACCAACAACTGTGACACAGCACGGCGAATTTTTTTTTTTTTTTTTTTAACGTGAAGTGAATAAACCCCTAGATTTTTTTCTTGTTTCTTTTTTTCTCTTGTTCTTTTCCTTGGCTGGTTCTTCCAGCTCTCGCGTCGCCATGGGGGCTTCTGCTGGACGCTCGTCGTGGTTGCATGATGCATTGCTAACATTGAATGTCCTTGCTCTCCGACGACGCAGGTCGCCATCAAGGTCATCGAGAAGCGAGACATTACCGACCCCTATGTGATAAAAAACCTGTATCGCGAGGCGCAGATCATGAGCCGCCTGCGCCATCCGCACGTCATTGAGCTGTTCGAGACCATCGAGACTGAGGACCGCTACTGCCTCGTCATGGAGCACTGCGGCGGCGGCGAGGTGCTCGATTACATTGTCGCGCACGAGAAGCTGAACGAGCGTGAAACACGCCGCTTCGCCCGCCAGCTCGTCTCTGCCCTCGATCACATCCACCAGCGCGGCATTGTCCATCGGTGAGTGCGACAACAGCAACACAGGCCTTTTCATTCTCGCCTTGTCTCATCCTTTTTGGATGTCGGAATCGGGGAGGCGGCCGATGTTCGATCGATGACACATTTTGACACTCTCAACTGTGGGGTTTGTCTGACTCACGCGCCATTGGATTTATTTTTTTTTTCATTGTGTTTTTCGGGTCGTCTTGCTCGACTCTTTTTGTTCTTTTTTCTCTCTTTTATATCGGATGGAGGTTGCCACGCGACATGGCAGCAATCCGCAGTGATGCTGTCTTTTTCGCGGTGAGAGTGTTGGCGCAGAGCAAAAGGGAAAAAGAAAGAAAAAAATTAAATTACAAAAAAAAAAAAAAAAAATACCAAACAGGGCGTGAAAATGCAATCTGCGCTTTATGATCTCTCTCTCTTTCTCTTTTGAGCGCGCGCGCGTCATCATTCACATTGCTGGATGCACTGGGTCTATCGAGCGTCGCTCACTTTCTGTTGTGCACTCTCGTGTGTTGTTGCAGTGACATGAAGCCCGAAAATCTGCTGCTCGATGACCACATGAACATCAAGCTCATTGGTAAGTTTGCCCCCCACTTTGGCAATCCCCCAATCCCCGTTCCCACACATGTTGCTTCCTCCTATCGCATCGAGTGGAGTGATTGGCATCAGTGTGCAGCTTCCGCACGGGCATGCTGTCCTGCAGCGCCACATTCCGCCGTTTCCAGCATAAAGCCCGATTTTGAGCTTCTTGTATTTTCCATCTTGCGCACTTTCACGGCAATCTTTTTTTTTTTTTTCTAAATTCGTTTTTTTTTTTTCAATTGCCTCTCCTTTCGATGTTGGCTCTCGAGTGTCGTTCTGATTGTCGTTCTAATTGTTTCTCCTGTCTTGTTCTTTTTCAGATTTCGGCTTGAGCAACATCTTTGAGGGCAAGGACGCGCTCCGCACACGCTGCGGCTCATTCGAGTACTCTGCACCCGAGCTGATCGGTGCAAAGCCGTACCTCGGTCCTGAAGTCGACTTGTTCACACTGTGAGTGTGGCACTTGTTCGATGGTCCTCGTTTTGCATTTTGATTTCTGCAGGCTCACCATCCTTCTCTGCTACCTTACATCTCTCCACAGTGGCGTGAATCTTTATGCCATGCTGACGGGTGTGCTGCCCTTCCAAAGCGACAACATTTCAGTCGTTTACGCCCTCCAGCTGCAAGAGGATTACTATGTTCCTCCAGAGTGGTCGCCAGGCAAGTACAGCGGCATCTTTGCATGCGCTAGTGCTCGTTGACTCGTGCTCATCCTTTTTTGCTCTTCTTCCTCCTTTTTCCTCTTCTTCCTCTCCTTCTCCCTCTCCCTCTCCCTCTCCCTCTTTTTGACTGGGAAAACTATCGACAGCGCTCAAGCACCTGATCAAACGCCTGCTCTGCCCAGACCCAAAGAAGCGCGCGTCCATGAGCGAATTGCGATCGCATCCTTGGCTCAACGAAGGCTATCAGCCATTGCAGCCGTGGGACATGTCGGCCTACCCGCTGACGGTTGCGCAGCCGAACGAGCTCGTCTTGGCCAAGATGCAGTCGCTGCGCTTCGACCTATCGGCCACCGTTGAAGCCTTGCGCACTGGCGTGCGTTCGCGCGAGACCGCCACGTACAAGTTCTTTGTGATGAACGCACACAAGCTGCTCAAGCAGCAGGAGACGCCGAGCAACCTTGTCATGAAGCGCGCCATGTCCGAAGCGGTCGGCAACAAGTACCGCGGAACAGTCACCATTGCTAACGCACCCGTCAAGGTCAATGTCGTTGACGTGACGAATATTTGGGGCGGCTCGGGTGCCGGCGGCGTTGGTCTGGCGCGCGTTGCCTCGCGCAACAACACACTCGTGAACGACGCCGACAAGGGCAAGGGCGGCGGTTTGATGGCGCTGGAGACTGCGCAGGCCGCCGCTCGTGTCGCCACTCCCACCCAACACACCGAGAGCCCTCCTGCGGTCGATCGGCGAGAGGGTGCGGTTGGCGTGATGTTTGGGTTGAATGACTCGTCGCCCATGGAAACTGCGCCCGCACAAGCCAGCCAGGCTATTACTGCAGCTGCCCAACAGCAACAGCAGCAACAGCAGCAGCAGCAAAAGCAACGTCCTACCCCTGCCGTGTACGTGCAAGCACCCACGGAATCGGCACGACCGTCCGCCCAGCAGGCTGCTGCCGCCGCTGCCGCTGCACAGCGCCACCAGGGAGGCAACAAGCACATGGAACCTCCAGGAATGCGCAAACAGGCCGCCTACTCTGTCGCCGTTGGCGGTGGCGCTGGCGGTCTCATGTCGCTGGCTGGTGCCAACCGACAGGCACTCAACACGGTGGACGATGACGACGAGCCGCTCGACATGAACACAATGAACCTCCTTCGTAACCACATTGACGACTTTACGCCAATGTCCATTTCGCCGTCCAACTCTGCCGTGCTCGCCGCGCAAGCCTCTGAACACAGCCAGGCCACCCCCATGGCCACCTCCAACACCCCCACGACCGCGCCTGCACGGCCCGTGGCCATCCCAGCTTCGCCTGCCGGCGCTACTGCTGGCGGCCTCATGGTCCAGCAGCAGCCGCCGCAAAAGCCGCAGCAGCAGCAGCAACAGCAAACAGGCGGCGCTGGCGAAGGTCGCAACTCGCGCCCCGTCTCTCCCTCGCCCCTCGAAAAGCAAGACTCGCGTCTCGGCTCGTTCATTAAAAAGATCAAGGATCCCTTCAGCCGAACCAAAAAGACAGACAAGCCGTCAGACGCGCCTGTCGAAGCTCGCGCCACCCGCTTTGCCCTCAACGCCAGCCTCACCTCGACCAAGTCCCCCGACAAGCTGCTGCAAGAGGTGCGTCGTGTTCTGGATGCGCAAAGTGTACCATACACGGAGGCGGTCGACAGCCCTTACTTGCTCTCCTGCACGGGCCGCAACATTCGCTTTGAAATCGAAATGTGCCGCGTTCCTGGGCTCAACTTGCACGGCATCCGTCTGAAGCGTATCGGCGGTGACTTGTGGGCGTACAAGGAGTTTACTCAGCAACTGGTTCAGCAGTTGCAGCTCTAAAGAAGAAGAAAAGAAAAACAATGGACAGCATGGCTCGTCGACTTTGCCGGCTTCATTTTTATTATTGTTATCCTTTTTGTTTCTGCATTTGAAGTCTGCGTCGTCGTCGTCGGCCTTTTGTGTGGATTCTGTTTTTGCGGGTTTCCTGTTTGTCCCATCATTTTTTTTGCGATGAAGTACTCAATTTACCTCGTCGTTGTTGTCGTTGTTGTCGTTGTTGTTGTCGTCATCGTTGTCGTTGTTGTCGGTGTTGTTGTCGCCGTTGGCGCCTGGGCTGACATTGTGTCACTGTGAATTCCATTCAATGTGTTTTTTTTTTTTTCTTGACACATAGTCCCTTTGTATGTTTGGTTTTTGATTTAGCCAGTGCTCGGAGGGGATTCAGATACAACGTACATAGAGCACTTTAGTCAATGGAGATGTGCTGAAGCAGAAACGAGGGTTGGGAGCGGGTTTACAGCAAATTTGCGGTTGTGCCTTGTTTTGCTTTTTGACCTTCTCGGCTGTCCACTTGTTCCGACGATGCCCATTCGAGCATTCTTGTTACCCCCAAACTCATTCCATCTTCCCATTTTCGCTCATTTTTGCGCTTTTTGCCTCATTTTGCTCTTTTTGTTTTTGATTCAGTCCTTCTTCTTTTTTCGTCCTTGTTTTGTCTCGTTGCTTTGGCTCCAGTGGTTTTTTGGGTACGCCGTCTCACCTTTTTGCCCACGTTCACACCTCGCGCTCTGTTTCGCCTCTTTCCCCTTGTTCTTCCACACCACCATCCCGCTCCTTGGCCATCACGTAATCCACCTCCTCCTCCTTTCTGCGTGCGGGTGCTCTGGGGTGTTGTTGACGCAACGCGCAAAACACACCCAAAAAAACAAAAAACCACAATCGTGCGATTCGAATACAAATTCGAAATGGAAATTCTGCGGGCAGACGTCGCTTTGCGGTCGCGCCATCTGTCACCAGATCCAACAAAGATGGAAAAAAAACACCAACGAGAAAAATGCATCATATAAAAAGATAAACACAAAGCAAACAACCAAAAAACAACAACAACAAAAAAAAAAAGGCGCGGATCACGACAAAAGCAATGCTGGTTGCCTTTTTTTTGCGGTAAAACAAAAACGCTGATCAGCAACGACTGGACTGTTGTGTGTAAGCAGCTCCATTATTGCAACATAGCAAAACCACAATAAAATTGGCAGCGTTGCACTCGGTGGTTACCCCCACTTTGTGGCTGCTGGTCGGCTGCGGGGTGGCCAAAACACAACGCTTTTTTTTTTGTTGTTGTTGTTGTTCTTGTTGTCTTTTATTTTTCTCGATGTCTTGACGACGACTACCTCCCCGCATTCTGCGTAGATCTATTGGGCAAATTTCGATCATGCAGTTGAACATGCATTGACTCGCTCTGTTTTTTTTTTCTCGACACTGACGACTAACTTTGCATTTCTCTGCGGTTGAATTTTGGGTCTCACTACAGGCAACGAAACTTTGTTTGGATTTTATTTTCATTCTTCTTTTTTCTTCTTTGTCTTTCCAATGAAGCAACCCGCTCTGGTGCTTCTGGCGCTGGTCGCCTGCATGGTGCAGATGCACGCTGCGCAAACTCAAGCCACGAAAGTCGACGACGCCCTCGCGGCCATCAACGGCATGTCTGACAAGGCAACCCTGATTCTCGCGCTGACGAACGGCGTCGCGATCGACTACACCCCGTCCAACTCCAACCAGCTTGTCCGGTTCAACCGCATCGAAAAGATCACCCCGGTTTTGATCGGCCAGACCTATCTTATGGCCGGCGTTGGTTTGGATGTCACCTCAAACACCCGCATTGGTGTCTTTGGCTTTGATCCTTGGATCTCGTCTGCGCCGGTTGAAGTCAAGAACACCACCAGCCGTGTCATCGCGTGGCTTCTCACCAACAGCGCGGACTATGCAGCAGCGAGGGCCGCCAGTCGTACAGTGACCGTGTCTTTCATCTCCAATAGCTGGGTCAACACACTCAAGTCGTTCTTCCCCAATTGGACGGTCAACGTGTGCAACCTGCAGTCGAATCTGACGGCATGTCTCGCAACGGGCGAGCTCCACATCATGTCTGGCAGTGGAACACCCACCGTGGACGTCAAGTCTTTCTTCCGCGCTCGCATTGATGCTGGCTTCCCATGCTTGTACATTCATCAAGCTGGCTGGGGTGACGACTCGATGGGCGGCTCAAGGGCTTTTGATATCGCGCCGTTCCCGTACGGCGGCACTTGGTGGGAACAGCAACGCATCCAGGTGCCAAATACCGTGGCTGCCATCAACACCAAGATTGGCGTCCAGTACTTGTACTCTGATGTCAAGGATCTGCTGACCAAGTACAAGAACAACGGATTCACCTTCAATCTTGCACTCTGCGACGACGACACGTGCACGAAAGACCCAAAGTTTGGGTCGGAGCTGCTGACCACCGCCAATCGCGTCCGAAGCCTGATTTCAAACATGGAGTCGGCAGGAGTCTCCCCTGTCGAAGACCCCACATCTCCCGTCATGCAGCAGCTCATTCTCGCCGGCGATGAACTCCGCGCCCAAGTCAAGTTCCCTCTCAATGTGGGCAACTCGTCCTTGGCGTGGGCCCGCAATGTGATTGCCGACAACTTTGCCATTTCTCTGCGGTCCTCTGGCGTGGCGCAAGCTGATCTCGGTGATTTCAACCGCGTTTTGAATGGCACCGTTCCTCGTTTGACCAAGAACCTAACTTTCAAGACGCGTGCCTACACTGCGACCCAAAGCGCGACCGTCAGCCAGGCTTCTGGTGAAACCATCATCATCACACGCACTGACTCTGTCTCCACCACTGGCCAGGTTACTGTCCACATCAACCACATTCGCGCCAACACACACGCTTACCGTGATCACACGTCCAACCGCCCGTACTATTTGTGGGGAAACTCCATCCCACTGCCTGCCAATGTGCCCGTCAAGATCAACAACCCGTACGGTGGCGTCATTTACGTGACCGTTCCGCCCTCCACCAGCGGCGCTGTGCAAAACGTGCAAATCAAGTTTGAAAACGTCGTCCAGCACCCCGTTTATGACGCCATTGCCGGTGGATCTGTTCAGCCGTTCATCGACGCCGTCAACAGCAAAGTGTATGGCTCTGCCGAAATCCTGATGCCGCAGCTGCAAGTCAACATTTACTTCCAGCGTGGGCCTCAATCCCTGAAGGACTCGAGCTACTCTTACAAGGTCGGCTCGGTCACAAACTACAACGTGACCAAATTCATGACCTACACCCGCCAGTACCTCTACGAATATCACTATGCGCTTGCTGGCTTTACCTCTGCTGAAGTCCCCTACCCGCCGATTGCCGGCATCCCCCAGAAGGCAGCTGCTTTTGGTTTGCGTGGCATGAACTATACCGGACCTCAACATGTTCTGACAAGCGTGCAATTTATGAACTCGGATTGGTACTCGCAGTGCGGCGCTGGCTGCTCTGGCAACCCCATCGACCTTGACTGGGCATTTGCTCCTCATGGCTGGGGTGAGCACCACGAGCTTGGCCACAACATTCAGTACGGCCGCTTCAAAATCAACGATGACGCTTCCGGTGAAGTCTCGAACAACATCTTCCCGTTGTCTGTCAACTATGCTCGCGCGCGTGCTGGCGACACAGTGGCCCTCCGGGCTGGCCGATCTGCCATTCCCGACCGCATTCAGACCATGAAGAATGCCATCGCCAACGGTCAGACGCCGACGGAGGCCGGCCTTACACCCGCCGATCTGCAATTCTACGAAACGCTCATCCTCTCGGGCTCGGATACTTGGGCACGAGACGGATCCCAGATTGCCGGCACCAACTACTGGACACAAGACGGATTCCAGATCATCCCGATGCTCTACCTCATGTCGCGCAACATTGATGCCGAGAAGAACTGGACTGCCGCTCGCGACAACTACGGCCTCAGCCTCTTTGACTCGACCTCCATTCCAGCCAACGATTTCATGGTCATGGCCTTCTCGTGGCTGAACCGCCGCGACTACCGCTCCTTCTTCTGGGCGTGGGGCCACACCTGGTCTGAGAAGGCCAACCAGCAGATCGAGTTGTACAATTTTGAACACCAGCCCACCATCTTCCGGTGGCCCAACGTCACCTATCTGAACATTGCGAAAGATACGGTGGCCTTCCCGAATGACCCGTACCGTCCCGATGCCAATACCAGCGGCGGATCTTCCAGTAGCGCTGCCGTCATTGGAGGCGTTGTGGGTGGTCTCCTTGCACTTCTTCTGCTCGTCATTCTTGCCGTGGTGATTGTTCGCCGTCGTCGGAGCTCGCCAAAGCCGGCAGCTTCCAAGAAGTCAAGTGCCGTGGGTGCCCAGTCCTCCGAGTATCTCAACGATACCGAGTCCGTTGCGATGTCCGCGCCCGCCAAGGCACCTCGCCGAAATGCCCCGGCCCCTCCGACTGGCGCGGGCGGTGCTGCAGCAGCTGGCAAGTCATTCCGCGCCCTGTACGACTACAAGCCGCAATCTGCGGACGAGCTCGAGCTTTCTGTTGGTGACGTCGTGATTGTTTCCCACACTGACACTGATGGCTGGTCCCATTGCAAGCACAAGGGCACCAGTCGCTCCGGCGTTGCTCCTGCGAGCTATTTGCAGGAGATGTAAACAACCAGGGTGCGGGTTCTCCTGGTTTGTTTGATTGTTTGTTTGTTTATTTGTTTGTTTGATTGTTTGTTTGTTTGCGATGTGCCTTCCTTTTGTTGTTGTTCCTCTGTATTGTCATGCATGCCATTGCATTTGCTCCCTCAAATTTGTTGTCTTCAATACAATGATGCAGTATTCAAAAATTCAAGCCTCAGCATGCGCTTCCTCGTTCTCCCAAATTATTCAGTCATTCATTACTGCACTTCTCTCGTGCTCGGCATCGATCTTTTGTGATTCACATTGTATCTCGTGCATCATCTGTTGTACTTCACATGGGAGTAACATGGGCTCAGTCTACTACGCTGCTGCTTGAATGGCAGACCGGCAACTTCGATCAGCGCGCCAAGTGGTCGCCATTGGAACTGGTCACCCGCGGCCAGCGAATGGTGCGCTTGTTGGTGGGATGCCCTGTGTGGACAACTGCTTTGCTTGCTTGAAACTGACATCGTGTCGTGATGGGCTGGGTTGATGCTTGCTAGGCGACGATATGGCTCAGGTACTGGCGCTGCTAAACGCACCGACAACGATCGCTCTCGACGCCGCCCTGATGCCTCAACAAGGCGTAAGCCAACATGGTGGTTTTTTTTTCTTGAAAGTTGAGCCGAAATTATTCGTGTGGGCTTCTGGCAGGAAGAGCTGAGTGAGCTGAATGAGCTGAACGGAACTTGCCCGAATCTGTCTTTGATCTTTTCGCAGATTCTGGTCAGTCATGGTCGGTGGAATGCTGCGCCATCAACAGCCTCAATATCTCTAGCAAACCATGGTACCAACTCACAAACCCAATGTTACTCACTGTTCGCGGAAAGTCCATTTTTGCACGCTGAATCGAAACGTTTGCCACTCAAAACCTGTTAGGGCTGGATCAATCAACACGCTCAGACCTACCGTGGTCGGGAAATGAGACGCTGAGGTTGTGCGAAATCGTACAACGCTGCGAGCAGGCCGGTATGTCAAGACAGCACGACCAGGATGAGATTGTGGCGTCTGCTGCAACTCTGCTTCCGACGCACAGCAGGCATTCCATTCTCAGGCAGCTGGCGTCGGGAGCATTTGAGCGGCGGTATTGCAGACACATCCAACGCGAACACAATGTGCGAGTTCGGCGCAAGAACACCCTCGAAATCGCTCAGGTTCCTGCGTCAAGCTCGGCAGTCAAGCGGAAGGAGACTCTCGCGTCCTACAGGCATGAACGAGCTGCGCTCGATCGAATATTGAAGAGCTTTTATGCCAATCACGAAGCATTGCGCGGGAGCTTGGTCACACTGACGCAGCCC